GCCCTGCCAACTGGCGTAGGCACTCATACGTCTCAACAGATCACGATCCCTGGTTGCCTGGAACAGCTCTCCTGATGATATCCCTCCATGCCATCGTTTCAGCCCATCCATCTAATCTAATCTACCCCTTTTTCCACTGATCTTTCCAGTTGTCAAAATGTTCTCCAATGTCTCTCTTCTCATTATGTGGCTAAAGAAACTCTTTTTTATTGTTGTGTATAGTCTACTTTCATTAGCTTCTTTCAAAGAATCGTTGTTAGCTACTCTGGCCGTCCAAGGTATTCGTAACATTCGTCTCAGAAACCACATCTCTGTTGCTTCCAAATTCTTCTTAATTTATCCACTGACATTCCAAGATTTGCTGCCATAAAGCAGAACAGGTTCTATATTTTTTCTATACAGGTAATATTTAAGCACACTTTTCATTTTTGGACCTCAGAATATACAGGCTGACATTAAGAGGAAAGGCAAGATGAAGACCACTTTTCATCCAAAGTAGTAGTGATCAGTGATTATCAGTACAAAGGTGGCTTATCAGTCCAGTATGAGCCTGGAAAGTTCTTGAGCAGTGTGGACAACAGGTGTAAACCATTGTAAGTGTGGGATCAGTGTTGTGGTTCTTACTATTCTTTGTCTGCCTGTACAACCTCCGCTGCCTGGCAGGCTGATTCACCATGCCTGAGGGATGTACGCTATCCAGAATGGTCCTAGGCAGCAGCTTGCCATGTTGCAGTGTTGTTGCCAGAAGAGTTGAGAGCAGTTGTGAGTGTGACCTGATATCGCTTTAAAAAAAATCCCTGGTGTCTCTTCACATGCTGGAGCTCGCCATAAAATATTCTGTTTGGGTGGCGGTAGTCTGGCATGCGGGCTAGAGCCGGAACATACAGTTAGATAGCTACTGGTACCATCATAATTGTAACTCTCAAATAGCTGCAGAAGGTGAAGACGGATCACTTATGAGAATGTCCCGAGTGCCGTGGTATCTTTTGTTTCACTCAACTTATTTTGTTCTCATTTTTTTTGTCTTTGCAGGTAAAAAGAAGACTTCAACCCTTCCACCTCTTGGCTTGGTGTCTCTTCTCCTGTCTCATGTGACAGAACAGTTGCCACAGCTGGCGGAGAGCTTGGATGATGACAGTCTGGCCTACCTGGTTGCTGTAAGTAGTAGGTCCTGTCCACACTGTCCTGTATATATTCTTGATTTGCCCTTACAAGAGCAGTTGGTGCACTGTGTTGTGGTTTACTGCTAGGCTGCTATACCTGCACTTTTCAGCCCGTTAGACCAGATTGCAACAAACTCTCACTTAATTGCCCTCCTCCTCCTCCCCCCCCCCCCCCTCCACTATTTTAAAAACATAAGTTTTTCTTTCCTCATGGTTGTAATCTGTAGGATTACCATCTCAAGGAAGAAAATCAAACAGGTACAAATCCTGAACATCCTGTTCAACCATGTAGCCTTTTAGTACTGTTATATTGGTTTATGGTTGCAAAGTTACCTTCAGATTGTAAATTGCCTTTTCAGAATGTTTGTTAGGAGCACTGAGTCTATAACACCCCGCCCCCCCCCCCCTCCCCCACCCACCAGTGGTGTTATTTATTTCAAAACAGGACTCATGAAGCAGTACATGATAGACCAGCGGTTCTCAAATTGGGTGCGCCGAGCGTATACCAAGGTACCCCTGCAATAATGAAAAGTGCATCCAGTTTCATTCATCACATTATAGGCAGCTGAACATTAAATTTACACTGTTTGTTTTCTTTTTGTCCTATGTATTCAACTTCTTTCAAGGGTAATTGTGCCACACATTTTTTTAAAGCCTGACAAGGTGCCATGGCGAAAATAGTTTGAGAACCGCTGTGCTAGACAATCTGGGGGGGGGGGGGGGAGGGGGGGGGGCTGTAAGGGTCGTGACTCCCAGGCCTCGGGCATTTCCTGCTTTTGTGATTATTGCAACAGGTAATTGACATTAAAAACAAACAATAACAAAACTTGGTTTCTAAAACTTCATGGGAAAACTGGGACATGGTAGCCATAAACAATCAGAACTAAATTAAAATCAGTAACATTTACATTTTTTGATTAATGTGGGAACAAAGAGTTCTGTGGAAGGGTGAAAGGTCAAAGTGTAAGTGGCAGATAACAGCTTCAATGGGAAGATAACAACAAAAGTGGAACAGACAAGTGTTTGAGAGCTTGTCAGCAAGAAGAGAGATATGAAAGGGTGGCAGTCGAATACAGCTTATCTCAGTTGTGAAGACATATTTTAGTCCAATGCTTGTTTTCTTTATCTTTCCCTCTTATTCATACCCCGTCATCCACCAACTAAATTTATTTGAAATTGAACAAGTTAGTCTCTTTAGGTCTTCACAGAACAGCCCTAAGATTTTGTGGCTGTTAAAATAGTGTTGCCAGACAATTTTTTGTTTAGTGGACTTTTTAAAGAATGCAGGAGTCAAAAAGGAACTGTTGACATCTCCATATAGTTGGTCCTCAGAAAGTGCAGGTATGACACTTTTTGTTTCCTCTTTGCATTTATTGGATACTATTATTTGTTTCAAACATATTGGTTTTTCGACCATTCAGGGCGAAAGCATTAATATATAGTAATTTTTTTAGTTTCATTGTGGTAATACTTGCCACTGCAGTAACAATTTAATTTTGAATAGCAATTTGTATCTCCCTGTAGGCACCTTACAACCTTCTATGGATTGTACGGCTAGCAGATGTTGCTCTCACCTGGCAGACTGTACACAAGGATGTGTTTATTGCCCACTTGGCACTTCACTGGCACTGGGTGGAAGACAGTCTCAAATGTTTGTTTACCCGAGCTCAGCTGTAAGTCTTGAATCTAATATATTATTGTCATCGTTGACCTCAGCATTCCTAGCCCTTGAGGCTAATTACCAGAGATATCACCTGCTTTCTTTCACGTAGGTGACTGGCCTTCTCCATTTGGTGACTTCTAGTGTTTGTAGATCTGTCTGTATGTTCTTTCTGTACTGTCTTCTTGGTCTGCTTCATGTTCTGCTCCCACTCAGCTCTTTTGTACACCCAGTTTTTGTTTGTCTCTCTGTCAATCTGCCTTTGATCTCCATATGCCGAAACCATTGCAGTCTATTAGAATTCAAGATACTGGCAATTAGTGATGGCAAGAAGATTATAAATTCTGTTGTTGCTTCTCACTCTCTTCCTTGTCTGCATCATCAGTGAGTCTAAAGATAAACTAAAGATAAAGAATCTACATAAAGCTTTAAACTATAATAACTTTAAATGTTAGTAATTCGGGGTTCATCACCAGCAAAAACATTTTTCACACTCAGTGCACCTCTGAGTTTGACCCAGAGTCATAAATGTGGGCACCATATAGTATGTCAGTATGACAAAGGTATGACAGTAGCAAGCCTTGCATCATTCTCCTCCACTTATACAATGAAAGCATTGTTCAATGTCTAGCTATTATTTGGTTTTTATTTTTAATACAATAATTTTTTTTATTGTACATTGTGAAGTATACACAAGTTTAGTGTGGTGGTGAACCATTTGCCATCGAGTTGGGATCACTATGACTAACGATTGCCAAAACAGATTTATCATATTACATTTTTGTTTTTGCATGTTAATGGAAGCGCTATTATCTTGTTTCCTGAAGTGAATCACAAGCATTTTAAAAAAATGTTTCATTTTAATAGCTAATATATGAGAAGTTTTTTCAACATCATTGTTTTAATGACTGCAATATTCAACACCTGTAGTAAATTCCTGCCTCTAAATTGTTTATCACAAATTATTGGTTTTTTTCTCCTCGCCTCCTATGTTGTTATATTTGTGTGCTTGTCTTGTTAGATTGCCCCCTACCCCCCCCCCCCACCCCCCCCCCCCCCCCCCCCCCCCCCCCCCCCCCCCCCCCCCCCCCCCCCCCCCCCCCAGGTAGATATTTTCAGATAAGATACAACTTAAAAAATGTGTGTGTACATGAGAGAGAGAGAGAGAGAGAGAGAGAGAGAGAGAGAGAGAGAGAGAGAGAGAGAGAGAGAGAGAGAGAGAGAGAGAGAGAGAGAGAGAGAGAGAGAGAGAGAGAGAGAGAGAGAGAGAGAGAGGGAGGGAGGGGGGAGGCAGAGAAAGAAAGAGACTGCTTTAATTTGATTGTGTGATATAATCAACATTTAAAACATAGTACATTTCACAACAGTGCTGCATTGGCCACATAGTACTAGCCACAGACTGATATTTGTAAGTAACAATTATCACTTGATGGGTTCTGTGGGCAACCTAACACTGTGGCCGCCTTGACTTCCCGGACATTATTTCTTGTCCCCACTTGACGCTAGATTGACCTGAGAGCCAAGGTCATTATTTTAAAATTTGGGGTCACACTGTTTGTTTCAGTCTTTATTTCTTTAGGCTGTTGTTGACGGTATCATTCTACATTTTTCATGCTCTTCCTTCTTGTTCTGTGTTTATTATATTTTTTCTCTATGGCTTTTTGTGGCATTTGGTCCCAGGGCATTCTTTTAAGATTGCTAAACCATCTCATCTTTTATGAATTGTATAATTGGTTTCATCTTTCTTCTGCCTTCTGTCTCCTAGTGAAGCACAGGCCTTCAGCCAACTCATGCCAAATCTTTCTGTCCTTTGCTGTCACATGCAGCTCTCTACATGTCCTCACCATCTTTTTTTTTTTTAACTCACTATCTGATCTTTCCATGTGTTTTTTAAATTTAAATTCTGCAATTCTGTGCCCCTGTGGGTTCCGTTGCAAAGACATTCTAGTTATTTTGTTCTCAGGGCATCCTGGTTTCATCTATAGTCTTCTAATTTCTTCACTTCCTGTTTCATCTCTTCTCATTACTCAAGTAGCTTTTGTAAAACATCTCTTCTTAGTTATGATGTTGTGCTCATTAGTTGTTGTAAGAGTCCAGGTTTGACACTGGTAGCCTAAAGTTAACCAAAACGTCTAATATAACCGAAATATCATTTAGCTCCACTGTTACTATTTCAGCCAAAACACCAAGATGGCCATGGTGATGGAAGAGCTGCACCGACATCTTGGTGGTGGAGACAAGTCTGTCAAAATGCACCTGGAGTTCTGGATCACCATTGGACACCCAAAACCTTTCACCACCGAGAAGGAAGCATCTGTGTTCCAATCTTTGGCTCAGATCGTCTCATCCTTGGCCCTCTGCTGTTCAGATTCCCAGTTAACCTTGAAGAAAAAAGTTGATGCCTTCACAGGATCTGGATTGTCTTTTCAGAGTCAGATACAGGAAATCATGCAGTTTATTGCCAATGGGGAACTTTCTGAAGCTCAGACAGGTGAGAGGATATTATTCTTTGAAAGGTAATATGCATATTTTCAGTTTATATGTACTGTGACCTGGATTGTGCATTGGAAGTCGAACCTAGAGACTTGAGGGTGTGAAGTAAATGGCTTGACCACTACACCACAGAGAGTCATTTATGCTGCATACAATATTACAAGCGTCACTTTAATGATTTCAGGTAGTTTGCATCATTTATATTTTCCCCCCAGGGTATTCATGTGTTTATTGAAATGAAAAGGCCGACAGGTTGGCTGGTTCTGTGCTACTAATAAATGCATGATAATGTGGTCAAGGCCCTTTGGGATAAGGGAACAGTGCAGAAGCACACATAGATCATCACAATCTGGAAACAACAGTGCAGAAGCACACATAGATCATCACAATCTGGAAACAACAGTGGTACAATGAAGAGTGACCAGGAGGTCTGGCTGAGAGAAATTGAACCCATTTCCTTGAGGGTTTGAGGCAGACGCTTGATTACTTAACCACGGAGCCCCTCTGAATCCTGAATGATAATATTGCACTTATGTCTATGAACAATCTTTTTCTTCTTCTTCTTCTTCTTCGCGTTCACCAGCTGTAAACTCCAGCGGAAAGTTCTGGTTGTTCGTCCACTCCTGGACTGCAGTCCTGTTCCAGAACCTGAGCATGTGCATCCATTTTACAGATCTGACTCATTTGTATGCAGACTGTTGGTTCCTTACCTCTCAGGCAGATGCACTCTGACTTTGAAGGAAGCTCCCAATTAGTTGACTCTTACGACATGCTTTTGGGTAGGCAGTGGGTCTATTCTTGTTTTCCCCCTGGAGAAACCCACACGGGGAATAAACAATCTATAAACATCACACTAACTTTTGTTCTAATCTATTGTTTTGTTTTCTTGTATTCCATAGGTTTGCAGTCGCTGGCTTCAGTTCTGACAAGAAGTGGTCTTCTGCAGGGGTGTAAAACAGCACCAAACATGTCGGAGTCACAGAATGAAACAGTCGGTCAAACAGATGCGGAGCTGTTGGCCAAGGACGGTCCTGAGGGCAGCAAAAAGCCAGCTCAGTTTCTGTCTCTCTGGCCTCTGTTTGGACATATGTCTTTGCTGGCAGAGATGTCTGCAGTCGGGAGACAGTTGCTGCAACAAGCAGTTGTGGAATCTACTGATGCTTCCACGGCTGTGGTTGATTTAGAACCAGTTGAGGTGTCTGATGTCACTTCTTTGAGAGATTTTGTTGTTAGTCATTTACCAGAATTGACAAATTGGAGTTTGGTCAGCAGAGCGTTTTCAAATGTAAGTATTTTTATAAATCCAAGAATGCTTATTTTATTTTTTTTTGTTTATTTCCTTTACCTATGAAAAGACTGTTGGCACATTTCATTTTGGTTAACAGTTAAACTGCCATAGTTGTGACTTTTGGTCCAATGCACCTGTTTTAACAAATAACTAATTAATCACCTTTGATGACATGTATTGGGACAGCTAGCCCCCCTCTTACAGCATAAGACAATCCCAATCAGCACAAAGAGACATCTTATTCAAAGCATATTTATTCCAGCTCTGTGCTACCAGTGCCAGACATGGTCACTCACAACAAACCATAAAAGAAAATTAGTAACCACGGAAATGAGATGTCTGAGAAGGGCTGTAGGAGTGACCATAAGAGATAAGATCAGGAATGAGATCATAAGAGAACAAGTCAGCACAGAACCAATTTTGGATTACGTACAAAGACAGCAAGTGAAATGGTTTGCCCACTTAGAGAGAATGCCTTGTGACACCATGCCATACAAAGCATACATGGAAAGAGAAGAAGGACGTAGAGCACGGGGTAGACCAAGAACAAGATGGAAGGATAACATCAGAGAAACTCTACAACAGCACAATGTGCCTATGGTCGAGGCGGCCAGAAGAGCTAGAAACAGAACCTTATATCTCCCTCGACACCCACAGTGGTAAAAGAGGAAGTGAAGAAGAAGAAGAGAGTGAAGTGGAGAAGATGAAGAAGAAGAGAGTGAAGTGAAGAAGAAGAAGAAGACGACATGTTTGTTGAGATGCTTTCATTGAGGAGACAGTTCACTTCCTAGACATGTGTCCTTCTCAGGTAATTGCCCAAATGATTCCAGGAATCATTCAGTGCCCATTTGTATGAAGCTGGGGTGATTATAGAGTCATACTGGTGAGACTGAATTATGACACTTCTAGGGATTGAACAGAAGCCTCTGTTTCAGCATCAACCTTTGTATACTTTGATTACCTGCAGATGTCTCCATAAGTGCCCAGTCTCCTCACAGATCACATGAGAAGAATCTCAGCACTTTGCAATAGTGTAGAATACTGGTGAAGATGTACACATGAGCATCTCTCTGTGTGTGGCTGGTTTCTGTTTATCATGTTTACAGCAGTTGACTACCTTCTCCAGCACTCACCCTCACTCAAAACAGCACTTGGCATATTGTGTTGTGGTTGACCTCTAGGCCAGTGTTTTTGCCTTCTGGCCCACTGCACTAGATGTCAGTAAATTATTAGTTAGTCACCTTCAATGATGTGCTGCTAAATAGGGGGCAATGAGACAATCAGAGGATTGCAGAAAGGATGAGAGCTGAGCGTCTGAGAAGAAACAGACTAAACATAAATGTTGACAACAGTGGCCCTGAAATCATGTGATATAACTGTGGAAGACTTCTTAATGCGGGCAGGTCTTGATAGTCACACTCGCCATCGCCATGCCTCATAGTGCAATATATTACTGTCATCTGGAAAGATAGAAAGGTACCAATCAGTTGGGGGCAGTGAGTCAGTCACACACACGTAAGCGCACCCACATACACCCACACACACATACCTACCCCCACACTCCCCCCCTACCTATCCTCACATACCCAGCAATAGGAGCCTGGAACACAACATGATGGTTAATGGTGATAGTTATTATAATAATTTGCTTTTTAGTTATTTATTGCATGGATGTAATGGTGTGTTTTATCATCTGCTGGTACTCTAGCTGCTGCTAACTTGTGACTTGTGTAATTGTGTCTGCCAGGGGAACTTCCTAGAAGAAGTGCATCAGTTTTTGAGCAAGTTATGGACATCTCCTGCTTGCTACAGACACCAGCTGTGGTTGAAGTGGTCAGAACATCAGGGAGACCTAGTCTCTACTGGAGAGGAGATGGTAAGTCTTACATTAATGTCTGTTTACTCTTGTCTGTTTTTCTCTCAGTGTATGTCTGGAAGTCTCTCAATTTCTCATTCTCTGTTTGTATCTATCTGTCTTTCTTTGTTTATCTATCTGTCTCTCTTTGTTTATCTATCTGTCTCTCTTTGTTTATATATCTCTATCTGTTTCTCCTTTTTTGTGTATGTCTGTCTCTCTTTGTCTTTTTCTATCTGTCTGTCTTTCCACACACACACCCCCACCTTCCCTCCCTCCATTATTTTATGTCTTCTTCTGTTTGTGTAAGTGTTATTGTTTTTGCTTGGAAAGATTTAAAAAAAAAAAAAAAAAATCTATATGTTCTGTTTCATTTACTTGTAAAACTTTTCCTCAAGATAATGAAGAACTGAGAGAAGAAAGTCTGCACTACTTTGTTATTTGGTATAGTTTGTTTTTGTGCAATTTACAATTCAGTTTTCCTTCCAGGTGATTCATATCTATATTCTGTGAATTCTCCCAGGGACCTGGAGTTCTTCACAGCGCTCCTGTGTGCAGATTTGCCATGCACCTCTTGTCTAAACATTCAGAGATCACCAATACCGTTGACTTGCTGCCATTGCATGTGTCACTGGCAAACCTGCAAGAGCAGACGCAGGAAGTGTCCTTGATGTTGAGGCATGTCTGGTGCCATAGCTCAGCTCTGGCCAGCCCACAGTATGATGTCAGGTTTGTCTCTTTTATTATTTTTCTTAAAATTATCTTTGAACTCTTCAGTCCTAGGCAAGTTTCACTGTAATCCCTTTGCCCTGTTAAAAACTGTAAATTTTTAAAATAAAAACATAAAAATAATGCATCCGTATAATTCTCTGAACTTTTATGCTAATAAACTAGAGGGAGAGAAGAAGAAGCAAACAAAATTGTCTTGATAAATGGTTACAAAAATCTGAAGGGTTGACGAACCTCTCGATCACAGAGCAAATAGGCAAGTGCAAAGGCCACAGCTTCTTGGCAGCAATCAGATCACTTCGCGCCCCCCCCCCCCCCCCTCCCCCCGCCACCCCCAAAAAAAAAAAAAAAAAAACTTAGATCACAATTTTTTTTTAAAATTAAATGAAGGTGTTTTTTTTTTTGTGTGGATGGAAGAAATAACTAAATATAAATGGAGCAAAGAATTGACTGTTGTTTACCTCTCCTTATGTCTGTTTCTTCATTGTTGGTAATATAATATGATACACCATTTCAGCACACTGTGCAGTTGTAGCCAGTGCAAAACTGTTAAATAGGTATAGAGACCATTGCCGAATATTATTGTGGTATCAAAATCATCAAAAACCAATGAAAACCAAACAGCTTTCTTGCAGATACAGAGTTAACTGATATCTTTAGAGGTTACTACTTTAAAACAGCTTTCTTGGAGATACTAGGTTAACTTATATCTTGAGCTGTTGCTACTTCAAAACAGCTATGTTGTAGATACAGGGTTAACATATATCTTTAGCAGTTGCTACTTTAAATAAGCCTTATTGGAGATACAAGGTTAACATATATTTTAGAAGTTGCTACTTTAAAACAGTTTTGTTGGAGATACAGGGTTAACATATATCTATAGAAGTTGCTACTTTAAAACAGCCTTGTTGGAGATACAAGGTTAACATATATCTATAGAAGTTGCTACTTTAAAACAGTTTTTTTTGGGGGGTGGGGGGGGGGGGTGGGTGGGTGGGTGGGAGATAGATACAGGGTTAACATATATCTTTAGAAGTTGTTACTTTAAAACAACTTTGTTGGAGATACAGGGTTAACATATATCTTTAGTGGTTGCTAATTTAAAACAGCTTTGCTGGAGATACATGTTTAAAATATATCTTTAGAAGTTGCTACTTTAATTTTGAGCATGTTGGAGTTAAAATGACATCCTCAGGCAGTCAGCAAGTTAATCAGCTCCTAAATGCTTTTTCTTTTTTCGTCTACCCTTAATCCTCCTGTGGAACATAGAGCCTCAAATAATCCATGCTCAGTAATTCTGTCTTTTGCTGTTACTTGCAGCTCACCTCCTTTCCTTCTCATCTCGTTCACTTCAGTCTCTAGTTCCCCTGATCCATGTGTTGTTCTGTCTGCCCTTATTTCTTTAGCCCTGTACGATCTGATCCCTTTTAATTGTATCATTTTTGGGTTTTCCTAACACACGTCCTATCCAGTGTCAGCATCTTTCCTAAAACTCTGCATTAGTGTCATACCATTTAATCTCTTCTATATCTCTGTTGAGTGTCTGTAGCTTAGGCTTTGCTAGCACGCTTCGCAACACCAGGATGCCGGGTAGATCCCAGCAGCGGATGATTTGTCTTTCGTTGGTTTCAACAGTGGTACCGAGAGCTGACCGTTCAGAGGCAGTGGCAAACTACTGAATGTAAAATTTGCCTAGAAAAACCACAACAGCCACAAAATGCTGGGAATAGTTCTGCAACATCCTGTAAAGGATACCCAGCTAACATTTTATTGTACACAGCAACCAGTTAACAAATAGTAAATAGTTTAATAGTAATTGTTTTGGCTGTTTCTAAAATTATAAAATTAATTTGGCAATAAAGAACAGCTTTTCGTCTTTTTTGGTTGTTGTTAATTAATTATTTTATGATACTCTAATTTCAGGCTCCTAGAGAAGCAGTTACTGCAGCAATCATTCTTTAAACTAATGCATGCTATTCAAAGCTTGTTCCCTGCCAACCATCAACCTGACTGGAGTGCAGCTTTGAAAGATCTTCAGTCAACAGATCATTTCTCTGGACAGTCTTTTGGAGAGTTTCAGAATATTCTCACCAGCAATCTTCATAGTTTTCCCAGCCACATCTCAGCTCTGTTGCCTAGATGCCTGGAAGTTGTCCATGATGCATTGCGTGAGACGAACCCTGACAGATTGGTGCCTCTCGTAGGCCATGGTCTTGTGTATGTGGGACTGCTGCTGGCCCACTTCCTGTCCCCAAAGGGGCCCATTGATCCTGTGGAGAAAAATCGGCTGAAACTAGGCCACATTGATAAAGAGGTGAGAAAAACTATGTTACTTCATCTGTTTAACTCTGTAAATTGAATGGTTAGCATGACATGGATGACTTTACACACAAAAAAAAAAAAAAAAAAAAAAATAACATTTAGATGGTTTAATGAAAAATTTTTTTTTTTTTGAAAAATGGCTTCATTTCTGTAATATTTCTCTGCTGGCTGCAGTGGTTACCAGGTTACAAGGACAAGTAAGTGTCGGGCTGTAGTATCTTTACACCCCCAAGAAACGTCAGCCAGTTGATTTCTATGCTGTAGTAATTTTTTTATTGATTCACCCCCCCACCCCCACCCTATAGTATTTGTTTATGTTGTAGATGATAAATTTTTTTTTTTTGGGATTTTTGTTTTCCCGAGTATGTGAAAAATGGAAAGTATAAATTTTTTTTTTTTAGGTCACCAGAGTGAAAGAGTTTACTAATTTTTTTTAAGTATAGAGAAAGCACACAATCAATCAACTAAACATTTTACTTGTCGCTGTTATTCTAGCTTGTAGAGCTAGGGACTGAGCTTGGTCTAAAATATAGCCAAATAGCTATATAACATTTCTCTAGAAACAAAATTTTGTACATATCTAATTAAATCAACAACACGTATATTGTAGATGTGATATATATCCAATTTTAGGTACCCATTCAGACTTACCATTTATTTAAAGGCAAAACTCTGTACAAATAGATGTGATTAAGTATTTTAGGGGTACAGATAAGAGAATAACACAATTAACTAAACAACAACACATAAATAATATATGTATCTGTAGTACATATCATCCATATGTATATTATATCCATATATACGTATTACATCATATCCGTACACACATAATATGTACATTATGTCTGTAATTTTTTTCATAGCTTGAAGAACTGGAGGCGGAGCTGTCCACATGGAACCAACACCTTCAGATGAGAACAGGAAAGGGCATCAGTGAGACACACACAGATCACCTCCACCCAAGAGTACTGGCCCAGCTACAGAGGCAGGAGAAGCTGAAGGCTTCCAGAAGGAGGCTGGAGCAGTCCGCAGCTTACAGGCCAGACCAGATACAGGTCTGTATTTACGGTTTGATGGCCTGTCATCATCATCAGATTGTGCCATTGAACTGTTTTAGTCCCACATGATTTCAAAGTAGAAACCCAGTTTGGTAGAATAATCACAGCCGAAAAAAATAAGAAAAAAAGTATCGGTGTATGACTTTCAGAGAAACAGCATATATACTGATGTTAAAGTATTTGGCCAAATTTTTTTGCACACTCAAACTAAACATGAAATAAATAATAACACACCATATGCTGCATTCATATACAAACACATGAGTGGAGCACAAAGAATGTGTTACTTGGGACATAAAGAGTTAAAATGTCTGCATAGTCATCCATTCTATTTTTGTTTTTAAACTTATGTGGAGCTTGCTAAATATGGTCAGATATCAAACAAGCAACTTATTTCTTTTATCATGTCTCAGTCGTGGATGTCCTCATTTCTTCTGTCCATTTGTTTTTTTTCTATGGCAGTACCTGTTAAGTGGTTTTCTGTCTGCTTTAGGTTGTACCCAGTGTACACCATCTTTTTTGGTTTTATACTAGCTGTTGATATCAGTTGTTCTGTTCAGACATTTCTGTTATTTCTTCTCCTTTTTTTTAATTCATTCCCTTTGATGGAGCTGTTCCTGGATTTGAATCATCTTCTTTGGTTTTATACTAGCTGTCGATATCAGTTGTTCTGTTCAGACATTTCTGTTATTTCTTCTCCTTTTTTTGAATTCATTCCCTTTGATGGAGCTGTTCCTGGATTTGAATCATCTTCTTTGGTTTTATACTAGCTGTTGATATCAGTTGTTCTGTTCAGACATTTCTGTTATTTCTTTTCCTTTTTTTGGAATTCATTCCCTTTGATGGAGCTGTTCCTGGATTTGAATCATATTCTTTGGTTTTATACTAGCTGTTGATATCAGTTGTTCTGTTCAGACATTTCTGTTATTTCTTCTCCTTTTTTTGAATTCATTCCCTTTGATGGAGCTGTTCCTGGATTTGAATCACAGATGACTCCATGCGAGGGTTTCCAAGCCCCAGTCAAGAATATGTCTGCACCCTGTTCCTAACAACAAGAACGTGGCGTAAAAGTTAGCTTATAAATGATGTTTCTATGAAGTCGGAGTGCCTATGCCTGATTTACTGATTCAGTAAGTCTGCTTGAGAAGTGAGGAACCAGCAGTCTGCATACAATCAAGCCAGATATGAACGGACATGCACGCAAACCTCATGTTCTGCAAATAGATTGAAGTCTGAACTAACAATATGGTTTGTGGGGAAGGAGCAGAGAAAAATTAAAGGAGAGAGGGAGAGAGATCAGAGTTGATAATAAAGGGGAAGAAAATGAGAAGACAGTAAGAGGTAAAAGCATAATTTTCTAGGTAGGGAGTGTAGGAATAAGCCTACACCCCAGACAGTCAGTAAAGGTATAAAAACTCTAACTGGTGGGTGAAGTAAGGCCTTGCAGAAGACACTATTTGGGCAGGTCCCTAGGGTCTCACTCCACAGTTGTTGAATTTTGTTGTTACCCACATATTTGGTTGCCTCCTGTCTCTGCTAGATTGTAAGGTGTTGACCTTTGACAACTATAGACTGAATTTGGCTGACTTTTTTCTTTCACAGTACCTCCAGCTTTCCCAGGCTATAAGTAGCTTTATGGAGAACAGCTGCTCTGTGGGTAAAATATCAGACCTGGTGAGGAGGCTTGGCATCAACGACTCGTCATCCGGTCATCAGGGAGATGTGTCTCTGACCGCTGCTTTACAGGAGGAGCGGGTCTGGCAGGATACCACGGAGAGGTTCATCCGGCGCCTCGTATCCACCTTTCAGTGCTACATGGATATTGTGGTGCCGTTTTGTGTGGGTGTGCAGGAGGTACGTTGGTGTTTCTTTTTACTGCATTAATTATCATAAAGTGCCTTGCTGACTGGCACTGAAGATCACGCTTTTTCATTTTGTTTCCATATTATGTAATTTCCAGCAGTATGTATTAGTCAACTCTTTCCACAGGCATTTCTTTTCCATATCATGTGATTTCCAGTAACATGTATTAGTAACTCTTTCCACAGGCAATTCTTTTCCTTATCATGTGTTCTTCAGCAACCTGGCAACTCTTCTAATAGTCCATACCATGTGGTTTGGTAGTCATTTCTATCTAAAGCCTACAAACTCATGTAGTTTAGTCAGTTTGATACAGATGATCCTTCATGCCATGATGTCAAACTGTTTAGCATCTTCTTTCTCGGTCTGTCTCTGCCTCTTTCTCCCTGCAACTTTTCCACCGTCACGATATACTCCAATTTTCTGCTTTTCATGACATGACCGAAGAATGTAGGTGGTCTCTTCCTGGTGTGAGCAGTATATTCTCTTTGTGAGTCAGTTTTCAATGAAGACTTCTTCAGTAATTTTTTTTATTTGTCCATAATCTTCTCTTCTTCATTTGTTCCTCTCTTTGCTGGATATTTCACTTCTTCTTCTTTTTCTCAGCATTCACCAGCTGTGAACTCCTGCAGAAAGTTCTGATGTTTGTTCACTTCTGGATTTTAGACTTGTCCCAGAACTTGAGTTTTGTGCACACATCTGTTTTACAGATCAGGCTTACTTATATGCAAACCGTTGGTTCCTTGCCTCTTAGGCAGATGTGTTCTGACTTGAGAGGAAAAAAATCCCTAATTAGTTGCCTTTTGTGACATGGTTGTTAGGGAGGTTGTGGGTCTGTTCAACAACCCCCCCCCCCCCCCCAACACCTACCAATAAGGCACTGAAACCCACAAAGGAAAGATACGTTAATTCAAAGATTATCTTTTCATTTTATTGGACTTGTTTAGTTCTCTTGCTATATCTTGCATTTATTATGTTTAGTCGTTTTGTTCAGTCATGTACTGAATATGTTTTGTCCTCTTTTTAACCAGTTTTCACTAATTTTTAGCACCATCGTAAGATAATATTTAAAGTGGATATATTGAGACTGTTTATGTATGTGCACTGTGTGCCTGTTGCATTGATGAAAACAATTTACTCTGTTTACCACTATACATTTATCATTTGTCCAGATGAAACTGGGTCTGCGATTACTGGCACAGAATGGTCACAAGTCATTGAAGATTAGGAAGGTAAGTTTAGTACTTTTAACTTTTGAGATTAAATGTAAAGGTAAACAGGTAAAGTCGGTAGATGTGAATCAGCGTCATTGCACAGAGTTATAAACCATAAGTGCTCTGGCACCAGTACGGACAGCTGATAAGAAACTGTCCGCCCGTGTCACCATCCGCACGCATCTCCATAGCTACAGCGACGTTCCTCCATTTACCCCAGAGTGTTAACTATGGTACCCATTTCCTAGAGGCTGGATTTTGAACACCGGCTTTGTGCTGCAGCGAGTCGCTGCTAGATTTGACTGCACTAACGCGGCCTCCAGATGTCAAATGTCTAAATGGTGACATATTTGTTGTTTCTAAAACAATGGGTTCTGATTATTCTATTCATAATATAATTCTTACAGTTAAAGTAATGTGTCAGCATTCATTCCCATATAACAAAATACTGATATGGCAACAGCCACGATGTCTTCGCTGAACTGGAAGAGATAAATCAGCATAGTAGTAGTAAAGGTCAATATTTACAAATCACTGGTATTATCTATCTCCTTATATGGATGTGGGAGTTGGACTCTCACTGCAGAAATGGGTTCAGGTTTTCAAACAAAGATGCTATAGACAAATTTTACAAATTAGCCTTTTAGAATAAAGAACTAACAGGAATGTAAGAGACAAAATAAACAGATTAGCAGGTCATCAGGATCCTCTTTTGGTAGTAGGGAAATGTCACAAACTGGTTTCTTTGGGTATGTGGAGATACATGATTTGATTGCAAAGAGTATTTCAGGGAGTATTGTAGAGCTCAAGAAGTATGCTACCATTCATTCCCTCAGAATGTACTACTGTACAGTTAAAGTAATATGCTACCATTCATTTACTTGTAGGGTAATAATTTTCTTCTGCCCTCTATCCCCATTTGGAGCATAGGTCCTTGAACCTGGAGACTGATTAATAGAGATAACATTTTTGAATTGAAAAGCTATACATTTTTGTTTTTGACTTACTATTCGACAGCTTGGGTCCTATCAGAACATAACATCATTGGTTGGCACACTCTGCTCCTTCCCAACTATCAACCAGGCATTACCAGATCTCTTAAGTTTAGCAAACCAGATGTCGTCCAGCAGTGTCCAGGATGCGGTTGTGTCTGTGCTACTGTCATCTAGTGCTGGAGATGATGTCAGAGAGGAGATGCGGGCAGCAAAGTCTAGGTACGTAATTTGTTTATATGTATAAAGATGAAAACTTTCTGTCCCAAACAAACTGACAATTTGTGTGATGGAATCAACTTACATTAAAAAGTTTTGTAACTACTTCAGCCACATCCAGTTGTTACAGTAACCTACTTATCTTTGTTGTTGCTTTAACTCTTTTCTTAAAGTTTGTATAGTTTCAATTGGCTAAGTTTTCAATAGAAAGTCACTACTCAAGAAATTTATTTCTTCCAAAATATAAGTGAGAAAAAAATATTCTTTTTGTTCTTGAACAGATTGTTGCTGTGTGCACTTCTGCTCCTGAAAGCCCACAGCTTTATCAGCAGACATTTGGACAGCAACTTTATTGCAACCTTGTCTGGTATCCTCCACCGGTTCACGTCTGCCTGGGCTGAGCAAGAGGAGCGAAGAAAGCAGAAGGAGGCAGAGGAATCAGCTTTGTTCAAATATAAGGAGCAAATACATGGCGATGAAAGATCTGAAAATGAGAAGGAAGAGGCAGATTTCAGGGCAGCTTATCCCTCTTTTGAACAGGTCAGTAGATCAGATGGTATATATGTCTTAGTAATACTGTATTAACATTTGCCTGGAGGTTTTCAGCTAGAGTGAAGAGAAAGACCATCACCCTCATCATCATCATGTGTCCTGCCAACTGGCCTAGGCGCTCATGCATCTCCACAGATCATGATCCCTGGTTGCCTGGAAAAACTCCTTGATGGTATACCATGTGTGAGAATGTAAAAACATGGGATTAGGAGTGGGGTTGGCAAGGTGGGACATAGGAGACACAAAGTTAGAAGAAGAAATACCATGTGTGAGATTGTGTGAACATGGGATTAGGAGTGGAGTTGGCACAAAGACACAAAGTTAGATGAAATACCATGTGTGAGAATGTGTGAACATGGGATTAAGAGGAGTTGGCAAGGTGGGACATAGGAGAGAAAGAGAACAAAGTGTATGTAGTCACTCTGCTACAGGAACAGTTAAAATGTACATCTTAAAACATTTGCTGTGGGAGACAGAGACTGTATGGGTATGGCTGGTGTACTGTGATGTTGATTCTTAAATCAGTAATCAGTGCATATTTACATGATCTCTCTGTCTCATTCACTATCTCTTTCTGTCTCATTATTTCTCTCTCTCTCTCTCTCTCTCTCTCTCTCTCTCTCTCTCTCTCTCTCTCTCTCTCTCTCTCTCTCTCTCTCTCTCTCTCTCTCTCTCTCTCTCTCTCTCTCTTTCTCCTTCCTTGTAACAATAAAATCTAGGTCTAGTGCTATATGCCTGACTGCCAGGGGCTCCTAGAGGTTTTTTTTTTACCTATTGTCTTCATTGAAATTTTCCTTTTTCTTCTTTGCCTTTACCAGTAGAATGTTCTGGTTGTTTGTCCACATCTGGACTTTAGCCTTGTTCCATATCTTGAGTTTTGCATCCACATCTGTTCTGTCAGATCTGGCTTATTTGTATGCAGACTTTTGGTTTCCTTGCCTCTCAGGCAGATGCACAGATGCACTCTTACCTCAAAGGAATCCCTAATTTGTCAACTCTTATGACATGCTCGACGTGCAAGCAATGGGTGTATTAATTTTTTCCCCTCCCCACAGTGGGGCTGTAGAAACCACACGGAGAGTTTATGGAAATTATTGTTGTACTGATAATATTGTTTTGTTATACTGATCAAAATAAGTGAATCATTAATCCTCGTTGACTTTTCAGGACTTCCTGGATGTGACTGGAGCTGTGCGACTGGAGGATATTGGGCTGGAGAAGGGGCATGAACAACCTGCGGGCAGTTCCAGGGTGAACTCCCTTGATGGCATTTCTCCAAAGGAGATGGCTCAGGTGTGCTCGGCTCACAGTGAAATCCTGATCACACTGGCTCAGGCCGATTGGCTGGAAAGAAACCCCAGTGACAGTGTTGCTGATGTATTGACTCCTGCTCTCATGTCGTATCAGATTGGTACCACAGTTGTCAGAACTGCTTTTGATGTGTTAGGTAAGGCTTTCATCTAATTTCACGATCTGTTTGTCAGTTGACATCAGTGGCTTGGGGTTGTGAGTGTACATTCATAATTTTTTTATATACTAGAGTTCAAAGTATACAGGTCTGCAGGCAAAATGTCGGCTTTTAATCCACAATAAGTCATTAAAAAAAAATGATTGATCTTGACTCTAAAACTCACCTCAGCCTAGAATGGGTACCAGGTAAGATCCTGGTAAGTAAAGGTGGCAGACGGGATATTGACCTCATCACCCGTCTGGTACCAATTGATCTGTGAAAATATGAGTAATCATGTTCATGGGGTCATTTTCTACTCATGTGCAGGCATTTTGGCAACAAACTTTGGGTTATGTTTTGCAGAGGTGATGACTTGTTCAAAAAGAAATGTGAAGCTGCTTAGAAAAATCACAAACAAGCAATAAATGCTCAGTTTTTGTGTAACATCTTAGAAAGGATATGTAACCAACTTTTAAGTGGCTAATGTATTAGTTTATTGATACAGCAATCCACATCCATTGTCTACTTATGCAAGTTTTGGAGAAGATGAAGACATATGATGCCAGACTTTGAAGCGGCACTGAGTGTGCGCTTGGTACATGCTACCTAGATAGATACTCAAATTGAAAGACTTAAAAGTGCGAAATTAAGAAATGCGCATTATTCTGGGGTGCACTGGAGACACCTCTTGTGTAGCAATGAGGTACCTTCTTGACTTCCCTTCAATGAACTACAGGATCAAGATCTGGAGGGCTCGTGCATACCTCAAGATAAGCTGAGATCTGAAGCACCCTTTGCACCACATGCTCTTCAAGAAAAAGGGCAATAGGCTTAAAAGGGGCAAATCCTGGCTGGGTAGGGCAGAGGATGACATCATGCAGGTTTGCAGCCTTACAAACATCCATCCAGGTGAGGAGTGGATACCAGAGTCTAAAGCACCCAATCTCAGATTCTTCTGACACTCGATGGGAGTTGTCGGGAGCAGAATCCAGCTGCTGTCAATGCCGGGGTAAGCGCACCTATCAGTGAGGAGACAGATGTGGTGATCTTCACAGACGGGTCCATTATACGAGGACATAAGAATGCATGGGCATTTACAGCTCGCTCTTAAGGCAGAAAGGTTCAAGAAACCAACGGCACTTTCTTCATGGCCGCCAACAGCATGACAATATAGGTGATGGCGGTGACACAGGCTTTCATGTGGCTGGGATCACAGGACTATTCCATCCTGTGTGTGCTGAGTGATTCTTTGAGCATGATCCGGCATGTTGAGGCAGGCTGGTTACACAGACAGTGGCTTAAGTCATTGCAAAATTCTCCTGTGTGTGCAGTTACTTTCATATTCGTCCTAGGGCATGCAGGCGTTGTTCGTAATGAAAGAGCTGATAGACTGGCAGGTGCTGCATTAATTGAAGATGGCCAGCCCATGGATCACGCAGACATTGTCATTGCCCTTAGAGAGATAGGATGTTCTGAGGATTTCAGATGCAACGTATCTTCATCACTGCTAAAAATTGGGAGTAAAGATTGGAACTGCCAAGCACAAGAAGCACACAAAGTCTTGTTAACCAACATACGACTGGCACTATCAACTGCACGACACTGAAGAATATATTGAGAGAAGAATCTGAGCGCCTATGGATGTGTCCGGAGTGCTGTGAAAATAATCTAACTCATAACTCAGCTACCTAGATGTTGCTATTTATGGTCTTGAGTATAGTATTATATATATCCATAACTTGCATGATCCACCTCTGGCTCTGCTTCCATTATGTCTAAATGACAGGGCTCTCTGTGATGCACTAGCTGGTGGCAGTCTTGACACATGTCTGAATAATTTCATCTGTTGTCTCGTACTGGTTCCATCTCGGCTTCTTTCCTGATATCATCATTTTTGATTCTGTCTCTTCATTAACATTTGGGATTCATCTGAGACATTTTGTTTTTCTTGTTTTGGTTTTTCTTTCTCTCTGTGTTGTTTGTGTCCACATTTGTCACTGGTAACACAGTGTTTGTAAAAATACTGTTTTATATTAAAACAACAGAAAGGAATATAACTGGAGTGTCCAACAAGCCTCAGTGTAAGTGGGTAATAAGGGTTTTCTGTTTAAAGGTGCTCAGAAGGTAGCAGCTGCCTTTGTGTCATTTGGTCTATAAAAATGAGTGCAACATCATGGCTTTTCCTGCCTTCTTTTTCTCATCATCCTCACCCCCTCTCCCTTTCCCTGCTGTTCATTCCCTTGCTTCCACTACTCCGGTTTCTCCTGCTTCTTTCACCCTCAAAAAGGTTGGCAATTTGTGTTGGGGTTTACAGCCAGGCTGTGATATCTGCATTTTTGGCCCACACGTCAGATTGCTTCTCCCCCTCCTCCTTCTTCTCCTCCTCCTCCTCCTTTGTCTTCTTCTTCTTCTGCAATCTCTAGCAGAAAGTCCTGGTTTTTCATCCATTTGGACTTCGGCTTTGTGCCAGGGTCCTGGTTTTGCATGTACATCTGTTTTACTGGCTTATTTGTTTACAGTTGGTTGTTCCATGCCACTTGGGCAAACGCACTCTGACTTCGAAGGAAGCTCCCAACTAGCAGACTCTTACAGCATGCTTTTTGGGACTGGAAAAGGGTGGGGTGGGGGGTGGGTCACAGTAGATCTGTTCTTGTTTTCCTCACAGTGGAGCCCCAAACCCACATGGGGAACATCAAATTAAAACAAAGCCCTAATTAGTTGCCTTCTATGATATGCTTATTAAAGATCAGTGAGTCTCTTCTTAAATTTTTTTTTTTTTTTTTTTTTTACCTAGAATGATCCCCCGGAATCCACAAATGGAATCCCTTTTTTTTTTAAATGTGCTCTTCTTTGAAAGCCTCCACATCCATGTCTTTGTTGAACATTATGTGACTTTATCTTTTTTCAGATCCAGAGACAGATGGTCAGGTTTTGGGATCACATTTGTTGGTTGGAGGATCTGTTCTTCAGTATTTGGAACTTCAGAATGGCAGTTCTGTGATGCAGGTTAGAGAATCTTTGCTAGCACTCATGTTGAAATCTTCTGTTTCTTCTTGTTCTTAGCGTTCACCAGCAGTTATCTGTGGCGGAAAGTTCTGGTGGTTCATCCACTTCTCAACTGACTTTGGTTTAGTTCTAGAACTTAAGCTTTGAGTTCACATCCATTTTACCGATCTGTTTGTATGCAGACTGTTGGTTCGCTTCTCAAAAAGATGCACTCTGACTTTGAAAGACATACCCCTAATTAGTCTACTCTTATGAAATGCTTATTGGGGACAGTGAATCTGTCTTATTTTTTTTTTTTTTTTTTTTTGCACACCTAGTGGGACCCCAAAATCCACATGGGGGAAGTTTGTTAATTTGATTTAAGGATGCAGTAGAAGTATCCTTCATGGATGGCAAAGAATACTATAGTCTGCCCCTGCCTTCCCTTGAGGGTCGACCAGTCCACACGGATAGGTTAACCTGTAGAAAAAAACAACACCCCGCACAAATGGGACATTGTCATGTCCCATGAAACTGTCAGAGAAGTCTAACCTCGTGAACAAATGCATGATGAAGTCAGATATGTCAGACAGAAGACACAAATATCGCAGCCATGCTGTGAACAGGCACAACGCAGTGACGTCGCTTGGACAAACGGGAAGAAGATTCAGAAATATTATTTACAGCAAATCACTGTTTTACACAAGGAAGGCGCCCCGGTGTGGGATCCGGGGCCCCATTGTGTGGAAAACAAGAATAGACCCACTGCCTCCCCAAAAGCATGTCGTAAGAGTCGACTAATTGGGGAGCTTCCTTTGAAGTCAGAGTGCATCTGCCGGAGAGGCAAGGCACCGACAGTCTGTATTCAAGAGAATGAGATCTGTAAAACTGATGCACACGCAACACTCAGGTTCTGGAGCAGGACTGAAGTTCAGTAGTGGACGAGCAACCAGAACCTTCCGCCAGAGTGTACAGCTGGTGAACGCGAAGAAGAAGAAGAAGAAGAAGACAAGGAAGGCTGAGAAATTTGCATAAACATATTGACTTTATGGAATATTACAATAATTAGACAAATTGGTATCATTTTTAGGGCTCCCTGGCAGACCCAGCCTTTAGTGAATACCAGAAAATGTCCTGGAAAGTAAAGGCAGCTGTCATGTTGACAGCATCACACATCAGATACTGATGTGTTTGTGCATGAATGAATGATGAATGGATGATTTGGGAATTAACATTGCTTCCACATGTGACATTTCCCCTTCTATAGTATCCAATGAAGGGTTGTCATGTTAATACAAGTTGCAACCTGATTAAAAGTCTGTTTTCCCCTCAAAGTTGAATATCTTCCAGAGCCTCTACACACACGCATGTGCACGCACACATGCATGCATGTGCACGCGCACACATGTATGCACACACACACATCTCTCTCTCTCTCCTTCTTCTTATTCTTCTTCTTCTTCTTCTTCTTCTTCTTCTTCTTCTTCTTCTTCTTCTACTTCTTCTTCTCCCTCACCCTGTTGAACTAGTCTTTCAGTGTATGGATTCGCTATCCTGTGGCACTGCCCATTATGTGTGCATTATATGTCTCATGTGCCAGTCTGCCTAAAATTGGTAATTATGAAATTATTGTGGATTTGTATTGGGTTATGATGGTGACGTTTATGATGAGAGTTGTGTGTCCTTCAGGATGTCTTGAAGAAACCTTCTCGCAAGTCATACAACATCTATTATGATGCCAACGTACCAGAGGTGATGAAGTGCAAGGCCATCATAGACAGCTTGAGGAAGAGAGTCAAGCAGCTACAGGAAGAGTGGCCTGACCACCCAACCTTGGTGCTGGTAAGTTAGTCATAGATAGGCATGTGTGGGTATGTGTGCATGGTAGGTGGCCTGACCACCCAACCTTGGTACTGGTAAGTTAGTCATAGATAGGCATGTGTGGGTATGTGTGCATGGTAGGTGGCCTGACCACCCAACCTTGGTACTGGTAAGTTAGTCATAGATAGGCATGTGTGGGTATGTGTGCATGGTAGGTGGCCTGACCACCCAACCTTGGTACTGGTAAGTTAGTCATAGATAGGCATGTGTGGGTATTTGTGCATGGTAGGTGGCCTGACCACCCAGCCTTGGTACTGGTAAGTTTGTCATAGATGGGTATATGTTGGTATGTGTGCATGGTAGGCGGCCTGACCACCTAAAAGTTAGTCATAGATAGGCATGTGTGGGTTTGTGTGCATGGTAGGCGGCCTGACCACCTAAAAGTTAGTCATAGATAGGCATGTGTGGGTATGTGTGCATGGTAGGCGGCCTGACCACCTAAAAGTTAGTCATAGATAGGCATGTGTGGGTATGTGTGCATGGTAGGTAGTTAGGTAGTAAAGTCAAAGTAAAGGACCCTTTTCCACATCTTTAGGTGTATAGGGCATATAGGGCCAGACCTATATTTTTATAGACCAATCGGCACAAGATGGGTGATGTGGTCAGCATCACGCTGCCCGCCTTTACTTCCTAGTACTACACCTGGTACCCACTCAAGGCTAGGTCTACCTGGGAGCCAAGACCTTTTAAAAAAAAAAAATCAGGTCCGTCAGGGAGTGAACCCATGACCTTCCTATCGGCAGACCAGCTTATCGCCACGTCGACTCCCGGTAGTTAGGTGCTTTGCTGGAAAGAAGAAAAAAAATTCATGTTCAACCAGCATCCCGGAAGGGGAAACTTGACTTTATAACTGTGACCAGGTTATGTGCGCCATATAAAATGGCTTAGCATTGCACACCACCAGGAGCCCTTAAAAGGACTCCTGCAGGCACTAATAATGTGCGTGGCTGACTAGTATGGACAGATTAGTATGGATGGGCAGAAAGGGGAGTGGGAGGTTTAGATTTGCTGGCCGGATGTTTTGGAGTGTATGTGTGTGAAAGAGAAAGAGATGAGATTAAAATTTGGGATTGTGAGAAATATCACATATTATTTGGTACGAAAAAGGGTAGATTAGTTGAGCTGCAAATAGTTTGATGTGTTTTAAGTTGAATACACTGTTTTAATGTGTAATGGGGGCTATATATATATTCAGCTTTAATCTTCCTTATCCAATCTGTCTCTTCCTTTTTCTTTCTTGGGCTTCGATAACTACACATTTATACACAATACCCATAGATGTATACACATATACCATGATATGAGTATATACTTCCTCAAATAAACCTATTAGTTGTGTGTATATGTGTGTATATATATATACAGAGAGGGCGAGAGAAAACTGTGTTTTATGAGAAGCACGGTGACCTGTAATGTATATTTAATAAATATATTTAATATATTTGATTCTTCTTCTGCTCCTCCTTCTTTTTCGCCATTGTCTTCTTCTGTTGGTTGCTGCCTACTGTCATAGATTTGTTTTCCATTTATGAGTTGAGATTCAGATTGAATCCATTTATTATTGCAATCCCTGTTTGATGAAACACTATGACTTTGTCTCCAGTTAAACCAGATCATGGACCGCATCCTGTCCTTCTCTGTGACCAGCCCTGTTGTGAAGTTTCTGACAGGCTTGGAACTGCTGCTGCAGAAGGCTCAGGTTAGTTTACTTGCTTTCAAATCACACTAAGGGTAGAGACACAGGTGCTCAGTCTCTACCCACGAAGGTGAAGCTCATCACACAACCAGTACTGATGTAGGTGTTTGAAGTGATAGGAGATATAGTTTTATGAATGAGGTCTAGTTGCCCTCCTGATGGGCAGTATTAATGCAGGTCCATGAAATGATGGCCGTATCCGTCATCATTATTTGCCCTGCGGATAAATGTAGTTGTCATGTTTCATGGTAGATGACAGATAGCATTGGTAGAACCAGGTGTTTTTTTCTGGCAGTATGCAACGGTAAACAGTACGGTCAGTACGGTCATCTTTTTATTGTTTAAATTTTTTTTTAATAATAAGATATAATTTTTTTAAGCACTACTGTAATAGACACTTTCTAGTGAGTACCAGCACCCATTTTAAGACACTTTTTTCTGTGAGTAAAGAAAACTGTTTTTTTTTTCCCACGCCTTTAGGTGTATGGATCATTTAGGGCTAGACCTACATTTTACAGACCATCAGCACTTGGTGGCTGATGTGGTCAGTATCATGCCAACCACCTTTACTTCCCAGGACTTTACCTGGTACCCATTTTAGTCTGGGTCAACCTGGTAGTCAAGATCATTTTTGAAAGAAAGAAAAAAAAAAATGCAACCTAATGAGAATTTGAACCCACAGCCACTGAATCACGGCAGCTCTCCATTTGTGATGAGTACTGACACCGTTTTTTTTCTTTCTAGAAAGATAAATAATGGGTTGAGCTAATAACTCTTTCAGCACAAAGCAAGTCACCAAGTGTTTACTTATTATTTGTGACATAATATTTTTTTTTATTTAACTTTTCATATTCAGTCTGTTCTTCTTCTTCTTCGCGTTCGCCAGCTGTACACTCTGGCGGAAAGTTCTGGTTGTTCGTCCACTCCTGGACTGCAGTCCTGCTCCAGAACCTGAGTGTTGCGTGTGCATCAGTTTTACAGATCTGATTTACTTGAATGCAGACTGGTGATTCCTTGCCTCTCAGGCAGATGCACTCCGACTTCAAAGAAAGCTCCCAATTGGTCGATTCTTACCACATGCTTTTGGGTAGGCAGTGGGTCTATTCTTGTTTCCCCACAATGGGGCCCCGGAACCCACACGGGGATATTCAGTCTGTAAATAAGCCTATTCTTTTGTTTGTACTTTAAACTCATTTGTTCATAGTGAGTTATTTTAACCCATTCAGGTTTACATTATGTAACAAAGATTTTTGTTTGTTAAATTCTTTGCCGTCTCCAAAATTGAGGATGGCTACAGTGTACCACCGCTGTCTTTGGGAATATGGTGCTTTCTCAATATCCTACCCCAAACAGGGGAAATCCACTAGTCACGTAACAGTCTAATATTTCATTGGGTGGTAGATAGGCTGCATGCAGTCGTGGGACCTAACCTGCACACTCTCGTGTGACGTAGGTGAGTCAGTTCTAGATGTTTTGGGGTCATTAAAAGCATCAGAAAGCCGGGAAACCTAGTCTTACCACCCTCTAAAATGTTGGACTGTCCTGTAGGATATTACAAAAGAAACAGGAATATTACTTGGTGAGCTCCCAATTTTTTTCTTCAGGGTGACTCTCATACAACTGTCTGAAATCCACAAGAAAGTTATTTTTGTGTCTTTCTTATAAAAAAAAACTGTCCACTGCCGGAATAAAACCTTCAGTACTCAACTCAAGGGTTATGGAATAGTTAAAGATCCTATGCACACTAGCATCAGCTTGTCTACTGTTTCTGTACCTAGTACTCTATTTTTCTTCTTGAGCAGCTGTAAACTCCTGTAACACACAATCATTAACCTCTAAACCACAGAGCAACATATGTTTATTATATAGGGAGCTGAAGATCGCATAGAGAGAACACAGATGAAATAAAGCAAATCAGATCATTCGACAGTGTTGCAGAACATACATGTAACAAGTGACATCAAGAGAGCACTATTCAGTACAGTATTTCTTTTTTCCAGCATTGTGTTACCAGTGCCAACTGGACACAATTTTTCATTATTTTAAAGCCTGGCTGTAGTTGGAGGCCCTAATGTAACCTTACTGTTTCTGGGACCTCTCCCCAGATGATCCTCATCCCCATCACTTTATGTCACCGGATGTTTGTCGCTTGATGGATGTTCTGGTGGGGTTGAATATCAGTTGCCAGTGCCAAACATGGATGTTAACAATAAAAGAAAAATCAAAACGACAGAAATACAATTTTGACGAGTCCTAAATGTAACTAGAAAAGAAATGACAATGTCAGGAAAGAAAAACCAGTACCCAGTGCCATCAAGAAAGATCAGATGGTTTGGAAATGTGTCAAGACTACCACCAGACATTGTGCTACAGAGAGGCTCACCATGCAAGCAATGTGTAGATGAAGAATCAGAGACCATAAATACCAACTAAGTAGCGCTATTCCAACCCCGATGCCTCTTCAAAACCTGACACTGAAATGCAGAACAGGACTAGAGACGAAGAGCTGAAGTAATGCCTATCTTCCACTGAACGTGTTAATACATTTTTATGTTTGCTATCACCAGGATTGGGAGAGCAATGCAGCTTCCTATGTTTCAATGGCAAGCCAGCTGAGTGAGATTACTTCCGTTATCGTCAGCTGGAGAAAGCTGGAGTTGAGGTTAGTGATAGTTTACTTCCATTTGAGTGCAGCTGTTATCTTGCACAGTCTGACCAAGTGATCAGATTGTGTGGTTTTAAATATGTTGTTGTTGTTTTCAAACTCCATCACTTTCTGTTGTCCCCTCTTGAATGAGTTGGGAGAATTGGTTACTGGTCATGACTTAAATCCATCTCTACAAACAAGCAACACAAACATGTTGAGCATGCTTTAGAGATACCCATACAGTGAGTGCAAAGCTTCAGTACTTTGATTATCCATCATTTTATCAGGGAGTGGATGTGATTTTCTTGGCCACCTTCTGTGCACAGCACCTGACCCATTTATTAAAAATTTAATTGGGGGGGGGGGGGGGGGGTGTGTTGGAGGTAGCCAGACTCAAGCTTATTCACCTCTCAAGTCATGCATAGGAGATTTTGTACCGTAAATATTTTTCTTTCCACATGGGCCCTGGTTTGAAAAAAATCTACATTCTGGGCATTGGGGAGAATTGGCTCACAAACAGCATCCTGTCCTGAAAGTGAAGGTGTTTTGAGCATATTAAAATTGTTAAGGTGGAGATAACTGATGGTGAGTACAACTTCTGGAAAACTAGGCAGAGTCAAACCTCCACCAAGGTGGAAACAAGATGTTGAAGATGCATTGGCTCTAAAAGCATATAGAAAAAGAAACTTTTAGCCATTGGCTGGTAGACGGCTTCAGCGTTTGTCAGGACAGTATTAGGGTCTGTCTCCTTTGAACGCAAGAGTCCTTTTTTAGGGCTTGGTGGTTAGCAATGCTAAGCCATGTTATATGGCGAACATGAGAGGGGGTGGGGGGTGAGTTAGTGTAGTCGATAGGAGATTCGCTTTCAAATCCAGCTGTGACTCGCTGCAGCTCACAGCCGGTGTTCGGAACAGGATGGTTCCCAGGTTCACCCAGCCTCTTGGAAATGGGTACCATAGGTAACACTCTGAGGTAAATGGAGGAACGCTGCTGTAGCTACGGAGTTTTGTGCGGACGGCGACACAGGTGGACAGTTTCTTATCAGCTCTCCGTACTGATGGCAGAGCACTTATGGTTTATAACCGTATGCAATGATGCTGGTTCACATCTCCCGACATTACCTTTACTTTCATATAGCGAACATAAACCTAGTCACAATTATAACCAAAAGCTGTCACTTTTGGAGGGGATGCTGGTTCAACTTGATAGTTTATTATTAAACATTTGTTTTGGTAAGCACAGCAAGCCAGATCTAGTCAAGAAACTTTCAGGCATGCCGTGATGAGAGCAACACTCCGATAAAGAGTGTGCACATTGATGATAAATACACAAACAAAAATATTACTGTGCATAATTGCATCTTTCAGTTGCTGGAGCAGTGCTTTGGACAGAGAAGAGGAGAAGTGTAAAGAGAAGGCCAGCCACTGGTGGTTCCACCTCTTTCAGGTGACTTCAGCGTTTGTTACCGCTGGCCCCTTACCCGAGGGCAAGGATACAGACAAGGTATGGGGCACACTTAATGCATTTCATTGTCTTGACCATGCTTGTTTTCTGTTATCAGTGGTCAGTATTTGAGCTGACTATAACACATCAATCCTCTGTGTCTCCTTGTTTTATTAGAGGTTCTTTATGTTGCGTGTTTGATCCCAGCTGTGTGCGGTTTGTCTTGCTTTGGTTTTTACAGTGGTCCTGAAAGCTGATCGTTCAGATGCAGTAGCAAACTACTGAATGTAAAATGTGCCTAGAAAAACCACAACAGCCCAAAAAATTCTGCTGGGGTTGGTTCTGCAATGTCCTGTAAAGGATATTTTTTTTAAAGCGTTTGAGCCGTTTAGCCTTGTGCTGTGAAGGTTGCAGATTTTGGCCCAGATTTGTTTCATAACTATGCCGTTTCGTTCATGAGTGCAGATTTGTTTTTAAAAATGGAGACCTCTGAGGATTGTTGCTGGATATATGGAGTTTGTCCCTAGTAGGATGCTCTTGAAGAGTGGCCATTCTCCTACGAGAGACTGATCTGTATGATATGAAACCTGGTGCAGGGAAGACATTAATTTAATATGGTATGACAGAATCACTCTTTTAGAACTTTGAGAGAGAACTTAACAAAGGGGAGTGAGAGATCTCATGTACGTAAATCCTCGTGTGGATTCCCATTGTTTGGGGGGGGGGGGGGGGGGAAAGAAAGGGGGGGGGGGGAATAGACCCACTGCTTGCACTAATCAACATATCATAAAAGTAGAATAATTAGGGATTTTCTTCAGAGTTGGAGAGCATCTGCCTGAGAGGTGACAAACCAACATTCTGCGTACAAATAAGCTAGATCTGTAAAATGGATGTGCACACAAAACTAAAATTCTGGAACAAGTCCAGAAGTCGACGAACATCCCAACATTTCTGCAGGAGTTTACAGCTGCTCTTCACAAAGAAGAAAAAGAGAGTTTAAGGTACAGAAAATGTTAGAAAAGCAGATGCTAGTGTATGGGATCTTAAAATTAAATTTCAAATGTGTTTTTAATTGTATTTGTTCTTCAACCCGATGCTAGCATCCACTTATTGTGTCCCTTCTACCTGTTTATGTTTGCAGGCTGCCATCCTTGATTCCCTGAAACAGTTCATGGAGAGTTCAACCATGGGAGAGTACAGCTTCCGTCTGCAAATGCTTCTGGCCTTTCACTGTCAGCTTCTCTACATGGACAACAGCCCTGTTCAAAGTTTGTTTCATTGTTATTACTGTCTGTGCATTACTATCATGTCTGTCTGCTTCTCCTAGTCTTTTAATTTTTTTCTATTTTCTTCCCCATTCTTTTTTTCTTATTATACTTTGTTTTCTCATTTCCCTCAAACCCACCCAACACCCCCCCCCCCCCCCCCCCCCCCCCCCCCACTACCACCCTCCTTTCTTTATCTGTATCTGTTTTCTACCTCTTGTCTGTCTTGCACCCTCTCAACATACCATTTCTTTATCTCTCTCTATTTTCTACCTCTCTTTGCTTCTTCCTTACCCCCTCTGTCTCTTCCTTTTTCTCTCTCGGGCTTCAGTAATTAACTTTTATACACATGACCTATATACGCATACACATATACCATGATATGAGTATATACTTCCTCACATAAAACCTATTGGCCGTCTATTGAGTGTTTCTTTATCTTTAATAGTATAGTTCTAGCAAGGGAGTCACCGTGGCGGAGCGGCTAGACACTTGCCGCGGATGGGAAGGTCGTGGGCTCGCTCCCTAGCGGAGCCGCCCTTAATACAAAAATGACCTTGGCTCTCAGGTCGACCCAGCCTTGAGTGGGTACCGGGTGCAGTCCCGGGAAGTAGGGGCGGCCGGCGTGATGCTGACCACATTACCCATCTTGTGCCGATTAGTCTATAAAAATATAGGTCTAGCCCTACATGCCCTAAAGGCGTGGAATGGATCCTTTACTTTTTTTTATTACTTACAGTATATCAAAAGCACCTTGGTGTTCTTTACATTTAACAGAAGCGAAAACAATAAATAGTTTATTGTTTCAATATTAATGGATGCTTGTACAATATTTGTAATTTGATATTAGTGATTATGTGTGGCCTTATTTGCTTATTGTTAAGTGAAGTGTCTATATTATTATCTTGTTTTTTGTAGGGAGAAATTGTTAGGGCATTATATAGTATTAAGTTCACATATTATTATTTTTTTTTTTTTTACTTGGGGTTAGGGGATATATTAACCTTTTATTTTCTTTTTTTTTTCTAAATGAGGGAATGTGTTTGAACCTTAAGGCGTATTTTTATAAATTGTTTTTATTTTTTATTTCAACGGAATTTGTTTGTTTAGTAAGTGCTGCTTATTATTAATAAAATTAAATAATTTATTCCTATTATGAGTCCTCATTACCAATTTTGGGGGAGAAAAGAATAGAGACTCCCCCCATCCCCCAAACAAAAATGTCTTCGGAAACGACTAATTAGGGAGGTTTTTTTAAAAGTCAGAATGCATCTGCATGAAAGGCAAGGAACCAACAGTCTGCATACGAACAGGCCAGATCTGTAAAATAGATGCACATGCAAAACTTAGGTTCTGGAACAAAGGAAAAATCCAGAAATGGACAGTCAGCACTTTCCATTGGAGTGTAACGTCTGTGAACACAAACAAACATATCAAATATTTACCTCTCAGTATTCAGTAATTTGTCTAGAGTGTGCTACTTATTTCCTGTTGAGGGACAGTGTAAAGTTGTTTGCTATCTAATAATGGGGAAGAGTAGCTGTGCTACTCGTGCTACTTATTTCCTGTTGAGGGACAGTGTAAAGTTGTTTGCTATCTAGTAATGGGGAGTGGGGAAGAGTAGCTGTGCTACCCGTGCTACTTATTTCCCGTTGAGGGACAGTGTAAAGTTGTTTGCTATCTAGTAATGGGGAATGGGGAAGAGTAGCTGTGCTACCCGTGCTACTTATTTCCCGTTGAGGGACAGTGTAAAGTTGTTTGCTATCTAGTAATGGGGAATGGGGAAGAGTAGCTGTGCTACCCGTGCTACTTATTTCCCGTTGAGGGACAGTGTAAAGTTGTTTGCTATCTAGTAATGGGGAATGGGGAAGAGTAGCTGTGCTACCCGTGCTACTTATTTCCCGTTGAGGGACAGTGTAAAGTTGTTTGCTATCTAGTAATGGGGAATGGGGAAGAGTAGCTGTGCTACCCGTGCTACTTATTTCCCGTTGAGGGACAGTGTAAAGTTGTTTGCTATCTAGTAATGGGGAATGGGGAAGAGTAGCTGTGCTACCCGTGCTACTTATTTCCCGTTGAGGGACAGTGTAAAGTTGTTTGCTATCTAGTAATGGGGAATGGGGAAGAGTAGCTGTGCTACCCGTGCTACTTATTTCCCGTTGAGGGACAGTGTAAAGTTGTTTGCTATCTAGTAATGGGGAAGAGTAGCTGTGCTACCCGTGCTACTTATTTCCCGTTGAGGGACAGTGTAAAGTTGTTTGCTATCTAGTAATGGGGAGTGGGGAAGAGTAGCTGTGCTACCCGTGCTACTTATTTCCCGTTGAGGGACAGTGTAAAGTTGTTTGCTATCTAGTAATGGGGGGAGCCATTGTGGTGTAGCGGCTAGATGCTTGCCTTTGGAAATGAAGGTTGTGGGTTGGAGTCCTGGTGGAGCCAAACTTAAAATTAAAAAAAACCCTTGGCTCTCAGGTCGACCACGGCTTGAGTGAGTACCAGCTGCGGTCCTGGGAATGATCCTGGGAAGTGAAGGCGGCCGGCGTGATGCTGACTACATCACCCACCGAGTGCCGATTGGTCCATGAAATGTAGGTCTAGCCGTATATGCTCAATACACCTGAAGGTGTGGAAAAAGGTCCTTTCTTTTATTTTTAATAGAAAGTTTTTATTTTTATTTTTTATTAATTTTTAAAAAATTATATGCTGCTTATTATTATGAGAAATATAGTAAACAAGTTGCAACTTCTGATGAAAAATAATAAACCAATTGCAGCTTAAAGGAAAAAATAATGTGTGTATACTTCATTGTTAGAGAATTAGTTCATAAATTATTTGTGTCATGTACTAATGAGTGTGTATGTTAGAGAATTAGTTTGTAAATTATTTGTGTCATGTACTAATGAGTGTGTATGTTAGAGAATTAGTTTATAAATTATTTGTGTCATGTACTAATGAGTGTGTACATTAGAGAATTAGTTCATAAATTATTTGTGTCATGTACTAATGAGTGTGTATGTTAGAGAATTAGTTCATAAATTATTTGTGTCATGTACTAATGAGTGTGTATGTTAGAGAATAAGTTTATAAATTATTTGTGTCATGTACTAATGAGTGTGTACATTAGAGAATAAGTTTATAAATTATTTGTGTCATGTACTAATGAGTGTGTATGTTAGAGAATTAGTTTATAAATTATTTGTGTCATGTACTAATGAGTGTATACATTAGAGAATTAGTTTATAACTTATTTGTGTCATGTACTAATGAGTATATTAGAGAATTAGTTTATAAATTATTTGTGTCATGTACTAATGAGTGTGTACATTAGAGAATAAGTTTATAAATTATTTGTGTCATGTACTAATGAGTGTATACATATAATTTTGTCATTTCCACACTAGAACAATTGGTTCACATGCTGTGGAATGTTTACCAGTTCTACAAGCAGTACGAGCCATCCATTGAAGCAGAGGTCAAACGGTTGAGGTCACCTATTGACAAGCAGCTAAAGGTAGGCCGGGGCTAGACCTTGCATGTCCACTCTTTATGCACCAGGGGATGAGTGGTCTGGGAGCATGGTGTCCGCCTTGAGTGCTGGGGGTCCCGGGTTCAAGCCCCGATAAAGGCTGGGATTTTTTCTCATGGACTTCTAGTAATTTTCCCTGGTCTCTGGGTAGTAAGACTGGTCTCCCACGTGCATTGTTGCGCATGTACACACACAAAAATCCCTTTCCCATTCGAAATCAAAAAGAGTAGCTCAACAGTGCTGCAAAGGCAAAAATTTGGAGTGAAAAATCTACCCAAAGTATTTCAGGATCCTTGCCGGTACAACAGAGTATGTGAAAGGTCAAGCAACGGTTCTCACATTCATCAAATGCATAAAGCAGCTGCCAACGCCTTCAGTCTACCACTAGAATTACCATTCATAGTTGATGGAAGCAGCGTCTGTGGCTTAGGCGTTGCAAACTCGCTTCAGAATGCCGGGATGTCAGGTTCGATCCCAGCTGTGGACAATTTGTCTTGTGTCGGTTTAGACAAGGGTACTGAGAGCTGACCGTTCTAAAGTAATGGCAAACTACTGAATGTATAATTTGCCTAGGAAAACACAAGAGCCAAAAAATGCTGGGGTTGGTTCTGCAATGCCCTCTAAAAGATACGTACAACTAACTTTATTTAGTTGATGGAAGCAGCAGTCAAGACAAACCAGCAGGTGCTGCACGCATTACTGCATAAGGCACACCATCATTTCTGTCGCAGCTCACAGTGCCACAACCTGCAATCAAAACTCAGTAGCTGGGCAGTAGTCTAGATATACTTTTTCTACTGCCTTCGCCCTTGAAAGGGTGGTACACATATTCAGGTGTCCAGTTAGACTGCCGTGTTTGCACCTTCTGCCCAAGTCATCTGGTTTCAGGAAGCCCGTAGTCAATCATATACCACATGCTTGTCAGAGAGACAGTCATTCTTATTTTTTCTTCCCAAATGTTGCAAAATTATAAATATTCGATACCATTGTTCTTCTTCTTCTTTTTTTTTTGTGTTTTGTTTTGTTGGCGAGACTGGATCCCCTTTAGGGTCATTCTGTTAAAAAAAAAAAATCAGTCTGGCTACTTCTGGAGACTGAACCCTAAACACTGTTTGCAGATAGTTGCTGTGTTATAAACAATGTATTTACTTAGTATTTTAATAGATCTATACTCAGATAAGAAGTATATATTTGATTTTTTACCCAGGATATTCAGGTGTGCAAAGAAATCAGCAGGCTGATAGATTGGCTGCTGCCAGCTCTCTGGGGTCAAGTAAACAGTACATCTGAACAGAGCATCCTTATCTGCAAGGGGTGGTTCAGCTGAGAGTGAACAGAGGGTCTCCCATGGGGTAAAAAGGCACACTTTCAAATCAGGTTGCAACTTGCAGCATCAGCGAAGGAACTCTTCACTGACTGCTGGTGGGGGGGGGGGTGGGGTGGGGGGGGGGGGGGGGTGGGGTGGGGGGGGGGGGTGGGGGGGGGGGGGGGGGGGGTATGGAACCAAATTGGGAATGCCCTAAGTTCCCTGATGTCAATTCTTGATTGTTTGATTCATTAATTGGTTTGCAAACATAGTTATTTGTAGTTTGTGATTAGATGCATTGAAGATATAAAACCTTTTTTCTTTGCAGGGTTTTGTAAAGATTGCCAGGTGGAGTGACTTGAACTATTGGGCCCTGAAAACCACGACAGAGAAGACGCACAGAACAGTGCACAAGTACATCAAGGAGTATCAGGTAAGTGTACACACAGTCACACACTGGACAGATTTCTGTTGATTGTTTTGTGTTTTATGATTTCATTCTTTTATATCCATGCAGAGAGAGAAAGAGAGAGAGAAAAGGAAAGTACGGACTTTATTTTCAAAGGATTAAGAATTGGGTACACAGGCCCATCTTACATTCTGTCGTGACACCGTGCATACATTATTCCATTCTTACATCCCTTTAGCAGATAATAAGAATAAACATCATCATCAAACATCTAAGTCTTAGTCACAAATGCTGGAGTATGCTGTAAGTATACATACATTTAAAAACAGCAATGATACTAAGTGTAATAAATCAGCAATATGCAGAGAGAGAGAGAGAGAATATGAGTGACATACAGAGACAAAAAGCAAGGAGAGATTGGAAAGAGAGGAGGGAGAGAGAGCAGAGGGGAGGGGGGGGGGGGAGAGAAAGATGGGTAATAGTAGTAAAAAAAAAGAGTATTTTTATCTTCATCTTATGTAATTATTGTTGGCACCTTTCCGTCTGTCCAGAGATAGTATTGTGCTATAAAGAGGTGTAGAAACTACAACCTATGGCCGTGGCGAATGTGGCTTGCAAGACCAGCATGCAACAAGAAAAGTTGTCCACAGAGGCTGCATGGGAATTCGGGACCGTTTTTGTCATTGCATGTTTTTCTTCTCAAACGTTCAACTCTTAGTCTATCTGCAGTCACCTTCTCTTTTGCCTCTAATCCCCTCCTGATCATTTCTCTCCATGTAATGCGATCTGTGGCATCCTATTCTCATGAGTTTACCTTAATACCAGTTTTATTCCTGTCCTGCTTGCATACGTCTTTGTATCAACCGAGAGATCTTCTGCCTGTCTGTAATTCTGCTTGCCTATATTTAACTATACACTAGTTTTAACCAGAGTCGTAGTTTATTGCTAGGTATATAGACTAATGAATTGAATTGACAGTTTTAAATATGCTGTGAGCACCATAAACCAAACATCACATCGCTGGAGAATTGTTCCTTTATATACTTTTGACAAGGTAACTAAACTTAGGTAAATAATTTCTTCTTCGCTTTCACCAGGTGTAAACTTCGGCGGAAAGTTCTTGTTGTTCGTTCCAGAACCTGAGTGTTGCGTGTGCATCCATTTTACAAATCTGACTTTTTTATGTACAGACTGTTTGTTCCTTGCTTCTCAGGCAGATGCACTCTGACTTTGAAGGAAGCTCCCAATTAGTCGACTCTTATGATGTGCTTTTGGGTAGCCAATAGGTCTATTCTTGGTTCCTCTATAATAGGGCCCCGGAACCCACGCGGGAAGGTAAATAAATTGTTTTCATCCATGTGTAAAGGCCAGAGGAAGACCCAGGAAAAATAGATAGATGGAGTAGCTGAATACGGCCAGAAGATCCAGAAAACTGTCACTCAAATCACGTGAGAGGCACAAAACAAATATTTTAAACCACGACACTGGGCTGCAACCCTGTAAAAGTGAAGAAGACAATAGAATAGATAGATAGATAGATAGACCCATGTGTAGATTCCGGGGCCCAAGAATAGACCAAACGCTGTTTAAGAAGCTTGTCATAAAAAATGTACTAATTCAAGATTTGAAAGAAGGAAAGAAATTGGATGTGTTGGGCCAAGAGGTACAGATATCACAGCCCAGCTGTAAACCAAACTTTTTATGATCGCACACAAGAGAAGTTATGCTTAGTGGCATAGGCACAAAAGCTTTGAGGAATTGAGTTATACTGCTAGAAAAAATGACTGGCTGACAGTCAAGAGTTTCTGTTAATTTTTTGACAGGCTGTCTTGCGTCAGCCCGCCAAGAGCATGCTGGGAGACAGAGGGGATGATCTTGTGGCACAGGCAGTGAAACAGATGTCAGGTTTTGCCTTGGAAGAGCAGATCACCTCATTCACACAGGCCATCACAAGCAGTCTGAGGTCTGCTCAAGTATATGTGAGTAACATGTGTCTTTGGCATTATTTGTATTTCTGAGTACTGTTGGTCTTTGTCTGTCACTATGTTTCTGAGTACTGTTGGTCTTTGTCTGTCACTATGTTGCTGAGTACTGTTGGTCTTTGTCTGTCACTATGTTGCTGAGTACTGTGGGTCTTTGTCTGTCACTATGTTTCTGAGTACTGTTGGTCTTTGTCTGTCACTATGTTTCTGAGTACTGTTGGTCTTTGTCTGTCACTATGTTTCTGAGTACTGTTGGTCTTTGTCTGTCACTATGTTTCTGAGTACTGTTGGTCTTTGTCTGTCACTATGTTTCTGAGTACTGGGGGTCTTTGTCTGTCACTATGTTTCTGAGTACTGTGGGTCTTTGTCACTATGTTTCTGAGTACTGTGGGTCTTTGTCTGTCACTATGTTTCTGAGTACTGTGGGTCTTTGTCTGTCACTATGTTTCTGAGTACTGTGGGTCTTTGTCTGTCACTATGTTTCTGAGTACTGTGGGTCTTTGTCTGTCACTATGTTTCTGAGTACTGTGGGTCTTTGTCTGTCACTATGTTTCTGAGTACTGTGGGTCTTTGTCTGTCACTATGTTTCTGAGTACTGTGGGTCTTTGTCTGTCACTTTGTTTCTGAGTACTGTTGGTCTTTGTCTGTCACTATGTTTCTGAGTACTGTGGGTCTTTGTCTGTCACTATGTTTCTGAGTACTGTGGGTCTTTGTCTGTCACTTTGTTTCTGAGTATTGTTGGTCTTTGTCTGTCACTATGTTTCTGAGTACTGTGGGTCTTTGTCTGTCACTATGTTTCTGAGTACTGTGGGTCTTTGTCTGTCACTATGTTTCTGAGTACTGTTGGTCTTTGTCTGTCACTATGTTTCTGAGTACTGTGGGTCTTTGTCTGTCACTATGTTTCTGAGTACTGTTGGTCTTTGTCTGTCACTATGTTTCTGAGTACTGTGGGTCTTTGTCTGTCACTATGGTTTCTGAGTACTGTTGGTCTTTGTCTGTCACTATGTTTCTGAGTACTGTGGGTCTTTGTCTGTCACTATGTTTCTGAGTACTGTGGGTCTTTGTCTGTCACTTTGTTTCTGAGTATTGTTGGTCTTTGTCTGTCACTATGTTTCTGAGTACTGTGGGTCTTTGTCTGTCACTATGTTTCTGAGTACTGTTGGTCTTTGTCTGTCACTATGTTTCTGAGTACTGTGGGTCTTTGTCTGTCACTATGTTTCTGAGTACTGTTGGTCTTTGTCTGTCACTATGTTTCTGAGTACTGTGGGTCTTTGTCTGTCACTATGTTTCTGAGTACTGTGGGTCTTTGTCTGTCACTATGCTTCTGAGTACTGTGGGTCTTTGCATTCTTTGTATTTCTGAGTATTATGTTTCTGTGACTTTAGGTTTCGGTTTGGCATTTTTTTTAAATTCCTAATACTGTGTGTCTTAGACATTCTTTAGGTTTCTGAGTACTGTGTGTCATTGACATTCTCTGTGTTTCTGCGTACTGTATGTCTTTGACATACCTTTTGTTTCTGGGTACTTTGGGTCTTTGTTTCTAAGAACTGTGGGTCTTTGTTTTTGAGTACTGTGGGTCTTTGACTTTCTTAACATTTCTGAGTACAGTCTGTCTTTTACATTCTCTGTGTTTCTGAGTACTGTGTGTGTTTGAGATTATCTGTTTCTGAGCACTATCTTTCTTTTACAGTCTCTGTATTTCTAAATACTGTTGATCTTTGACATTCTTTATGTTTCTGAGGACTGTGACTTTTAAATTCTCTATATTCCAGAGTACTGTGTGTCTTTGACTGTCCTTATGTTTCTGAGTACTGTGTGATTCTTTATGTTTCTGTGTTAGATGTGACTTTTTCATTCTCTATATTTCTGAGTATTCTGGGTATTTGACATTCTTTAGGTTTTTGAGTACTGTGCGATGCTTCTGAGTACTTTCTGTCTTTTGCATTCTCTGTTTTCCTGAGTACCGTGGGTCTTTGACACTCTTTATCTTTCTGAGTACTGTGTGTCTTTGGCAGTCTCTGTGTATCTGACTGTGCGGCTCTGTGCCTTAGAGGTTATTAAAATTTAAGAATTTCATGATCCACAAGTTAAAAAAAAAGGACCCTTTTCCATGCCTTTAGGCGTATAGGGCATATAGGGCTAGACATTTATTTTTATAGACCAATCGGCACAAGATGGGTGATGTGGTCAGCATCACGCCGGCCGCCTTTACTTCCCGGAACTGCACCCAGTAAGCACTCAAAGCTGGGTCAACCTGGAAGCCAAAGTCATTTTTGAAAAAAAAAAAGAAGTCTGGCTCCTCCAGGGAGCGAACCCAAGACCTTGCGATCCGCGGTGAGCATCTAGCCGCTCTGCCACGGAGACTCCCATGATCCACAAGTACTATGGTTTATATGCAGGGTAGACAGTTTATTTTAAATTTTTTTTCATTCTACAAAATGTTTCAGTCAGTATTATGAGAGTTGCGTTGTGGAAAAGATTCTTACCACCTAATATTTTGAAAGACAGCTTTCTTTCTTTCTTTCTTTCTTTCTTTCTTTCTTTCTTTCTTTCTTTCTTTCTTTCTTTCTTTCTTTCTTTCTTTCTTTCTTTCTTTCTTTCTTTCTTTCTTTCTTTCTTTCTTTCTTTCTTTCTTTCTTCCTTCCTTCCTTCCTTCCTTCCTTCCTTCCTTCCTTCCTTCCTTCCTTCCTTCCTTCCTTCCTTCCTTCCTTCCTTCCTTTCCTTCCTTCCTTCCTTCCTTCCTTCCTTCCTTCCTTCCTTCCTTCCTTCCTTCCTTCCTTCTTTCTTTCTTTCTTTCTTTCTTTCTTTCTTTCTTTCTTTCTTTCTTTCTTTCTTCCTTCCTTCCTTCCTTCCTTCCTTCCTTCCTTCCTTCCTTCCTTCCTTCCTTCCTTCCTTCCTTCCTTCTTTCTTTCTTTCTTTCTTTCTTTCTTTCTTTCTTTCTTTCTTCCTTCCTACCTTTCTTTCTTTCTTTCTTTCTTTCTTTCTTTCTTTCTTTCTTTCTTTCTGTCTTTCTGTCTTTCTTTCTTTCTTTCTTTCTTTCTTTCTTTCTTTCTTTCTTTCTTTCTTTCTTTCTTTCTTTCTTTCTTTCTTTCTTTCTTTCTTTCTTTCTTTATCAGCCATTCTGTGCCAAGCAGATATGGACTTTCTTTTATGTTTGTGATAAACTGTTAAAACACATGGATGGGCATATATACATCTCATCCTGTATATATCTATGCATGCATATGCACAGGCATAGTTTTGTATGACTCAAGAATTATCAGTGCATGTAACCATTAAACATTGTTTAAATCTTTTAAATAAAGTCCGTGTTTTGTGTTTTGTTTAAGGAATCTTGCATGTTCAAGTTGCCGTCTGCTGTTAGCAGTGATGTCTCCTTGCTGCTCCGAATGCCGAGTCTCTTTAAAAAGATGAAGAAACATTTGATCAAATGTGTTGCTGATAGCAGAGATGTGAGGATGATAGTTGTGTTTGATGATTTTACTGGTGAGTGTGTTAATAATAATAAACATTGATGATATGTGTTTGATGATTTTACTGGTGAGTGTGTTGATAAACATTGATGATATTTGTTTGATGATTTTACTGGTAAGTATGTTGATAAACATTGATGATATTTGTTTGATGATTTTACTGGTAAGTATGTTGATAAACATTGATGATAGGTGTTTGATGATTTTACTGGTAAGTGTGTTGATAAACACTTGGCAGCTGAAAGTATGAGATCCTGGTTAACTACTCCATGACATTGTCAGCTAGCTGTGGCCATGTTGTGGCTTAACCTTTTCATTGATTAGGGAAAATGTTTAACCCATACAAAAGAAATGTTTTACACATGTCACTAATCAGTTTGTTACAGATGTGTTTATGTGTGCATTTTACACATTTTATAATTAGTAAGTTTGAGGTTTTGAACCATGGATCAACATCATGGCACACGGGTGTAACCCATAAGTGCTCTGTTTTTCTAACTCAAGTCCGAAAGAGTCAGAAAAAGCTCAGCACAGTGCACAGGCTGTATAGCGTCGGCAAAGATCCTGAAATACTTTGTGTAGATTTCCAACTCCACATTTTGCCCGGGCAACAGCTCTGGCTACTCTTTTCCATTTCCAACTGCCAAGGAATTTGTTATGACGCAACAACGCTCACGGGTGTCCGATCTCATTACCCAGAGATGGTGATATAAGGACTTATCATCATCAGGTGCCTTGCCAACTGGCATGGGCTATCATGCCTCTCCATAATCCGCGATCTCCTGAAGCATGTATCAGTGTGCCGACACACCTCCATGCCATGCAACAAGACTGTCAAGCAGCTTCTCTCGTTGTCTTCCTCTATCCCTCCTTCCACAGATCTTTCCAGTGGTCACAACATATTCTATTTTCCCTCTTCTCATAACATGGCCGAAAAATGATGACTGTCTCCTTCTGATGTCAGTGATAAGTTGTCTTCGGGCTCCCGCCTCTTTTAAAACCTCTTGGTTGCTCTTTTTGGCTAATGACATATCATACCCTAAAAAACTACTTTCCTTACCCTGAATTTTTTTTTTTTTAAAATAAAGAAAATAGAATAAAACCTGGTCTTTCTGTCAACACTGCGAGGTCGCAAGTTAACTATGCCTGTCTGGAAGCAAGCCAGGGCAACCAGGCCAGTTTAGTGGCTTTTCCTAGGATTTGTAACAGATCGGGATGTAGGACTAGCAGCTTGTATGGGCAGAAGGGTTAATAAAGGCACCACCGGCAAATGGGGGAGTCGCCGTGGCGGAGCGGCTAGATGTTCACCTGCGGATTAGAAGGTCATGGGTTCGTTCCCTGGCGGAGCCAGACTTTTTTCAAACATGACCTCGGCTCCCAGGTCGACCCAGCCTTGAGTGGCTACCGGGTGCAGTCCCGGGAAGTAAAGGCGGCCGGCGTGATGCTGACCACATCACTCATCTTGTGCCGTTTGGTCTAAAAAATTTAGGTCTCGCCCAATATACCTAAAGGCGTAGACAAGGGTCATTTACTTTACCACCAGCAGAGAAAAAAATGAAATGAATGTTACCTGCCTCAGGCTGGGATAATCCATATTCTTGAGACATGTAAAGGGGGAAACTGACTGGAGTGCCTTGTGACCACAATAAAAGTAAAGGGGAAGAAAGCTGGGGGGGGGGGGGGGGGGGTTTGATCCACTGACCTCTAAGGATGTCATCAAAAGATGACTGATTTGAGTTTTGCTTAGATTTCACTTGGGGAAGAAAGCCGGGGGGATACCAGAGTTTTACTCCCTGTGTGGGTTTGGGCAGTGGGGGCATGGAAGAAATTGATCCACTGACCTCTAAGCATCTCATAAAAAGATTACTAATTAAGGTTTTGCTTATGTTAAATGTGTTGGACTGAAAATCCTGTATATTAAAGCTTGGTTGTAAACCACACACAGTGTGCTGCCTTTCCATGAATGGACAGATACAGAAGTCTTTTTTGTTTCCCTAATCAAGAAGAACAGTCGCACATGACAGAATGGATGTTGCGACTAGAAAGCTGTTCCCAGAAAACAATGCATAAACATAACGGAAAGACTCAGAAACAACTACTTCAATAACTACATCATCACTACTTCGCTTCAAGCATGAATCTTGTCAGATACGCCTGGAAAGAAAAATCCAGCTGGGCCATGAGTTCTCTAGGCCAACTTTGTAGTTATGGTTCCCTTTCAGGGTTGTCATCTGCAGGATTAACACCCCAAGGATGAGAATCAAACCCTAGAAGCCCCTTTCACCCATATAACACAGCTAGGAAGCAAGCTGCAGAGTGTAGGGAGTGAAAAGGGTATCAGGCCTGCTTTGATGTACTCTGAATTTTATAGTTTGGTTTGATAAAGGGGTTGTCATGAGTAATTTATATGTATGTGCATATAATTTTACATTGCAGGTGAACTTATTCAAGAAGTACATGAGTTACAGGGACTTCAAGTTAATATGGTAAGTAGATTTGGTTTTACAGAATGCTTGAAATTGCTTTGACAGCTTAAATGAATAATAGAAAAGAGTGTCCATCCAGGAGAATTAGTATGCCTTTGATGTTGGAAACCCCCTTAAAATATGTTACGGAGCCTGATTTACCAAATTAAGACACTAATGGTTTGATGAATGCATCATTAGTGCTGTCATCATCTGTTCTCTTTATGCCTAATGACACATGAGGCTTCAGAGAGGAATCCCCATGCCTTCCTGACCTGTGCAATCTTCAGGGCGGTTTTCCATGTCAGAGATGCCGCATTGAGGTCACTCTCCATCGTTCGTCTCCAAGTTGTTTTTGAGCACCCCTGTTTTCTCTTTCCCTCAGGCGTCCACTTGAGAGCTGTTTTGGCAGGCATTTCAGGATTCATTCTCATAATGTGGCCAAGCTGTTTCCATCTTCTCTTGATTATCATACTGTCTAGAGTTTCTTGGTTTGTGACTTGCGGTAGTTTAGTGTTTGAGATTGTGTGTGGCCATAACATTTTGATAGTTCTATGTAGACATGTGTGGTGGAAGGTGAATAGATTGAGCACATACATGTTGCTGTGCTGTCATCAAATTTATTAAAACAAATCCTTGTGTGGCTACTGTTTTCCAATTTGGGGGTAAAAAATGTACCTACTGACCCTCATCAAGCATTTCGTAAAAAGTACTAAGGGTTTGTTAAAATTTAATGCATTGGACCAAAAAGCGTAGTTATCGAATCCCAGCTGAAAACAACACAATGTGCCAACTGCTGTTTTAAAGATGAACACAGAAGAAGAAGTTACTAGCACATTATGTTGAGAGAGGTTATCTAACTGTAAATATCACACTGTAACCTTTATTTCAATTCCAGAACGCTGAGAAGGACAAGCAGAAGTCTGAAGCCCGGTCCTTCAATATGAGAAAACGTAAAAGCTTAGCAGATTTATTCAAGATCTTGTCTCAGATTGGTATGTGAACTGTGTCTATGAATAATAGCTAAGTTGTTTTTTAAAGTAACATTTGCCTCTAATATATGTATTATCAGGCTTTTTATTGTTGTTGTAATTGTTGTTGTTATAGAAAAAAGTGAGTGGCATTTGCCTTTAATAAATGTATTGTCAGGTTTTTTTTTCTGTTGTAATTGTTGTTGTTATAGAAAAAAGGGCAGGAACTCACTAGAAAGTGTCTAAAATGATACCAGTACTCAATCCATTGTGTCTGTTAGAGTAACTCTGAAAAATTGCTGCCTAAACAAAGGTACTGGTACTCATACCTCAGTTTATATTGGGGGTGGGAGGGAGGGTCAGGGTAGGAGATTTTGCCATACACTCAAAGAGGGGAAGACCGCTGCTGTAGTTGATGCTGAGGAATATTATGTTGATTTCCACTTAGTTCTTTCGTCTACATGCAGTGTGTGACGGTGGTTTCTCACTTTTTCATTTATCTTGATCAGGCTGTAGAAATGGAACGTGCATTTTTTTTTCCACAGTTGGTGTTTTCGCCTTTGAACATCTGTTTAGATTTCTGGTCTTAAACCAGTTACACAATCACTTACCTGCCTGGTACAGCAAGATACACCATGGTAATGCTTGGTGTATCTGTTATGTTGAACAGGATAATGTTATTTTGCCTGTTGGGTTAATGCCAGGATGCAACTCTTGGGTATCACTTGCTCTTTGGGTGGGAGCCAGAAAGACAACCTGTCAGTCTCATGCAAGTTGAGTGTGCTCTTTCATTTCATTGGCCTCACCATTTACCTTTGCTGCCATTCGAGCGGAAATTCCATTTTACTTACTTACTTACTTTCTTAGTCGCTCCTCTTTTACCCTGGGGTGTAGAGGTTTGCCAGAGAGATCGCCAGATGTCTCTATCAGTAGTTTTTGTCCTTTTGTTCCATTCCTGTTCTCTGTCAGTTAGGGACTGTCGGATGTTGTCTTTCCAGCGGACCCTGGGTCGCCATGGAGGTCTGGTTTCCTGGTTCTTGGCCTCCCATGTCTGCCATGGTGACCGATTTTTTTCCCATTCTGCATACATGTTTAAACATTGTATCTGTGACTGATCCACTCGGGTTTGTAAGGACTGGGTTTCAAGACCTTGACGTATTGTCTGATTGCAGACTTTGTCCCTTCTTGTCACTTGGACCATATTTCTCAGATATCTCATTTCTGAGGCCTGGAGCTGGCTTCTGTGAGCTGTTGTCATTGCCCATGACTCACACCGGTAGGTCACGACTGGTACATAGGTCGAGCGGTAAACGGCTGTTTTACTGTAATAATCGCTTGAAACTAATTTTATATTTAGGCTCATAAGTATAAATTGAGAGTGGGAACTACAGCATGTTGTTAACACTTTGCAAGATTAATTGTCTGATTTTTCTTCTGTTCTGCAGGACTGTCGTATCGCAAAGGAGTTACAGGAAAAGCTGGCCGTGGTTTCAACAGTGCCCTGGAACTGCCTCCTTTGAACCTTCAAGCTCACCCAGAGTAATTTTACTTATTGAAAACTTGATTTTCCTTTACATTCACCATGCAAAAGTAATGTTTCAGATATACTCTTTCTGTGGGTTTATGTAGTGCAAATACTGTATAATAGGTTCAGTTTCTTATTAGTTGCTGTGAGGTTCCCTGAAATGAAAAAGCCGATAAACTAGCTAAAGAAGGTGCAACTGAAGAACAACCTGACATACCAGTCTCTTATCAACAGGAGAAGAAAATAATCAAATCATCAGAAAGCCACCAGAACTGGCACAAGATGATTACCGTATTATGGACAGACCAGAGCAAGTTATTTAAGTTATTATTCTACGCCTTAGAACAGGGCATAGTTGACTTTGCAGCCACATGTATGAACAATTTAAAATTGTCTGTCCTAAATATGAAAATCCAGGCAATACTTCTTGCCAAGAGAGAGACTGATGAAAGCCAAACTTTACGGCCACAAAGTGAATGATAAAAGACAGTTCATACTAGAAACAGCATTGCAGATATAGATAATTTTTTTCAAGTGAATGAAAGAAGAAGAATATCCCCAGTAATTTTTCTCTCTCTTGCCAGAGTTAAGGTTAAAGGTTACAGTTGAGAGGGTTGACTTCATTGTGGGAAAAAAACTAAGAATAGACCCACTGCCTCCCTAACAAGCTCATCATAAGAGTTTACTAATTAGGGGCTTCCTTCAATCAGAGTGTGTCTGCATGAACGGCAGGGAATCAACAGTCTGCAAACATTATGGATGCCCCCCTGTGTGGGTTCCGGGGCCCTGTTATAGGGAAAACAAGAATAGACCCACTGCCTACTCAAAAAAAATGTCGTAAGAGTCGACTAATTGGGAGCTTCCTTCGAAGCCAGAGTGCATTTACCTGAGAGGCAAGGAACCAACAGTCTGCACACAAATGTGTCAAATTTGTCAAATGGATGCACACGCAACACTCAGGTTCTGTAATAGGACTGCAGTTCAAAAATGGACGAACAACCAGAACTTTCCACCAGAGTTAACAGCTGGTGAATGCAAAGAAGAATATGAATGAGCAGCCAGACCTTTCTACATTGGGCATCGCAGACATCATCTTTTATAGATAGTTCTATTTTACGTATCAAGCATATTATGTTCATAGATTGAAATGTATAGTATGAATGTAAATTGAAAACACAAAAGCATGGATGGCAATCGAATATACGTGCAAAAATATACACTCAGTGCAGAGGCAGAAAAGCCATGAGGCAGTGGAAGGGTCTGAGTTGAGAATGAGAGAGAAAGAGTCCTGTTCAGTCTTTTCTAGTCTCCTGTTTGCACGCTCCAAACATTAATGCATTTTGTGTATGATGTGTCCATGACAAGTTAGGTAGACAGTTTTTGTTCTCACAGCTTGTAAAATTCTGTATACTGCTAAACTGATTTAATTTGCTGATGTAAAACATGTAGCAGATGAGTGACAGGTGAGTGGTAGGCACAGTAATAGTTGGTTAGAAAGAATAGCTTTAAAAAAAAAGTAAACGACCCTTTTCCACGCCTTCAGGCATATTGGGCATATAGGGCTAGATCTATATTTTTATAGACCAAACAGCACTTGGTGGGTGATGTGGTCAGCATCACGCTGGCCGCCTTTACCAGGACTGCACCTGGTACCTACTCAAGGCTGGGTCAGCCTGTGGCTCCACCAGGACCCAAAACCCACAACCTTTCAATCCCCATGCAAGTGTCTAGCCGTTACACCGGGGCGACTGCAAAGGATGGTGCCCAGTTTTTAATTCTTGAGAAATTAGGTATGTTTTTTCTTTGTGTGACAAGACAGGCTCCAAGTGATGTATATTCTGCTCTAGTCTTGTCACTATGATTGTCTCTGTCTGTCTGTCTGTCTTTCTGTTTGTCTGTCTGTCTGTCTGTGTGTGTCTTTCTGTCCTCTCTTATCTCTCTTTTTTCACCGTCTCTGCCTTGGTGCTTTTACTGTCCTCCCTCTTTCTCCTAATTCTGAGCACTTGTGGGAGTGCCCTGAGTGCTGTGATGTCAATTCAACATTCTCCTAGCTCTCTGCCTACAGTTTCAATCAGTATATTGAATGCCTTGTATGTTGACATTCTTCATCAAGCTTATTCTGGTTTCCCCAGGAGCTGACCATGGCAGACATTGAGAGGATTCGAGGTTTCATAGAACACTTCTCTCAACTGTTCATAGAACAGCGTGGCAGGTTGTCTGCCCTTGCATCCAGTTTCCTGGCACTCAAGTAAGTGATCGCACTATTGCCAAGTACTGCAGAAGTACATCTACACATATACTGCTGCTGATACTGCTAATACTACCGCCATTTTTTTCTAATAATTCTCTTATCTGTTGTTTCTCCTGCTTCTTCTTCCTCTCTTCTTCTCTTTCTACTGCTGTGGCTCCTACTACCGACCATCCTCCTCCTCCTCCTCCCACTTGTGCTACTGTTGCTCATCTTCCTCTACATTTTATTCCTTCTCCTCCCACTTGTGCTACTGTTGCTCATCTTCCTCTACATTGTCTTCCTTCTCCTCCCACTTGTGCTACTGTTGCTCATCTTCCTCTACATTTTCTTCCTTCTTCATTGTCTGCTTATTACCATTTTTTTTTTCTTCTTTTAACCTTTTTGCTGTTATGTGATCAGAATCTTGCTGTTGTAGAATTATATTTATTGTTACATTTTTCAATAATTTGAATAGTTTGAGCTGTAATTTTATCATTGTTAATGCATGTTTCCTGTGATTATTTATATAGTCCAGTGACTTGTTTTAAGAGATTAAATATTTTTCTTTTAGGCTGACACGTGTTTTTGAAACCTTCTTCAACACAAATTTATTTTGAGATTTAGAGAAATTATTATTTGTCTGCCTCAAAAACAAATTAAAAGCTTGCATTTAGTTTCATTGTTGTAGAATTTTAACTCAAAAAATGTTGTTCTTGCCAGTAAAATGTTGGTGTCCATGAAGTCGCTCCAGAAGTCATCTTCCCACAGTCTGCCACCTCAGTCAGAGAGTCATTCATGGCTGGTAAGATTTCTTTTTTATTATAAATGTTTTCCTTGTGGGTTCCAGGACCCTATGGGGGGTGGGGAATAGACCCTCTGCCTTCCCACCAAGCTTATTCTGGGAGACGACTAATGAGGGGGATTTCTTTCAAAGTTGAAGTGCATCTGTCTGAGAGGCGAGGAACAAATAGTCTGCACACAGATAAGCCAGATCTGTAAAACGATGTGCAAGAAAAACTTATGTTCTGGAACAATCCAGAAGTGGACAAACAACCAGAACATTCCACCAAAGTTTACAGCTAGTGAACACAGAGATGAAGTTTTGTTAATTTTGTCTCATTTGATGAGGAGCTGATATCCCGATGTCCGAGTCTGTGGCTTAGGCGTTGCCAACGGGCTTTGTAGTCCTGGGTTCAATCCCAGCTGCGGGCCTTGCATTGGTTTTGACAGTGGTATCGAAAAGCTGACTGTCCAAAAAGCAATGGCAAACTACTGCACATAAATTTGCCTAGATAAACCACAACACCCCCCAAAAAAAATGCTGGGGTCGGTTCTGCCAAAACGTCCTGAAATGATACGCAACTAACTAACTTTAAGATATCCAGGTGGTTAGAGCGCAGGGTTCTTGCCAGAGATCATTTCAGTACTTGGAAAGGAATAGAAATTTGTTTTTGCTGGGAGCACAAATATAAAATCCTAACCTGCACATTTAATGCGACCGCACTTGCCACGTGGCCTTACATTTCTCAGTGGGTGCTAAGTACAGCATAAATGTTTATTTTTGTTTCTCCCCAGTGTTCACCCTTAAAAAACTGTTGGCACATTGTGTTGTGGTTTAAAGCTAGGCTGCAACATCTGTGTTTTAATGGCATAGAAAATTAAAAGTAGGATTTACTTTTAGTCAAATTGTCAACATTTTTAACTGCCTTTACAGATTTATAGACAATGAAATCAATTATGATGAAAGTAGTGCTTACTAACTATGCAAGTGTTTTTTATAAAAGTATTATTTACTAACTGTGAAATGTTATTTACTAACTATGCAAGTGTTATTTACTAACTATGCAAGTGTTATTAACTAACTATGCAAGTGTTATTTACTAACTATGCAAGTGTAATTTACTAACTATGCAAGTGTTATTTACAAACTATGCAAGTGTTATTTACTAACTATGCAAGTGTTATTTACAAACTATGCAAGTGTTATTATAAAAGTATTATTTACTAACTGTGAAATGTTATTTACTAACTATGCAAGTGTTATTTACTAACTATTCAAGTGGTATTTACTTAATATAAAAGTGTTATTTACTACTAAAAAGTGTTATTTACCAACTACAAAGGTGTTATTTACTAACTACAAAAGTGTTGTTTACTAACTACGACTTTTAAGGATTATGATGAGAATGACCCATTTCACAGATTTTTATGTTGGAAACTTAGAAACTTTTGAATTAATACCTAATAATTATATAATTAATACTGCAATAACAGATTGTGTACGTGTTCTTTTTCAGGCTCAAATAAAGCAGCTGACCACACAGCTGTGTGAAGGCCTGCTACAGTTCCAGCTACTGCTGGACTCATGCCCCAGTGACCATCAGGACGCGTCTCTTGTGAATGTCCATCCATCTCCTCTGCAAATGTCCAAGCTTCCTCCTTCTGCTTTGTGGAGTAGAGGAGATAATGCGTGGACACAGTGCTTTACCTCACTTCAGGTAGGTTGTTTGTTTTTTAAACTAATTTTAAAAAGCACATTTTAATAAACAATGTGTATTGTACAATACATGTTGTTTATTTATTAAAGTCATCCTTTTTTTTTAAGCATGAAAATACTGTTAACATTTAGAGATGTAAATTTAGTTGGAGATTCTTTACAAAACCTGAAAACTAATTACTGCTTACTGGCTGTTTTGTGGCTTTTTTAGGCAGTTTCACTTTCCTTAGTTTGCCATTTCTGTTTGAATCATACGACCGTCATGCTGCTGTCAGAATTCATACACAACAGTTATCTTCTGCTAGTTTTGAACCTTTTTTGCTTCGGCAGGACTGAAACTGTTCACAACCACTAAGCTACAGATTCTGAAAAAAAGATAAAACATCACAAACTTTTCAGTCCCTTGTACGTTTCCCTTGCAGTGATAACTTATTAATAACGAATGCTGCCTGATGAAATACCCTGTCAACCAACTGCCACAGAGAAGAGCTTTACTGAAAACATAAAAGGAACTAACAAGGGAAAGACAGAACAGATGATATAGTGATGTCATTAAGAACAGCCTTGTTTTCTTAGGCAGCCCAAATCTCCTTTTTCCCATCTGAATCTACATCTCCTTTTTCTATCTGCCATCTATCAAAGAGCTGTCTTTGTCAAAGTGTCACAAGACATTCTTCAGACACGTCCAAGACATCTCCATCATCTCCCACTTGATTTTTAAATAATTTTCTGACTGTCCCCAATTCACTGCCATTCATCAGGAATGGCCCTACATTGCTGTAAACTCTTTCAGTACCAACGAAAGTATTCTATGTTTCTGCATTTTTCCAAAGATAACTTGCTGTTTTTTGCTGTCTTCTGTCACAGACAGATGTTATATGTGTTTGTTATTTTAATTTTACTGTTTCTGTCCAGTAATGTCTCAGTTAAACTCCTTAGGCTGTAATTATTTATAAATTTCAGGCTCAACTCCGAGAGATAGAAAATGGTTTGAATTTCAGGCTCAACTCCGTGAGATAGAAAATGGTTTGAATTTCAGGCTCAACTCCGTGAGATAGAAAATGGTTTGAATTTCAGGCTCAACTCCGTGAGATAGAAAATGGTTTGAATTTCAGGCTCAACTCCGTGAGATAGAAAATGGTTTGAATTTCAGGCTCAACTCCGAGAGATAGAAAATGGTTTGAATTTCAGGCTCAACTCCGTGAGATAGAAAATGGTTTGAATTTCAGGCTCAACTCCGTCAGATAGAAAATGGTTTGAATTTCAGGCTCAACTCCGTGAGATAGAAAATGGTTTGAATTTCAGGCTCAACTCCGTGAGATAGAAAATGGTTTGAATTTCAGGCTCAACTCCGTCAGATAGAAAATGGTTTGAATTTCAGGCTCAACTCCGTGAGATAGAAAATGGTTTGAATTTCAGGCTCAACTCCGTCAGATAGAAAATGGTTTGAATTTCAGGCTCAACTCCGTGAGATAGAAAATGGTTTGAATTTCAGGCTCAACTCCGTGAGATAGAAAATGGTTTGAATTTCAGGCTCAACTCCGTGAGATAGAAAATGGTTTGAATTTCAGGCTCAACTCCGTCAGATAGAAAATGGTTTGAATTTCAGGCTCAACTCCGTGAGATAGAAAATGGTTTGAATTTCAGGCTCAACTCCGTCAGATAGAAAGGGGTTGAAACTTCAGGGTTAACTCTTTGAGATATAAAAATAGAGATATGAGAGATATAAAATAGTTGAAACTTTAGGGTCAACTCTTTGAGGTAGAAACAAGTTGAAATTTCAGGCTCAACTCCATGAGAGAGAAAATGGTTGAATTTTAGGCTCAACTTCATGAGATAGAAAATATTTAAGATAACAACTGCTTGGGACCGAAAGTTAACAACTCTCTTTCTCACCTCCTGTGACAAATGGGAATTGTATAGAGTATTCTTCACCCTGTGAACAGCCACCTTTGTATTGTTACAGATGATGATAAAGTGTGTGAGAGACGAACAGGCTGTCATTGACAAGTTATTGAATAAAAGCATACTTGCGAGGTAAGGATATGTATCTTAATGTTGATAGTGTGGCTGCAAAAGCTGTATTTATGGGGTGTGTGTGTGGGAGGGGGGGGGGGGATGGATTAGGAAAGTTGAGATTGGGGGGGGGCTGAGATAGGTGAAGATTTTCCATGGTGGTATAGTAGTTGGTGCTTGCCAACTATTCTTCTGCCATGTATCCACCCAATGAAGGCCCATACCAGCTTGATCAATATGCTGGGTAGGTTTACTGTTTCTGGTTGTGGCAATTCTTTGCTTATTACAATATTTAGGCGTTGCATTTTCCTCCGTATATAGACTGAAAGGATAAAGTTCCACCACCCAGCTACTGAGTTTAGTCTATGGCATGACACTGTGAGCTGCAGATTTTATTTTTGCTTCTTTTTGACGCCGGTTATTGTAGTTTTATAGTGAACTGCAGATTCAGAAATGGCGAGTAACCTGTTTCCAGAGATAAGGTGTGGTACCTCATGTGATTAACTAGTGCAACTAGTGAACTGCATTCCTATCATCTGTGTATGCTGTTGGTTTTGCAGAGACTGCATTCAGTGACAGTTTTTTCTAAAGTGACAGTAATGGACATTATGTGTGGTTTCCTTTGGCCTTTTGAATATAGCAATTTTTGGTTGACCTCTTCGCTGTCGGGGAGTCGCTGTTGGCATAGTGGCTAGACGCTTCCTGGCAGAGCTGGACTTTTAAACAAATGGCCTTGTCTCGTGGGTACAAGGTGAGTCCTGGGAAGTAAAGGCGGCTGGTATGATGCTGACCACATCACCCATCTTGTGCCATTAGTCTATAAAATATAGGTCTAGCCCTATATACCCAGTACACCTGAAAGGCGTGGAAAAGGGTCCTTTACTTACTCGTCGCTACAAAATTGAAACTGTGATTACCTGAAACCTTACTATCTTTCAGGCTGTAGTTCAAGAGGGAAATTTGGGGGGGGGGGGGGTGTTTATCTTGGTTACAAATAGTTTTGAAACACTTATTTAAGCTGTAATAGGTATAAGTATATTGTGGTAACTTAACTAGTGATTTAACTAAAATAATTAAACAACAAGTTGCTTTAAATATGTTGAACTAGCTGTTTTATTCAGTGAACATTATTTTAGAAATGCTGTAGGTTTTCCCCACACTGTTTTAATGAAGATCATCATCATCAGTTAGCAGGTCCTTTACAGAATGTCACTTTCCTCACAGCATGCTTATAAATCTGTCTCTTGTCACTTCTCCAGCCCTAATGTCTTGTGTCCACCTGATGTCTTGTGTCCACCTAATGTCTTGTGTCCACCTGATGTCTTGTATCCACCTGATGTCTTGTATCCACTTGATGTCTTGTATCCACCTGATGTCTTGTATCCACCTGATGTCTTGTATCCACCTGATGTCTTGTATCCACCTGTCTTGTATCTGCCTGATGTCTTGTATCCACCTGATGTCTTGTATCCACCTGATGTCTTGTATCCACCTGATGTCTTGTATCCACCTGATGTCTTGTATCCACCTGATGTCTTGTATCCACCTGATGTCTTGTATCCACCTGATGTCTTGTATTCACCTGATGTCTTGTATCCACCTGAGTGGAGGTCAGCCTCTGCCTAATTTTTCAGGAAACTGTACCCTCCATGAGGAGTGGCTGGCTGAACAGTTAGAATTCTGGCCTCTCAAGCAGGATACCCAGGTTCGAATCCTCGGTAAGGCTAGGGATTTTTTCTGTCAGAGGCAAAATATAAGTGGCGACAACACTAGCCATGCGGCCATAAATCCTCAGACCCAAAGTTTCCCCTGCCTACACAGCAAAAGTGGTAAAATAAAGGCAGTAATTGGCAGTAGCCTCCATCACAGCTCTCTCCAGGCCACCATGGTGTTGAACATGGCCACAATACCTCAGCTTTCATTTAGAATGTTTCTAGGAATAAGTAATGTGGTAGTCTGCCTTTGCTTTTCACAATCACATGGCTGAGTCTGCCTTTGCTTTCCACATTTACATGGCTGAGTGTGCCTTTGCTTTCCACATTTACATGGCTGAGTCTGCCTTTGCTTTCCACATTTACATGGCTGAGTCTGCCTTTGCTTTCCACATTTACATGGCTGAGTCTGCCTTTGCTTTCCACATTTACATGGCTGACCATCTCAGCCTTTAGCAGTCTTTCAGATTGCCTCAGTGGGTACCCTGCTTAGTGATGCTATTTAGCAAAGATCACTGCAGTTCAAATCTCTGCTGTAACAATTGTTTACCCATTGACTCCACAGGTCAGACTTGGAGACGGTGGCCAAGGTGCTGGATGCTTACAAATGTTTGACAACTCAGCTTTCTGAAATATCCTCCCACTTCACAACGGATGGGACAGAGGATAAATGCTGTCTTGTGTCAACCTTCACCTATCTGTGTTCGGAAATCTCCAGCGTTCATGAAAGCTTCCTCCAGTGGTATAACACAATTCAGGCTAGGCCACATGTAGCAGGTTCTGAGGCAGCAGCCGTTGGGTCCCCGCAGGACAGTCCTGCAGATCTGGTTGTGGGTGCAGCAACGACAGGAAGTAATGAAATCTTGAGTAAAACTGAAAGCTTGGTGGAGGCATTGCTCCTTGGGGTTCAGAATGTAATCAAAATGAGACAGCAGCCAGAGCAGGATGATGCAAAGGATGATGATGGGGCAGGGGAGAAGAGTGAAGACCTTGAAGGTAAATAAATGAAATTGTTTTGTATCTTTATTAATGTTTCTGCCATGGGGTTATATTTAAAAGTTAAAAAGTAAAGGGCCATTTTCGACACCTTCAGGCATATAGGGCTAGCTAGACCTGTATTGTGTAGACCAGATGGCACTTGGTGGGTGATGTGGTCAACGCCATGACTGCCACCTTTACTTCCCAGGACTGCACCTGGTACCCACTCAAGGCTAAGTCGACTTGGGAGCCAAGGTCATTTTTGAAGAAAGCAGGGTTCTGTCAGGACGCAAACCCATGACCTTCCGATGCCCAGGTGAGCACCTAGCCGCTACACCACAGCAACGCCCACTGGGCTATATCTGCCAAATTAATTAATAAAATAACATTAAATAATGTGTTTAATGCCAGTCATCGTCTTTGTGGCTAAGAGGTTTGTGCAGTCTTCCCACAGTTCAGTCCTCTACATACCAGGTTTTGATGCCATCGGATGCTGGTTTAAAAAATAAGTTGTAAAAAAAGTTTCGGAGGATCAAATGGATCACCACAGTCTAGTGAGAGTGATGCAATGGGGAGTGACGAGTGGATCTGGCCGATGCTCGATGCTTAGAGGAAAAGGAAGAGGGACGTAGCACGAAATGCTCCTAGTACCATTGGTATTGGAACTCTTCGCTGGCTGCTGAAAATGAGGACAGAACACTTATGGGTTCTGTGATGTTGATTCTTGAATCAGCTCAGGTCAACCAAGTTTCGGACACTTATAAAAGAGTAGTCCGGTGGAAGGGATTGGGACCTCACCACATAATTATTTCACAGACAGTAGTTTATGCACTCCGTTGTGGAAGTGGTACTGGGACTAATTGACCATGGGGTGGCCTGTTTGCTGTTATGTTGGAACTGTGAAATACCTGATTTGAAAATAAAAATGCTAATCCCTGTAGTTTTACCTGGTGCCAACATTTGTTACCTGTACAGATGATCTGAAGGAAGCCCACTTGACCAAACATATGCTGGACGTGGAGAAGAATGTGATGGCCAGTCTTGGCTGTGACCAGGTAAGACCACGTTCCTGGTGTTCTGCTCAGTATTGGATGTGGGTTTTGTATGATTTTTGTCATGATTTGAAAAGTGGTTGGAGTCTCTGAGGTGGTCACGGCTGGGAAGAAATGTAATTTGTATGCCTGGGCAGCATTTAAAAGCTTGCATGCAGGCAGGGAAAGTGGATTAACAATTAACCAGGCTGATACACTAAAGGACTTATGAGAAGTAGGATCATTACATGAATTAAGTGAATCTTTAACCTTAACCGGACTGCAAGAACAATTCAGAAGACAAAATTTACTGTCATGATCTGTCGACCAATTAACTTTCATGATCTGTCGACTAATTAACTTTCATGATCTGTCGACTAATTAACTTTCATGATCTGTCGACTAATTAACTGTCATGATCTGTCGACTAATTAACTGTCATCATGTGAGATACAAGGACAGCAAATTAGATGGAAGGGACATTCTCATTGGATACTCTATGAATTTGGATAAAATACTTGACCCATGAATGTGGATAAAATACTGAACCTATGAATTTTGGTAAAATACTTTATCATAGTTAATATAAATTTGGATAAAATACTTTAGCCTATAAATTTTGATAAAAAGCTTAGCTGTAAATTTGGTTGTCATTTCCATGAAACGCAGCATATTCTTCTGTATCTCCACTTCTCCATTTTCATTAATATTGCCTTCTTCATTAGATCGGTGCCAAACTCAAAGACCTCTTACATAGCCTGTGCAGACAGTCTGACGAAGCTTATTCCAGCAGAAGTCAAGCTACCAATACAACAGCATCACTGCAGAGTCTGGAAATGGGCTGCAAATCGTTGCTTCAGTTGGTGCCCTTGGTTTCTGCTTTCAGCAGCCTAGTGGAGAACCAGCTTGGCCTCTCTGTGACCCTGCACAGATCTATGGGCAAACTGCTATCAGTGTTACTTGCTGTGTTTACAGAACTTTCACAGAAGGTACCCTTTGTGTATATTTTGTTTTATTAACATCACTTTTGTTATTATTATTATTATTATGCAGTTGCCCTTAAAAGGCTGGTTGGCGTGTTGTGGTTTACAGCTAGGATGCAGTACCCAACACAGCAGACTCCTAATTAGTTGGCTTATATGACAGGCTTGTTAATGAGCATTGGGTCTATTTTCGCTCCCCCTGCAATGAGACCTGGAGCCCACACATTTTTTATTAAAAATTTAGTTGCATGTCCTTTCACAGGACATTACAGGACCACCCCCAGCAATTCTTTTTGTTTTTTGTGTGTGTGGGGGGGGGGGGGGGGGGGGGGGGTGATTTCGCTAGGCAGTTTTATTTTCAATAGTTTTCCATCGCTTCTGAGCAGTCAGCTTGCTTTACCGCTGTCATTAATATTGTCATCATCATCAGGTTTTGATACTGTGGTATCACAGTGGATGGCACAAATACTTACTGACCTGGCTGTCCTGTGCAGTGGACCGGGCCGAGGTTGCCAGTGCTGTCAGTGAAGCAGGATGAATGGATGATTCAGGAGAGTGTGCTGAATTGGCACCCTCAAAAAGTTTACAAGAATTTCATGTCAAAAGACATAAACACAATACAGGTAGCTAAAGAAGAATGGTAAATCTACACAGAATCAGTGTCCCCACATGCCAGAGGACTTGCCCGATGTCCAGTGAGGATGGTTGGTCAATTAATTCATTAACTAACCACCCACCCACCCAACCAACCAGCTAACTAACTAACTGAGACCTGCATTATTTTGCTAATAGCTCTTGATTATTGTTTGCGTGTGTTGTGTAAATGTTCTACATACTTTACCATTTTTGTTCATGTGTAAACTAGAATGTTGTATCTCCTGAACAGGGCTTCTGCATCCCCCCGGAACTGACTGAAGAGATGGCTGGAGAGGGTGCCACTGAGTTCAAAGACATTGAAGGTGGTGGCCTGGGTGAAGGAGAGGGTGCCAAGGACGTCAGTGATCAGATTGAGTCAGAAGATCAGGTATATTTTTTTTTCTTCTGAAAAAGACAGCTGCATTATATGTGCCTGCTCTCACTCTCACTCTCCTTCTTTTGCCTCTGTTGCTGCTTTGTTTTTCCTCCTCCTCTTCCACCTCCTCCTACAGCCTGTTCTGCTGCTGCTTATCTGTGTCAGTGCCTTCTTAAAATTGTATATAAAAGTTATATGCAAATCTTCTTGAATACTTTACAGTGTATTCACAGCATACATTGTAGCTATGTGGTCTTTCTAGGCAATTTTACGTCCACTAGTAGGGCATTGTGTTTCAGTGGCAATTTCCTACAGCTGACTTTGAATCCTGATTTGTTTGGATTGTGAAACTGTGTTCACAGCCATAAGCCAGAGCTGCTGACTGCATATACAGTTAATGACGTATCCTGAACAGGATGTAGCACAACCCTGACCAGCATTTTGTTTATAGCTGTTTAGGGTTTTGGTAGATATTTTTTACATTCTGTAGTTTGCCATTGCTTTCTAAATAGTTATGTCTATATACAGTTGTTAAAATCAACTTAAAGCAGACTGCGGCCAGATTGCAAGCAGCTGAAATCAAACTGGGTGTTACAGAATTATGAGGAACATTTGCAAGGCTTAACCATTGATGTTGACTACATACTATATTTGAAACGAAGGGGAAGAAAGGAATACTCTTATGCCTGTTTATATACATAGAAAAAGAACATACACAGATAACTAAATTTTGCCCTAAATATATACCGGTTCACAGAGCATGTTGAGAAAGATGGAGACCGGTATGCTTCGTGAAGAGTAGCAAGCATTGCTTTAAAGGTCCAGGGTAGTTAGAATCATTTGAATATTTTCTCCTGGGTATGCTGGTGTACTGGAAGATGTGAACAGACAGATAGAATGGCTGGTACTGCGCAACTTGGTGGTGAAGTGTTGTATAACAAGTTAGATATTGCCTTTTGGGGGCAAGGTTACAGTGAGGAGGCACAGATGAATCTTAGCCGTCTGCGGAGAGTGGTGCTGCGTGAAGTGACCAGACCGTCTGGCCGACGATCAACACATGGGGAACGGTGAGACGGATATACAATCAGACTGTTACTGGTACCATCGGAATTGGAACTTCATTTGCTGCTGCAGATGGGAACGAAGTGCTTATTGGAATGTCCTGACTGCTGTTATGCTATTTTGTAATGAAACATTTCCCTAAATATGTTTTGTGTGTGTGTGTTTGTTAGCTGGACGATGCAAAACAACCAGGACAAGAGGACAAGACAGAAGACCCTCAGGAACAGCCTGACATTCCCTCAGAGGACAATGCCATTGAAATGTCAGATGACTTTGATGGGAAACTTCAAAATATGGATGATACCGGTAAACAGAAAACAACACATTTGTTACTATCATCATCATCATCATTGTCATCATCATCATCATCATCATCCTCTCTTTAAATATCACACATTGTTCAGTCTATTCCTCTAGTATGTTCTGACCTGTGCTATTGTTTTGACATGCTAGAAATCCAGCCCAACACTTTTGGCAGCTCTCATCAGTGTTCATCATCAGGTTTCTTTGGAACGTCCTTGTTTCCTCAATTCCATTTGATTCCCCTTGCAGTGCCTGCTGCGGATTCTCTGTCTCCCATCTCCTCAGGATGTGCCCACTGTAAACGGCATCATCTTCATGTAGCAGGTGCTTTGCAGAAGGTCTTATCAAGGCTTGCCTGAAAGAAACTTGGGCTCTCCCTGCTTCATGCACTTTCTTACCCAAGTTGTCACTTATATCATGTGCCCATATTCGGGCTGGTTGACTCCAACCTATTCCTTGTACCATGCCTTCTGGCACTATTCTTTCCAAACTCGGCACTCGATAAGGCCAGAATCTGTCAGTTTCTGAGATACATTGCTGTGTACTAGCCAATCTTCCTTAATGTTCAGATCTTTTAGGATGTCAGTATTTCATCTCGTCTTGGTCCAGGGTATTCTGAAAATCTTTCTGTGGCATTTCTGCTGAGAGCTCATATTTTCTTCCTCAATGACTGTGATAGTCCGTGACTCAAACCATATGTTGCTAAGGGAACATGCATGCTTTCAAAATTTTGAAATTGGTTTCCCTCGCTGGTGCTTAACCATAAACTTGTAAATCTGTATTTATATTTGCATTGCCATGGCCATTCTCTTTTTGACCTCTGTTTATTATGGAGTCTAGATAGTCAAAGCTTGTAATATTTTTCAATTTCTTCTTCATTTATTGTTATTTTGGCTGACAGACAATCTTGTCTGTGGATATTTTTTGTTTTCTTTTAATTCAGGAGCAAGTTTTGATCCTCACTGTTTTTGGACATGATTAAGTATGCTGTTCCATTTACACTGTTGGAAAGAAGGACTGTGGGTCTTCACAGCGGAGTTCTGGAAATGTGTTCTAACCAGGGACTAATATTAATACATCCCTGTTGGGGCCAACTCTAGGCCAGGAGATGTTATTGTATACACTGATGGTTCATTTGCCAGGGGTAGGAAAAGCATGGGGAAGAAGGATAATTGACAAGAACTTGGCATATGGCATCACCACATCCAGTATGAGAATAGAGGTTGAGGCGGTAACTGGGGCATTCTGATGGGTGGAAGAAATCTCAGCCACATGTGCTGTCATAGTGTCAGGTTTGTAAAGCATGCTCAGGAAGGGGGAGTCAGGTTTTCTTCGTATGGAATAGACTACATCAATACAGAGGTTGCAGGTGGTGAGAGTCCCAAGGATATTTTACCCGGGCTGTTCAGGTGTGTTTGAGAATGAGCAGGCAGATAGGCAAGCTGGAATTGCCCCATCTGGGGGTTTACTGCAGCTGCCCAAGATCGTCCTTTCTCTCTCGCTGTCAAACACCAACTGATGATTCCTACTTCCTCACCTCCAATCCTTTCTTTCAGTCCATGAGTTGCTCCTTCCAATTGCTCGAGAAATCACAAGCTTACTTCGTACATGCTTTCCTATTAGTTCCATTCCTAACTGGTCCTTGACCCTTAACCTGTGACACTGGGGAACCCATTATGACTAATATGCTTTCCCACTCATAGCATCCTGAATGCTGTGATGTCAAATCTTTACCCAGATGAACCTTTACCCTGCTACTTTTTTTCTGTGAAATCCCAGCTACAGCAGCATTCTCATTTTTTTAAATTATTATTATTATTATTATTATTATTATTACTTTTAACACCACATTAGCTGTTTTATTATTATGAGGTGTGGTGGGTGACAAAAGTGGACTCTTATTTTGGAGAGCGAGTTAGAATTCACAGCAAGGTGGAAATGTTTTCTGTGGTGAACCGCCTACCACCCCTCTTCCCCGAAAAAAAAAATTGTTACACTAGTCATGTGGCCTGAAACTCACTCACTCACTCACTTCCCCTGGCAGTCTTCAAGATTGATGAAGGTTGAGGTGCTCAACCATGTGTATGTGGCAAGTCGGAAGAGATTACCACATTGTATATCCCTACAAACTCTGAACAGAAGCTGACAATTTTGCCTCATAAACGGCATCCTTTCCCAGAAGCTGAGCTATTTTTATTTTGGCCGTGCTGAAGGCCATGGTGACCTGGAGAGAGCGGTGATGGAATGGTACAGTTTCTGGAAAACAAGGCAGCAGCAGACCATCATGAATGTGGACACGAGACATTAAAGACACATTGACTATGAAAGCCCATGCGGCTGGAGAATTGGCTAGAGAAACAGAGACTTATCTTTACCGGACCTGTTGATTGATGATGCTTTCAGATTGTGCTTTTAATTGATTGCGTTTTTTTAAAAATTGGTTATTGTCTCCTGAACCCTTGCGTCCTTTTCAGGATGAAATTTTTTGTTCTTTGAAGCCCCACCCTGGCTTTTGCTAGGGGCCGCAGTATAGGCAGGCCATAAATATGGCCAATTGTCTGAACGCAGTTTCTGGGACCTCTCCACGGGGATCCTCATCCACATGGTGGCACTTTGTGTCATCGGGTGTTTATCGCTTGTGCGATGTTCTGGTGGGGTAGAAAGTCAGTCAGTCAGTCAGTAAAAAGTGGTGTTTGTAATTAGTGTGTGTATGTTAACTTTCATGTTTCTATCAGAAAAAGAAGGTGATGAAGATGATGCTAAGGAAGATGAAGACATGGAGAAGCAGATGGGCGAGGCTGATGGAGAACAGAATGACCGCCTGGATGAAAGATTGTGGGGAAGTGATGAAGAAGAAGAAGATGACGGTCAGGATGAGAAGGTAATGTTTGTTTCCCAGTAAACATATTAATCTTATTTTGTTTTCTCTCCATTTCATTTCCTAATGGAGCATAGGCTCCCAGCCAACTCATGCTAAAACCTTAGTAAACTTGAGCATACACAGAAATAAGTTGCTGGAGTGTATTGACCGTACTGGAAAGTTGAGACTGATTCATGCTTACCATAAGTACCACACATGATCAAGCATCTACATGAAAGAGGCTATTGGCAAAGAGAGATGTCTAAATGCTTAGAAAGTGAGAGACCCAGTTTGTGACAGTAATCAGCTTCTTGGGTTTACGGACTGTTTCCTGTTGATCCATGTTGGCTACAGCCCTTAACTCCTTGTTTACCAAAAGGTTTTACCCGAGGTGCCCATTTGTATAAATAACCAACAGGAAAAAACCACAAGTGTGTTGCTTTCAGTGATGCTAAATACTGAAGGAAGCCAGATTTCTTAGTATAGTGGGACCAGCTATGAACAGGACATGTTGGATGAGATTCACACAAGTGCTGATCACACATCACATTTTGTTTGGGACTGAAAGAGTTAACATGCAGAAAGCTCAGTATGCTAATGTCGGGATGTGGTGAGCCCTCTTAGAATGCCATATATATTGGCTCCACACTTGTGGAAGCCTCCTTGAATGGTGGGGAATACCTGTGTTCTGCCTCCACATTCTTTTAATGGCTGGTCAGTCTGCACATGTCTCTCCTGGATGTGTCCTCTCGGGACAACACCTGGAGATCAGGGTATGACAAAACCACCACTCGAATGAGGCGGTAAAGGGTCTCTCATATCCTAAGAAACTAACCAGGAAGGCTCACCGGGAAAATAAGTGGCCAAAGACATCATTTGTGTTGGCCGAAAGGCGCAAATATCAGAGCTATTCTGTAAACAGGCACAGTAGTATTTACATCTTTCGGACGATTGATGAAGAAGGAGATTATTTACTGGAGAACTCAGGAGGCCATTGGAATAGAAAGATTTAAAAAAATTATGTGTATTGAAATGCACTTTAGTTGCGGAACAACAAAGTAGAGACAGAACACATTAGATTGCTGTTTATCAATCTCTTGATGTAATAGTCACACTTGTGTCGCTGTCAACCTCTTGCTTTTTTACCAATAATGTTACCCCCAGTGTGTAAGCATATGTAAGAAAAACATTTGATTTCTCTCTCTCTCTCTTTTTTTTAATAACTATTTTTATCCGAGGTCTCTCCAGAACCTTTTTTATTATTTTATTGTAAACCCTTCCCCCCCCCCCCCACCCCCCCTAAAATATGACCTATTTTTCAGCAGCTCACGATCAGAGTCTCGGTGTGTTTTTGCACCGTATTATAAGGTATGTCTAATATGTGAAAATTCTTGTTTTACAGTTTTGTTGACCTCTAGATGTTAATAGCGTTTCTTATATTGTTAAAAATTGTGAATCATTATATCATTGTTAGAGAAAAAATCAACACAGAAGCAGTTCTGAATCACACACAAAGACCTCAGATCAAATGGTTTGCCCCCTTAGCAAGAATACCTAGTGACCCCATACCATATTAGAAATACATAGAGAGAAAAGGATGTAGAACACGAGGTAGACAAAGAACAAGATGGAAAGATAACTTCAGAGAAACTACAGGAAAGCACAATGTGTCTATTGTCAACGGCGGTCAGAAAAGCCAGAAACAGAACCTTATATCTCCCTCGACAGCTGAAGCATTTAAAGAGGCAGTGAAGAAAAAAAAATGGTTTAAAACAGCAGCAATTACTATGGCAGGTCCCCTGTTGTGTCCCAGTTCACCACAGTGCACACCATAAATGAACAAGTATGAACCCCTGTTGTATCCCAGTTCAATACAGTGCGCACCAGAAATGAACAAGTATGAACCCCTGTTGTATCCCAGTTCAATACAGTGCACACCAGAAATGAACAAGTATGAACCCCTGTTGTATCCCAGTTCACCACAGTGCACACCAGAAATGAACAAGTATGAACCCCTGTTGTATCCCAGTTCAATACAGTGCGCACCAGGAATAAACAAACATGAAGTGTACTTGCTGATTTAATTTATTTTTAATTTCATATGCTTTGTATTTTTACTTCCCCAGGACACAAAAGAGGACCAAGGTGGTGGTGGCATGGACAGACAGAAAGAGGAGATGGTAGCCAAAGACGATAACAAGGATGCTTCAGAAGCCCAGGATGACACTGAAGATGATGCCCAGAAAGACAAAGAGGAGAAGAAGCAGAATGAGCTAATGGAAGATAACGTAAGTTATAAGGAATATTCTCTGAGTTTCCACAGACTGGTTTATGTTGAGATTATGGTTTTTTTTTTGTTAGTGGCATACAAAATCATTTTTCTTAGAAGTGTTTTTTCTTTGCACGTGTGTGTTTGTGTGTGGAGGTATTGTCTGATAAGGAAAATCCTTGAGGAATTAAACGGTATGTGCCATTGTTGTTATGGTCTTGCATATGTGAAAGCCCTTCACTTCATACTGCAGTGAAAGTGCCCGCCAATAAGGTTATTTTTTATTTTTATTTTTAAAAAAATAGGGGGGGTGGGGGGGGGGGGGGGGGGGAATACCCTTTTCCACACTGTCAGGTGTATTGGGCACATAGGGCTAGGCCCATATTTTATACACCAGTTGGCACCCGGTGGTGATGTGGTCAACATCATCCTGGCTACCTTCACTTCCCAGGACTTTACCTGGTACCCAGTCAAGGCAGTGTCGTCCTGGGAGCCAAGGTCTTATTTTAAGTCCAGAACAGGTGTTCACACATGCAGTAATCATTTCAGACTCTTTGAACATGCTTCAGTAGAACACTACAGGCAGTCTATACTTTGAATGGGTAGAAAGCATTCAGAAGTCGCAGTTAACCTCCATCATCTGGATCTACACACCCACCTGGCCATGCAGGATTGAATGGTAATGAAAGAGCTGAGTAGCTGGTAAGCAATGCAGCAAAGCAAACTGGAAGAAGCGTGAATAGAACTGATATAATCAATGCTGTACGGACTAGGTTGGGGGAATAACGGCCAATCTCTGACGCTAACACAACTGCATGACCGAGAAGTTAACATTGGTGAAGCACTGTCTATGCCGTCTTGAGGAGACACTATAACCAACTCCTCATGGGAACAGCCAGTAGAGTTACCTTGGAGTGACTGCTGCATCGGATGACTGAGGACACATGGGGATGCCAAGTGTCCATAAAAGTTAGTCCTGATAACATAACATCTATCCACTACACCACGGCTGCTGCCCATAGGGTTATAATCACCAATAAATCAATAAAATGAAGTTGAAAATGTATATTTGTATCAGCATTTTCATGATCAGCGTCTAAGATCTTGAGTTGAATTGAACCCCGAACCGACATCACAGCACTCGGGACATTCCTTATGCGCTCTGTCCTTATCTGCAGCAGCCAGTAAAGAGTTTTGATTCTGATAGTGCCAGCAGCATTCTCATTATATGCCTGTCTTGCCTTTCTTCTGAATGTTAAGTGTCGTCGACCATGATCACTTTCGGCTGCATCATTCTCTCCACACCATATTGAGCTATTGATGCCTCCGAATTGTTCACTTGCCCTCAGAGGGTCTGATATCTAATATATCTAATATCTTCTTAGTCTTCTTCTTCTTCGTGTTCACCAGCTGTAACCTCCGTCAGAAAGTTCTGGTTGTCTGTCCACCTCTGGTCGTCAGTCTTGTTCCAAAACCTGAGTGTTGCGTGCACATCTGTTTAACAGATCTGATTTAACTGTATGCATCCAGTATTTTCTTGATCAACATACAATATATTATTATAATCAGTATTGAATATCTTCATAATCATCTAATATTTTGCTGATCAACATACAATATATTCTCATAATCAGTATTGGATATCTTAATAATTGTCTAACATTTTCATGATCAACATACAATATATTTTCATAATGAGTATTGATATCTTCATAATCGTCTAATATTTTTATGATCAACATACAATATATTCTCATAATCAGTATTGGATATCTTCATAATCATCTGATATCTTCATGATCAGCATCTGATACCAAGATCAAATGTCTCATCATTATCTGTAACTGTATTATTTGCCCCTTTCCAGGATGATTATGATGACAACCAGGTCAACCCTCACAATGAGGAAAAGAAAGAGGAAGATGCTGAGAATTTAGATTTGCCTCCTGACCTCAATTTGGACGATGGAGAGAAGAACGATAAAGGTACGTGTGTGTTATTGAGTAGTTCTCTCCTTCTTGTTCTTTTTATTGTCCACCAGGTATAAACTTTGGCAAAAAGTTTTGGTGATTGTCTACTTCCGTTGTTTTTTTCAAGAACTTTAGTTTTGAGTACACATCCTTTTTACAGATCTGGTTTATTAGTATGCAGACTGTTGGTCCCCCGCCTCTCAGGCAGATGCACTCTGATTTCAAAGGAACACAATTAGTCGCCCTTGACGACATGCCTGTTTAGAGGCAGTGGGCCCCCCCCTAAATTGGTGCCCCCGGAACCTATATGGGAAGCTGAATGGATGAAAGATGAAAGCTAGTCTCTGGTTTATGGAGGCTATGGCTTAAATGTGGATGCAGTTACTAATACTGTCATTAATCGAAGCACATTATGCTTTATGTGATGTAAAATTACTTCTTATGGTCCTTATTATGTGGCTGTGGTCATCTGTCTGTTTACAACCTTCTATCTTGTGGACTGCCAATCATTTCTGATGCATCTCCTCCCCCCCCCCCCAATCATTCTGTTGAATGGATACTGTATTTTTCAGGCGTCACTTTTGCATTAACCTTCCTGTTGCCATGGCATTTTCACGTGTCTGCAAAAAAAAAAAAAAAGTGTAAAGGATCCTTGGGATATCATTGGTGCATTGAGCATGTGGTGTCAATTTCTGTAGACCAGATCTTCTTCTTCTTCTTTTTCTTCAGCATTCTGAGCCTTTGAGGTTCATTGCTGCAGATATCACTTATCTCCATTTGCCTCTCTGGTTGGCCTTCTCTTACCAGTTGGTGACAACAAGTTTTTAAATGTCTGGATATTATCTCTATCTTCATCTCTCAATATGGCCCAGCCATTTCAGTTTATTATTATTAGTCCATCATGATGCCAGTGATCAGTGGTGATTTAAGCAGGTTATAAATTTCGTTATTACTTGTCTTTCTCCATTGCCCGCTGTTTCCATCCCTGATGGGTCCAAAGATTCGTCGTAAGACTTCTGTTTTAGAAAAACCTGTAACAAGGCTTCATTTATTTTAGTTGTGCTCCAAGTTTCAGAGCCGTATAAAACGTCTAAATCAGCAGGGGCAATATAATCAATATCCCATTGGGCACCTTTACACCCCTTATGTCCTTTTAGGCTAGGTCAGTCTGGGATTCATAATGTTGAAAAACCTGATTCAGTTCCAGCTGTGGGCAGTTTGGCACCAGACCGCTTTGCATTGGTTTTAACAGTGATACGGAGAGACCACCATTTAGAAAGCAATGAAAAATTACTGAATGTAAAATCACCCAGTAAAATCCCAAACAACCAAAATTGCTGGAGTTGGTTCCGCAGAATTCTCTATAGAATATGCAGTCAACTCAATAGAGAGTCTGGAAAGTCATATCAGTTATTTAAAAAAAAAAAAATCTCACTGCTGATTCGAACCTCAGACCATTTGGCTGGCAGGCAAGCCTGTAGCCACTGATGCAAAAAAACAGGCAGTTCGCGGTTTCACCCAGCCTCTAGGTAATGGGTACCAGAGTGAACGCTCTGGGGTAAATGGAGGAACGTCGCTATAGCTATAGAGTTGCATACGGATGGCGACACCGCTGTTCGTACTGGAGGCAGAGCACTTATGGTTAATAATCATGTGCAATGACGCTGGTTCACATCTCCCGACTTTACCTTCACCTTTATGTTAGGCCATATATTTGCAAAGTGCTTAGTGTTGCAATCCATTCTTGTCTCAGCTTGATTTTTTTCTTATTGTTTCATGACCCAGAAATCTGATGAATGATTGATACTTTTTCAGATTTTGATGGTGATGATGATGTGGAAAACAAAGATGACGAAGAAACTAGCAAAACTGTGGAAGAAGTTCCAGAAGAGCAGCCTGAAGCTGGTCACGATGAGGATGTTGAAGATGTCCAAGCAAATAAACCTGTGAGTCGTGTTGTTTGACAACAACAGTTGCTTCTTCTTCATCTTCCTGTTCACTGACTGTAAACTACTGCAGAAAGTTCTGGTTGTTCATCCCCTTCTGGACCTAAATCTTGTTCCAGAACTTTTTGCATGCATTTCTGTTTTACAGATCTGGCTTATCTGTAGGTAGTCTTGGTTCCTTGCCTCTCCAACTTCGAAGGAAGATATGCATTTGAATGTGAGGTCATTAGTTGTGCATTCTAATATGGTCTTTAGGTGTAAATTTTAATGTGGGGCCTTTAAATGAAAATTTGAATTTAGGGTTTTTATATGTGCATTTGAATTTAGGGTTTTTAGATGTGCATTTGAATGTGGTGCCTTTAATTGTTAATATGAATTCTCTAGATGTAAATTTGAATTTAGAGTTTTTAGATATGCATTTGAATGTGGGGACTCTAGATGTAAATTTCAGTGCTAGTTCTTCATATACTCTTTAAAAGAATGTTTATCAAGAAACTGGTTCATTCTTGTTTATTTAGGAACCACAAGACCTGGAGGACAATCAAGATCAATCAGAAGAAGACAGTCTACAGAAAATGGCAGCAGAGAAAGAGCAGGAGGAGAAGGAAGGAGAGGGAGAGGAGGGGACATCAGCTCAGGTACAGTGTAAACAATGAGATATAACTATTATGTTAATAAGTAACCTCTGTATCATTCTTTTTATTCTTTCTGTCTGGCTATCACTAACGCTTTTTTTTCCATGTCTGTATTTACATTTCTCTTCATGCCTTTTTCCATCTTTATCTTTTAGTCTTACTCCGTCTCTATATTTATGTACCTTTTACTTTAGCAACTGTCTGGCCTCTCCTATGTCAGTCTGTAATCTCTGTCTTTTATTTTACTTTTAGCAACTGTCTGGCCAAATATGCAGCCTAACCGACATCATACCTCCTATGTCGGTCTGTAATCTCTGTCTTTTATATCTGACTGTCTGCCTATGTTTTTTATATCTGTCTGTATGTCTATTTTGTCTGTATAATTGTGTGCGTGTGTCATTACTGTATGCAGTCCTTTGCATACTGTCTGTGTTCTTGTCATGTCTGTATCTCTATCCATCTGTACCCAGATTTGCCATCTATTTTTCTTTTTCTTGCAATGAAGTATGGAAGGTGGAAAATTGTGTGATGCTTTTCTTGTCTTCAGTTTGAGACTAGTGTAATTTACAGGCTGAACAAATTATTCATTGATAGGAAGAAGAGAAGCCGACAGCTGAACTGGGCAGAGATCAAGATGATGTCACTGCCTCTGAGGATAAAGTTGATGCTGCTGATGAGGCAGGAGATGTTGCTCAGACCACAGAGGCTGCTGATAGTTTGGGAAGAGGGTTGGAGCAGGAGGATGCTCAGAAGGAGGAAGCTTCAAGGGATAAACAAGATAAGAAAGAAGAGGTGAGTCAGGGATGGTTGTTAGCATCTGGTTGCATTTTATTATCTTGACTGTCTTTTGTATCGGATTAGGCAGGTGTACACATCTTCCTTTTGCTTCTTGAAGTCCATGCCATGTGAAGTAGGTAGTCATGTCTACCCACAGCTTCTGTCTCATATACTTTTAATCAGTTCTGACACACATGATCTTCTGTGCCATGATGTCGGACTGTTCAGCATCTTCTCACTTGGTCTTCTTGTGCCTCCCTCTCCCCCCCTTTTTCAGCTTTCCCACCTTCATGATGTACTCCGGTTTTTTCCTTCTCTTGACATGACCAAAACATTCAGATGAAGGCAGTAATTTTGACTTCATTGAGTTGGGTATAACCTCTTGTGGCTCAGTCTCTCCAAGCTGAGAAAATTGCATAAAGCATAAATCTCCATAGCTGCAGTGACAACCTCCAGTGACAACCTACGGAGTTTCATGCGGACAACAACACAGGCAGACAGTTTCTTATCAGCTGTCCGTACTGGTGGTGGCAGAGCACTTATGGTTTATAACCGTGTGCACTGATGCTGGTTCACAGCTCCTGACTTTTACCCTAACAAGCATGTCACAAAATTTGACTAATCAGGGGTGTTACCTTGAAAGTTTGAGTGTATTTGCCTGAGAGGAGAGGAACCAACAGTCTGCATACATATAGGCTGATCTGTAAGACAGATGATTTTTTTTTTCCCAATGATTTGTTATTATCTAAAGTTATAGTTTAGAGGATTGATTTCTGCCTCTCTCCGCAGAACTGCCAACTGCCCCAGAGAGCACAAACTCTGTAGTTCCAGGGATGATCCCCAGGGATAACAGTTCACTTAGATGTACAGATATAATTAGCTGGAACTTAAATACAAATAACAGATCAATCAAGTTTTAGTTTTATTTGACTGTTTTATCGTCTGTCCGCTCGGTCACTGAATTTCCTGTTCTGTAAAGAACACCTGGCGGCGGAGTAATAGAATTGTTGCATGTGTTGTAGTTTGTCTCTCTCTGCAGGATGTTGACAAAAGCTGGATTTAGTAGCATCAGTAACTTTCAGCTTTCAGGGAAGGCTTAATAACAGGCATAGGCTCTATCAAGTACTACTTTAAAATGTGTCATTACTGCTTGTACTTTGCCACTTTTGTAGTAAGGGCAGGGAGGTATTTGAGCCTGAAGATTTAGGGCGGGAAAACTGCTGCCGTCCATGCAAGTCAAATTTTTTTTTTGCGGCCCTGATAGAAAAGATCTACAACCTTGCCAAAGATTTGACCTAGGTCTCGTGCATGTTCTAAACCGTTCGGCCGGACACGACTTCATACAAAGTGTTAGATATCGAAAATGTTAAACTAATAAATATAGCTATTTGACCCTTGTTAGTTATTTTGTCTGACAACTTTTGTTTTGCTACCGATCTTGCATTATTATTATTCATGAGTTAGTTGCTGCTTGTCTTGTGTATGTCCACTGATACTGATGTCTTATGTTTGTTAAATTTTCTTCTAGAAGGAGAACATTGGAGCAGCGAGCTCTGAGGACCGTGAAGGTCACCAAGGTCAACAGTCCAGTCAAGCAAGTGAGGCTTCATCTGCCCAAGAACAAGCTGCAGTATGTAGTAGTCACAATATCAGTATCCCGCGTAACTCTTCTGGGTTGTCTTCTTCTTCTTTGTTCACCTTTAAAAGGGAAGGTTGTCTTGTGGGCTGGTATATATTGTATGCATGGGGTGATATTTTAGCGTATGTGTAGGTTGTTACAAAATATATATGTGGGTTGATATGTAATGTATATGTGAGCCGGTATATAAAGTAGATGTGGACTGAGGTGTAGTGTATATGTAGGCTGGTACATAGTATATATGTGTTTTGATATGTAATGTATATGTGGGCCGGTATATAAAGTATATGTGGACTGAGGTGTAGTGTATATGTAGGCTGGTACATAATATATATGTGGGTTGATATGTAATGTATATGTGGACTTATATATAATGTATATGTGGGCCGGTATATAATGTATGTGTGTACTGAGGTGTAGTGTATATGTAGGCTGCTATATAATGCATATGTGGGCTGATCTGTGGTGTATATTTGGGTTGATATATACGTATGTGTAGGCTGATGTGTAGTGTATATGTAGGCTTGAATATAATGTATATGTGAGCTGATATGTAATGCATAAGTGGGTGGATATCTAAAGTATATGTGGACTGGTCTGGTATATAATGTATATGTGGGCTGATATATGATGCATATGGTGGCGGATATATAATTTTTATGTGGGTTGATAAATAATGCATATGCAGGTTGGTATACAATGTATATGTGGACTGGTATATGTATATGTGGGTTCATTCTTATTCTTATGTTGGTTCATTACATTATGTACAAATTATTTGAATAAGAAAAGTGGCAAGAAAGGGAACTAGTTACCTTATCTGTTTATGTCTCGAGTATATGAAGGCGAACGATTTCACACCTGTACAGCAGTATCTATTATAAGAATTCTTTTTTCCATTTATTAAAGATCACACAGTTAAAATGGGATGTATAGTGATAAGTAGCAGAAATATATAGAGTGGCTACAACAGAAACTAATGTAACACTACAATACTCCATATTGCTTGCACAGAACACAAAGAATTTAGGTTTAGGTTTAAACAACAGATCACCATCAAGGGTAGTAACCCATAAGTGCTCCGTTCTACTTCTAACTCAACTCTGTGAGTCAGAAGAATCTCAGCGCAGTTCACGAACTCCGTAGCACCGGCAAGGATCCTAAAATACTTTGGGTCGATTTTTTAACTCTAAATTTTGCCTAGGCAGCGCCGTTAGGCTACTCTTGTTGATTTCCAACTGCCAAGGAGATTTTTTCGGGCGCAACAGTACACAGGGGCGTCCGATCTTACTACCCAAAGACTAAAGGAAATTACTACGTGAAGTCCACGTGAAAAGTGAAAAATCCCAGCCAACATCGGGGCCTGAACCCAGGACCTTCAGCACTCTAGGTGGGTGCCATGCCTCGAGACCACACAAAGAATTAAATTGGGCGAGTGTAGGGTGAGAATCGGGCCTTTTAATGGCTGTATGCAGTGCTACACAGTATCAGCATCTTATTTTTTTGTTTAGACAGCATTTGGTAATAGACACTTTGGGAGTCTCCGTGGCGGAGCGGCTAGACGCTCGTTGCGGATCGGAAGGTCGTGGGTTCGCTCCCTGGAGGAGCCGGACTTTTTTCAAAAATGACCTTGGCTTCCCGGTTGACCGAGCCTTGAATGGGTATCGGGTGCAGTCCCAGGAAGTATAGGCGGCTGGCGTGATGCTGACCACATCACCCATCTTGTGCTGATTAGTCTATACAAATATAGGTCTAGCCCTTTATGCCCTATACGCCTAAAGGCCTGGAAAAAGGTCCTTTACTTTTTTGGTGAGTACCATCACTTAAAAAAAAAAAAAACTTCATAGTCAGCAGCTTTTGTTGTTGTCTAGGAATGAAAAAACCCTGCTAAAAACTAAACAAATCCCAGAGATGAGGGAAAGATGCTGGCTCTGGAAAAGACACATTAATAAAACATGATCGTGGTATAGCTAGAATGGTGTTTTTTAATGGAACTCACATAGCAACAGAAATAAAAGGAGATCTAACAATTTATAGAAAAGAGATTTAAGAGACAGGCGGATAATATAGCGGTGACATGTAGTGAACTACAGCAGACGGCAAAAGGAATAGCGGTGTTAGCTGTGGTATTGGTTGTGGGCCATTAGCTCTAACCATTAAAGAGTACATTGTAATTCAGTTTGTTGCACTTATTAGCTCACTGTTTCATTTCACCTGTTGCCCTAATTATCTCACGATTGCACTCTGCCTGTTAAACTTATTATTTCCATCTTTTACATATATTCTCTCACTATTTCATTCCAACTGTTGCACTTATTGTTTAATTGTTTCATTCCATTTCTTACATTTTCTCTCACTGGTCCCTCCATCTCTTACACATATTCTCTCACTGGTCCCTCCATCTCTTACACATATTCTCTCACTGTGTCATTCCATCTCTTACACATATTCTCTCACTGGTCCCTCCATCTCTTACACATATTCTTTCACTGTGTCTTTCCATTTCTTACACATTTTCTCTCACTGGTCCCTCCATCTCTTACACTTATTCTCCCACTGGTCCCTCTATCTCTTACACATATTCTCTCACTCGTCCCTCCATCTCTTACACTTATTCTCTCACTGTGTCATTTCATCTATTACACATATTCTTTCACTGTGTCATTCCATCTCTTACACATATTCTTTCAGTGTGTCATTCCATCTATTACACTTATTCTCTCACCATTTAATTTAATCTGCTCCACATATTCACTCACTATTTCATCCCACCTGTTACACTTTTTATGTGACTGTTTCATTCATGTGTGGAACTACTTCTTCTTCATGTTCACCAGCTGTAAGCTCAGGCAGAAAGTTCTGGTTGTTTATCCACTTCTGGACTTTAGTCTTGTTCTAGAACTTGAGTTTTGGTGCACATCTGTTGTACAGATCTAGCCTATTTGTATGCAGAGTGTTGGTTCCTCATCTCAGGCCGATGCACTCTAACCTCAGAAGAAACGCCCTTAATTAGTTACCTTGACATGCTTGTTAGGTTTGCAGTGGGTCTGGTTTTTTTTGGGGGGTGCACCCACATTTGGGTCCTCAAACTCACCAGGGAAATGTGGGGAACTTAATCTGTCACTGTTTCTGTCATTCTCAGCAACAACAAAACCCAGGCCAATCTGACAATGAGAGGTCCCTTGGCTCCCATGACAAGGAGCACAGAAGGCTGAAGACAAAAGAAGACAGTAGAAACAGAAACAACGAAGATCAGGACACTCAGGATGAAGATGAAAGAAGGCAAACCTCCAGAGAGTATGAGCACATCAAGGACGCCAAGTCCCACTATGATGCCCAGACGGTGGACGTGGCCAGTAAAGAGCAGATGATGGACAAACAGGCAGTTCCTTCTCAGGTGGAAGACGAAGGAGAAGAGCTGAAGGATGATGATGATGTGAGAATGGACACTGAAGAGGATGAAATGGTAAGTGATGCATTTTCTTCCATAATGAATGTTCCTTATTGTAATATTACTGGTGCCCTGTAAGGAATATCACTCACTTGAGAACAGATACAGCTTTCTACAGTTAACGATGCAAAACGACACTCAGTTCCCAATGTACATTCTGCCAGGTTATTCGTCCACATTCTCACACTGAAATGGTTGGGGCATATTGAGAGAATGTCAGATGACAGAAGTTAAAACTGTATACACCAGGAAGATGAATGGGCTTATACCACGAAGCAGACCCAAGAAGAAGATGGAAAGACAGACCTGCAAACACTTGGTGTCACCAGCGGGAAAGAGAAGGCCAACCAGAGAGATGAATGAAGGCGGGTGATCTGTGCAGCAATGAACCTCAAGGGCTGGGAATGCTAAAGAAGAAGAAGATTCTCACACTTCTCAGTCAACAGTTTATTCAGTCATAGCCGTCGCTGCTCACTTCCACTGCAGTCCTACAGTAATCATCCACACAAAGTTTAATACATTGTAGTCAAACTACATCACAGCTGTCTTCCTCAAACTCTGGCACGCCACTGACCAAGAGCCAATCTCGGGCTTTTCCTGATTCATCTCTCCAGACCCAAATATCCTGTGCTGTCATCTCCTGCAGAGGTTTTCTCTTCGGCTTGCTGTGCCCGTGGACAACATGCGAGGCACGAACATTACAATCAGATTAATGTAGGTGGGTGGTTTCTGCAGTAGTGCACCTCGAGGGCTCAGAAATAGTGAAGAAACAAAAGTAAATATTCATTAGTATAATTCTATTAGTGTTATGGTTGTTACGTCGGCGTCTGTGGCTTAGACGTTGCAAACGAGCTTCGTAATGCTGGGGGGCCGGGTTCGATCCTAGCTGCGGGCCTTGCGCTTTGTGTTGGTTTCAACAGTGGTATTGAGAAGCCGACCGTCCAAAAAACAATGGCAAACTACTGGACGTAAATTTGCTAAGAAAAACCACAACAGCCAAATAAATGTGGGGTTGGTTCAACGTCCTATAAAGAATACGCAACTAACTTTAACATGGTTGTTACTGTGGAATTTTTTCTAATGGTAAATGCTGTACAGCAGAACTGTTCAACCAGATTTACTTGGGGGCCACTTGCTAGGCTTCTGCGGGCCACTTGCTAGGCTTCTGCGGGCCACTTGCTAGGCTTCTGCGGGCCACTTGCTAGGCTTCTGCGGGCCACTAGCTAGGCTTCTGCAGGCCACTTTCTAGGCTTCTGCGGGCCACTAGCTAGGCTTCTGCGGGCCACTTGCTAGGCTTCTGCGGGAAACTTGCTAGGCTTCTGCGGGCCACTAGTTGAATAACCCTGCCATACGGTGTTGTTAATCTTATCTTTCCACAGCTTTCTGCCTCATGTTTCATAGATCAGTTCATATTAAGCAAAAATGATTATTGAATGTTGAATTAAAAATCGATATCACAGCACTCAGGACACTCCCATAAGTGCTCCGTCCACATCTTTAGCAGCAAACGAAGAGTTCCAATTCTGATGACACCACTGACTGATTATATATCTGTCTTACCTTTCCCTTGAGTGTTGAGCATGGGCCAAATCCCCTGGTAACTCCCCCCAGCACCATTCTCCTCAGACCATAATGATCTATCTGTGCTTACGCACTGTTCATTCGCTCCCAGAGGCCCCTCACAACATCTAGCTTATTCTCTCGCTAAGCAGAAATGATTGAGCATTGACAAGACAGAAGGCTATGGACAGTTGTGATTACCCATGTCTCACAGAATTAATTTAAAGTAGCTGACTATATCACTTTGTTTAATACACCTGTCTGCTGAACTCGGTGTTCAGCAACATTTGTATAGATAGTAAGTAATACTTTCATAGTTGGTAAGCAACACTTTCATAATTAGTAACATTTTCATAGTCAGTAAGTAATGCTTTCATAGTTAAAAACACTTTTATAGTTAGTAAATAACATTTTCAAAGTTATTAACACTTTCATAGTTAGTAAATCTTTCATAGTTAGTAAGATAACATAATTGCAGTTGAAGTGTTGATGATCTCGTCATTTATGATGAGAACGTCTTTTCTCAGACTGCTACATAAAATATGTCTCTTTTAATCTTTGAGTCTGACAACTGGCTACAAGGATACGCTAGGCATGGACATTCTAGTTTAGTAGTTTATTTAGCTCACTGTCTCGGAACCTGGATTTGTGCGTGTACATGTGAGAGAGAGAGAGAGCACGTGTGCGGGCTTACTGAAGTCATTCATATTTGTTCTGAATGTGTGCACTTGTTTGGCCTTGTTTGAAATGATTGGGTAAATTTTGACATTATTGTTTGTAAAGCATGGTGTTGTTTCAGCTGCCTTATGTTGTTAGGGAGTGAAATGATCATAATTAAACTTTCATAGTTTATGCAACTTTAATAGTTAGTGAAACTTTCATAGTTAATGACACTTTCATAGTTAATGAAACTTTCGTAGTTAATGAAACTTTAATAGAGAGTAAAACTTGTATATTTAATGAAACATTCATTATAGTTAGTGAAACTCTCGTAGTAAGTGAGTGAAACTTTCCTAATAAAGTGTGTAAAGCTTTCACAGCAATTGAATGAACATTTTGTAATTAATTAAACAATTCTAGTTTATGAATGAAAGTTTCATAGGTGGTGAGTCTCCATTTTCATTTCTAAAAACCAATAATTGCAGTTAAAGTGTTGACGGTCTCATCATTCATAGTGAGAATGTCTTTTCTTAGACTGCTACATAAAACATGTCTCTTTTAAATCCTTGAGTTTGACAACTGGCTACGAGGATACGCTAGGCATGGACATTCTAGTTAATTTCTGTTTCTGCATTTGTTTTAGCTCACTGAAGTCATTAGTTTATGTTCTAAATGTAACACTTTTTTTTTAATAGTAAGTAACACTTTCATAGTTAATAAATAACACTTTTTATAATTATTAAAAAAAAAAATTGTTTATAGTAACACTTGCATAGTTAGTAAGTGACATGTTCATAGTTGGTGAATAATACCTTTGTAGATAATGAGTCTTGATTTCATCCTATAAACTGATAAATGCAGTTAAACTGTTGACGGTCTCATCGTTGATCATGGGAATGTCTTTTCTCTCAGACTGCTACATAAAACATGTCTCTTTTAATCTTTGAGTCTGACAACTGGCTACAAGGATACGCTAGGCATGGACATTCTAGTTTAGTAGTTTATTTAGTTGCACCGTCTCCGACCTTTTTTTAAACTCACTGTCATTTATATCTGTTCTGAATGTGTGCACTTGTTTGGCCTTGTTTGAAATTGTTGTATAAATTTTGACATTATTTATTGAAAAGCATGGTGTTGTTTCAGCTGCCTAAAGTTGTTAAAGAGTGGAATGGTCATAGTTTGACAGTGAAACTTTCATAGTTAATCACACTTCCATAGAATGTGAAACTTTCATAGTTAATGAAACTTTCATAGTTAATGAAACTTTCATAGTTAATGACACTTTCACAGTTAATTACACTTTCATAGTTAATGACACTTTCATAGAATGTGAAACTTTCATAGTTAATGAAACTTTGAAAGTAAAACTTGTATATTTAATGAAACATTCATTTATGTAAGTGAAATTCTCATAATAAGTGAGTGCAACTTTCCTAATAATTGTGTAAAGCTTTCATAGCAGTTGAATGAAAATTTTGTAATTAATTAAGCAATCCTAGTTTATGAATGAAAGTTTCATAGGTGGTGAGTCTCCATTTTCATTTCTAAAAACCAATAATTGCAGTTAAAGTGTTGACGGTCTCATCATTCATAGTGAGAACGTCTTTTCTCTCAGACTGCTACATAAAACATGTCTCTTTTAATCCTTGAGTTTGTAAACCGGTAAATGCAGTTAAATTGTTGACGGTCTCATCGTTGATCATGAGAATGTCTTTTCTCTCAGACTGCTACATAAAACATGTCTCTTTTAATCCTTGAGTTTGTAAACCGGTAAATGCAGTTAAATTGTTGACGGTCTCATTGTTGATCATGAGAATGTCTTTTCTGTCAGACTGCTACATAAAACATGTCTCACTTGATCCTTGAGTCTGATAATTGGCCACAAGGAACGCTGGGCATGGAGATTCTAGTGTTTTATTTAGTTTACTGTCTTTGAAGTTGTTTTTTTGCTCACTAAAGTCATAGTCAATGAAACTTTTCATAGTAAGTAAGGGACATTTTCTTAGTCAATGAATCTGTCCTAGTTTATGAATGAAAGTTTAATAGTTTATGAGTCTCAATTCTCATTTCTAAAATCAATAATTGCAGTTAAACTGTTGACCGTCTAATTGTTGATAATGAGAACATTTTTCTCTCAGACTGCTGCACAAAACATGTCTCTTTTAATCCTCAAGTCTGACAGTTGGCTACAAGGATATGCTAGGCATGGTCATTCCAGTGGAGTTCACTGTTTCTGAAGTCTTTCATTTCTATTCTAAATGTAACACTTTTATAGTAAGCAGCGTCTTTGTAGTTAGGTAATAACACTTGCATAGATAGTAAGTAACATGTTCATAGTTAGTAATGCTTTCATAGTTTGTTTTATGTTGATTTAATGTTTTGTAAACCAGTAAATACAGTTAAAGGGTTGACAGTTTCAGTAGTGATAATGAGAATGTTTTCCTCTCAGACTGCTGTGTAAAACATGGCTCTCCTAATCCTTGGGTCTGACAGTTGGCTTCAAGTATATGCTTGGCCTGGACATTCTGGTGGTTTAGTTCACTGTCACTGAATTTGTTTTAGCCCACTGAAGTCACTCATTTCTTGGTGTACTAACCCACTGAGGTCACTCATTTCTTGGTGTACTAACCCACTGAGGTCACTCATTTCTTGATGTACTAACCCACTGAGGTCACTCATTTCTTGGTGTACTAACCCACTGAAGTCACTCATTTCTTGGTGTACTAACCCACTGAAGTCACTCATTTCTTGGTGTACTAACCCACTGAAGTCACTCATTTCTTGGTGTATTAACCCACTGAAGTCACTCATTTCTTGGTGTACTAGCTCACTGAAGTCACTCATTTCTTGGTGTACTAACCCACTGAGGTCACTCATTTCTTGGTGTACTAACCCACTGAGGTCACTCATTTCTTGGTGTACTAGCTCACTGAAGTCACTCATTTCTTGGTGTACTAGCTCACTGAAGTCACTCATTTCTTGGTGTACTAATGCACTGAAGTCACTCATTTCTTGGTGTACTAACCCACTGAAGTCACTCATTTCTTGGTGTACTAGCCCGCTGAAGTCACTCATTTCTTGGTGTACTAATGCACTGAAGTCACTCATTTCTTGGTGTACTAATGCACTGAAGTCACTCATTTCTTGGTGTACTAGCCCGCTGAAGTCACTCATTTCTTGGTGTACTAATGCACTGAAGTCACTCATTTCTTGGTGTACTAATGCACTGAAGTCACTCATTTCTTGGTGTACTAATGCACTGAAGTCACTCATTTCTTGGTGTACTAGCCCACTGAAGTCACTCATTTCTTGGTGTACTAACCCACTGAGGTCACTCATTTCTTGGTGTACTAGCTCACTGAAGTCACTCATTTCTTGGTGTACTAACCCACTGAGGTCACTCATTTCTTGGTGTACTAACCCACTGAATACACTCATTTCTTGGTGTACTAATGCACTGAAGTCACTCATTTCTTGGTGTACTAGCCCACTGAAGTCACTCATTTCTTGGTGTACTAACCCACTGAAGTCACTCATTTCTTGGTGTACTAGCCCACTGAAGTCACTCATTTCTTGGTGTACTAGCCCACTGAAGTCACTCATTTCTTGGTGTACTAGCCCACTGAAGTCACTCATTTCTTGGTGTACTAACCCACTGAGGTCACTCATTTCTTGGTGTACTAACCCACTGAGGTCACTCATTTCTTGGTGTACTAGCCCACTGAAGTCACTCATTTCTTGGTGTACTAACCCACTGAGGTCACTCATTTCTTGGTGTACTAACCCACTGAAGTCACTCATTTCTTGGTGTATTAACCCGCTGAAGTCACCCATTTCTTGGTGTACTAACCCACTGAGGTCACTCATTTGTTGGTGTATTAGAGCACTGAAGTCACTCATTTCTTGGTGTACTAGCCCACTGAAGTCACTCATTTCTTGGTGTACTAGCCCACTGAAGTCACTCATTTCTTGGTGTACTAACCCGCTGAAGTCACCCATTTCTTGGTGTACTAACCCACTGAGGTCACTCATTTCTTGGTGTACTAGCCCGCTGAAGTCACTCATTTCTTGTTGTACTAGCCCACTGAAGTCACTCATTTCTTGGTGTACTAACCCACTGAAGTCACTCATTTCTTGGTGTACTAGCCCACTGAAGTCACTCATTTCTTGGTGTACTAGCCCACTGAAGTCACTCATTTCTTGGTGTACTAGCCCACTGAAGTCACTCATTTCTTGGTGTACTAGCCCACTGAAGTCACTCATTTCTTGGTGTACTAACCCACTGAAGTCACTCATTTCTTGGTGTACTAGCCCACTGAAGTCACTCATTTCTTGGTGTACTAGCCCACTGAGGTCACTCATTTCTTGGTGTACTAGCCCACTGAGGTCACTCATTTCTTGGTGTACTAGCCCACTGAGGTCACTCATTTCTTGTTGTACTATCCCACTGAAGTTATTTCTTGGTGTACTGCCCACTGCGACACTCATTTCTTGGTGTAATGAAGTCACTCCATGGTGCACCGTGATTCTTGGTTATGGTTTATTTCCACACACTAAAGTTTTTTAAAATGAAACGTAGCAACCTCTCGTTCCTGTTCTAAAAAAAAAGTTCAGTGCTGTCTCCACAATGAAGGTTGGCTACAGTGTATCACTGTTCTCTTTGGGAATATTACGCGTTAAGGCCCCAATCTCTTCCACAGTGCGACTCTGGTACCATTGTATCACTGTTCTCTTTGGGAATATTACGCGTATATTAGGCCCCAATCTCTTCCACAGTGCGACTCTGGAACCATTGTCCGAAAACCGCGAGAACTGATTTTTACCAGTCCACCGTGGGGAACAAACCACAGTACTCGAGGATCACGAAGCGAAACTGTTATTCACTATCCTCTAAGCCATGGAGTGGCCTTCGTGTTCTAAACTGCTCTTAAAAAATAAACAATAAAAAGAGTGGCAAGCACAGGCAGCAAATAAGTTTTTGTTTGATTAAACAGTTAGTTTTACAAGTTCTAATTGTAAGGATGAGTTAATGTAATGTCTTCTTGCGCCAAAAGAGCTAAAGATCTTTTTAAACTTTCTGTCATCCAGGATGCGGCAGCCAAGCACTCTGAGAAACGGCCAACCAAGTCAAAAGATCAGGACAAGAAAGGCAAGGCTGAAGATGATGCAGAGGCAGCAGCCCAGGAGCAGCAGAAGATGGAGGTTGAAGGAGAAAGAGTGCTGACTCTGACAGCGGACAGGCCACCGGATTCTACTGCTCACACTCTCATGGATAACTTACATATGGATGTCATGGTAATGCTACAGTCCTCATGATATTCTGCCTTGATTACAATTAATCCGTACCTGCGGTTAACTCTTTCAGTTTCATGTGGTTGTTAAGTTAATCCCTTTTTATTTTGAGGAGGTAAACTCAAAAGCAGTGCGTACTTGTGTCAGAGGGAGTTGAACAGAGACACTTCTTCTTCTTCTGCGTTTATCTGAAGATGTAATTGCGTTGTGTCCATTTACAGCATGGCTGTGATATTTGCACCTTTTGACCAACACACCCGACTTGTACAGGCATTTGTTGACCGGGCATGACCTGGAGAAAATTTCCAAAGGATGCTAACCACACGGGACCTTTAAAGTGATGCTTGCCACTCTGCATGGAGCGTTCCTGTCCCCACCTTTCTCAACATGCTCTGTGAGTCAGTTAAAATAACCGCGTGTGTGTAGAGCTGATTCTCAAGCCAGCGGAGAATCTCACTGTTAGAGAGAACTCAAAGTCAATGACCTGTTCCACCCCTTCAAGTGTATTGGGCATATGGTGCTAGAGCCATGTTTTATAGACCAGTCGCCACTCAATTGCTGATGTGCTGAACATTACGCCGGCCACCTTTACTTTCCAGGACTTTACCTGGTACTCATTTAAGGCTGAGTTGACTTGGGAGCCAAGGTCATTTTTAAAAAAAAGTCTGTATTTGATTCCCCGATCTTTGAATCTGCAGGCAAGCGTCTAGCCACTACGTCATGGGGCGCCCATGTGACAGGAGTGGTTAAATAATTCAGATACAAGAGGTTAACATAACAATTGTCGGTGATAGATGACAGTTGTTAGCACATCGTATTATCTTTTGAATAATGTAGAAACAAATTATGAGTTCTTTGCTAATTTACAGGGGTAATGAGGATCCTTGCCATATATTGGGGGGGGAGGGGGGGGGGGGTGGTGGGGTGTGTGTTAAAAATAGCCTTAATCCAATGTACTAAGCACTTACCTGCTGACCGGACCTAATCCAAATTAATGCTCAAAGGTAAATTGAAGATATTCAAACATGTGAAACATACATATATGTATATTTTCTTCTCTACCAACAATGTTAATCAATAGTTATGAGTTTAGTTTCAGCTTCTGGCATTGTGCCCCTTGCTCCATGAGGGGGGGGGGGGGGGTGGGGGGGGGGGGGGGGGGGGGGGGGGGGGTGGGGGGGGGGGGGGGGGGCTGAAGAAAAATGATAATTTTATTGGGGATTTTTTCATTTGATGATGATGATAAATTCTCCTTGCATAATCAGTCAGCACACTAAAAGTACTGTAACTACTGGTGTTTGGATAGTATGTCTGGGGCAGTCTCACTTGCTGTATTCTGTCCCACCATGGACAGGGTACAAACACAGACTGCCAGAGGAAAGCTGTGTGGTGTTCACGCTGTGTCGTTGTGGCATTGGGTGTGCACAGCACAAACAGTGGGCTGTGGTCATCAGGGACGGACAGCCCTGTAGAGTAGAACTTGATTGTCTTGTCTTTGATATAGAGTCTTGCATGAGAGAGACAGAGTGAGAGAAAAGAGAGACAGTTTGTTGGTTGACTGATTGTCCTAATTTCACATCAAACCCTAATTGCATGGATCACCTCCTCCATGAATTCTGCAGCATTTAGCCGCTGATGACACCAGTTCTGTGTTGCTTTCTTATTTTTCTTTGGCTGTCTGCATTGTGCCTTTTCTTGCCACACCCCCTTTTAACTTGCTGATCTTGCAGTCTAGTCATGGTTGCAGATTCACAGTCACTTGGTTTTCACAGATGTATTCTGATAGAGCACTCAGTACATCGGCATCTCCATGGCTCCTCTGTCCTTCACAGTTGCTTTACCTGCAAGCCTATCAGCTTGCTCATTTCCTTGCACACCTGCAAGACCTTGTGTGAAATTGAAACTGATCTTTGTCAGTCCCCACCACCTCAGAGGACACCATCTAGCTTGTTTGACATTCTGTCCTTTTTTATGTTTATTTTTTTTTGGGGTTATCAGTTAGTCATTGCACATTAAATGCTACAGTAGTAGCAATTAAATAGAGAAACCTTTTCTACAGATTTAGGTGTATTAGAGTAGACAGTGCTAGATCTATATTTTGCAAACCACAGGACACACGGTTGGTGATGTGGTCAAAATCATGCCATCAGCCTTTACTTTCCAGGACATTCCATTGCTTTGCCAAGGGGGAGCTCTAGGTTATAATAGTGACTAGGTTATGTGCGTCATATAAAATGGCCTAGCATTGCTCCCCACCAGGTAGCTCTGAAAAGAACTCTTCCCATATCAAAGGAGACAGACTCAAATACTGACCCGACCAGCGACGAAGTCGTCTACCGGCCAGCCAGTGTTTGCCAAGACTCTACTTGGTACCTGTTTATAGCAGGAGAAGTCCACAGGAAAGCCAAGGTCATTGTTGGTCCATCTACAATCATAGTCACACGTTTTCATGTGTGTTAAGTGGATACCTAGTTCATTGTAGGTTTTCTGGTGTAGTGGTCAAACTGCATGCCTGTTTTTCTGAAGGTTGTGTGTTTGTTGTTGTTATCCTCCAACACTTTTTACATTGACTCCTGGGGGATTTACACTATAAATGGGGGGGGGGGGGGGGGGGGGGGGGGGGGGGGGGGGGGGGGGGGGGGGGGGGGGGGGGGGGGTGGGGGGTGTTCAAGCTCTGTGTGTCACTCTGCACAATTGATCACCTCTGTTCTGAGAGAGACTGAGCCAGATGAAGTAAATCCCAAATATGAACTTGCTGCACCTCTTGCAGCCATGATTCTCTTGTCAATTGATTGTTTGCATTGTTGCTTGCTGCTACAGCCCCATGAGGTTGATCTTGATGCCCTGAGAAGCCAGCTGGAGCAGTGTGTGAGCACCTGGTCGCATCCAGAAGACACTTCACAAGATTTGGTAGGTGCCGGTTTTATTGTGGTAGTGTTATAGATTTGTGCTTTGTAATAATTTTATGTCTGCTTTGTGTATTGTGTCATGGGGCTTCGTATAGATTAATCGAGAAACATAATTTTGTGTCACTGGTTAATGATTGTTGAATGCAAGTATAATGATGATTTAGTATGTTACAAGCACTGGTTTTCTCAGATGATCAGTGTGCTAGATATTGGTTTTAGTAAATATGTATGTATGTATTAATGACACTTTAATGTGTCATGGCTATAGATTGGTAGCAGCCAACATACTGTATGTTATATAATGGTTTTTAATGTGTCGTGTGCTATATATTGGTTTTAGTAAATACTGTATGTTATATAATGGTTTTTAATAATTTTTATGTGCTTTGTGTGCTATATATTATGGTTTTAGTAAATACTGTATGTCACGGTGTAATGGTTTTTAATGTGTCGTGTGCTATATATTGGTTTTAGTAAATACTGTATGTTATATAATGGTTTTTAATGTGTCGTGTGCTATATATTGGTTTTAGTAAATACTGTATGTTATTATAATGGTTTTTAATGTGTCGTGTGGTATATATTGGTTTTAGTAAATACTGTATGTTTTATAATGGTTTCAGTATGTAATCTTTGTTGTGTAATTACTGTATTATTTGATTAGAGTCACAAACCATTTGTGTTATACCTCTTAGTTGTTTTTATGTAGCATTCTCGGAGCGAGAGAGAGAGAGAGAGAGAGAGGTCATTTATATTTTTGATATTGTGCCATTTCTTTGCTGTGATGGTTTTATGTGGGAGGGTTTTGTGTGGGAGGTTTTACGGAGATCCCTGGTTTCATTGCTGGAGTTTTGTGTGGAGGGTTTTGCTGTGCTGTGTTTTCTGTGGCAGGCTTAGCTGTTCTGCGGAGAGAGACTGAGCCACGGGTTAAAACCTGGTTTCAATTAAGTCAATCCTCTTGACTTTAACTTTTAACCTTTTTAATTCTGACCTTTGACCCCATTTACAAATACTGATCTGTCTGTGAGCTTCAAGTAAGTTTTGAACCATATTTACTCAAACTGATTCCGATATTGGTTTCATCCATTGTCTGCGTAGAACAATAAACTATCATTGAGTGCCCCAAATCCTTCAGATTTAAATGTTCACTCTGTGTGGGTAACAGGGCTCCATTTGGGGAAGATAAAAGAGGGGAGGGGGAGTCAAGAATAGACTTACTGCGCCACAACAAGCATGTCATAAGAGGTTCATTAAGAAAGGATCTGATAAATTGGATGTTTTGGGTCGAAAGGGTAGATATAGCAGTCTAATATAACAGTCATAAGTATTGTTGGGGACAGTTATGCTTAACATCCTTTGTACTTGAGCAGGGCAGTTTGTTCCCTGTGGTAATGTTTGTAACTGTTTGCTTACTGATTTCATTATTGCAGGCACGGGTGGCCTTAGAAGCCTGGCAGAAATACCAGGCCATCACCGGAGCCTTGTCACAAGAGCTGTGTGAGCAGCTGAGGCTCATTCTGGAACCTTCTCAGGCCACAAAACTCAGGTCAGTTGTTGATGGATGTCCATCATTACAGTCTCCTGTCACTGTCTCAGTTTTTGTATGACAGAGATGACAAGTATAGAAGAGACATATTTTTCTTCTTCTTATCCTCCTCTTAGCTTCATGGTCTCAAGGCATGGTGTCTGCCTCGAGTGCAAGAGGTTCGGGGTTCAATTCCCAGCAAGGACAGGGATCTTTTCAAGTGGACTTGGACTTCTAGTAATTCGTCCTGGCTTCAACTTCTCCTCATCGTCCTAATTTGCTTCAGCCTTCACGTTCCTCTTTGGCCAGTTGCGGCCTTTGGTCTGAGTCTTTATTCCTAATCTAAAGTGTCGGTAAAAAGGTTGGTTCTTAATTTATAACATACCCCAAACACGAAATCCCCGTGGGAAATCCACAGCTGACCTGATAGTCCATTATTTCAAGGGGTGCAAGTGTGCTGTTGTGTGGTGCTTTTTTTTGAGTGTTCATCTAGTGTCTTCTAATCCTAACCCTAGCCCTAACCCTAACCTTAACCCTAACCCTAAAATTGCTGTAGATAAATCGCGAGAAACTACAACCTGAACACCCTAGAATTTATTGGGAATGTCTCCTGTGACGTTGTAGTGACGTCAGGGGTAAGTTATAAATTAAGTACCAAAAGGTCTAGTTATCACAGTTTTTCTGTAAGTGGCCTTTTTGCAGATGGAAAACGTACTATTCAAATGCTGTCTGTTGCATCTCTCTCTCTCTCTCTCTCTCTCTCTCTCTCTCTCTCTCTCTCTCTCTCTCTCTCTCTCTCTCTCTCTCTCTCTCTCTCTCTCTCTCTCTCTCTCTCTCTCTCTCTCTCTCTCTCTCTCTCTCTCTCTCTCTCTCTCTCTCCCCCCTCCTTCCCCCTCTCTCTGTCTTTCTCCCCTCCCCCTCTCTGTTAAATTTTGTTGTTATAATCACATCGTTAAATTGTTAACATTCAATTTCAGATGATTCATGTGATGCTTTATGTTATGACAGGGGAGATTATCGAACTGGCAAGAGGCTGAACATGAGAAAGGTGATCCCGTACATCGCATCCCAGTTTCGTAAGGACAAGATCTGGCTAAGACGAAGTAAGCCCAGCAAGCGGCAGTACCAGATACTCATAGCCATCGATGACTCTGCCAGCATGGCTGACAATCATTCAAAGCAGGTTTGTTACTTTAAAACAAAAATAAAATTTTTTATTTGAGAGATGGACTAAAAGGAGAGTTGCTAAAATATTTTTTTTCCCAAAGGAATGTGAATTGTAACACCACATTACAAGATATTCCACTCTTCTCAAACCATATGGGAGGGAAAAGTTGAATTAAGAGTGTATGAGATAGACATGAGCTAAGCATTGAGGAGAATTGGCTGACCTTGGCATTGAGGAAAAGTGGCTGACCTTGGCATTGAGGAAAAGTGGCTGACCTTGGCATTGAGGAAAAGTGGCTGACCTTAGCATTGAGAATTGGCTGACCTTGGCATTGAGGAGATTTAGCTGACCTTAGCATTGAGAATTGGCTGACCTTGGCATTGAGGAGAATTGGCTGACCTTGGCATTGAGGAAAAGTGGCTGACCTTAGCATTGAGGAAAAGTGGCTGACCTTGGCATTGAGGAGAATTAGCTGACCTTGGCATTTAGGAGTCTGCATACATTAAAGCCAGATCTGTCAAATGGATGTACACGCAAAACTCAAGTTCTGGAACAGAATCAAAGTCTAGAAGTGGACGAACAACCAGAATTCTCCGCCAAAGGTTACAGCCGGTGAACGCTAAGAAGAAGAATGAAGAACTGACATGATCTACTTTTATGAAATCTCCATGACTCAACCAGATGTGACACTCACCCGCTGCCTCCCAGTTCTGTAACCCCCTTAGATCCAAACAGCAACTTTTAAACATAATGTTAGGTACTGGCAATTACAGTATGAGTCTGAGATGGTCAGGGCGTGGAAGTTGGGGTGCTGTGCTTAACTGACAACATGTTAGTCTAAGTAGTCGTCAAGTTTGTTGGTAGTTACAGTTTCAGTGTTGCTGCAAACGGGTCATATCATATTTACTCTGTTCCCATGCCAGTGAAAGTCACATAAAATATCCGTCAGTGTCCCATTTGATGCTGGCCAAACACAATCACCCACCCACTGAAGCACTTCTGTATATTCCTGAATGTGTTTATTCAGAGAAGAAGAGCAGTTGTCGCCTTTTTAGTTTATTATCAAAGTCTGCAGACAGATGCTTTCTCCAGTGGTCAGAGTTTGTCCTCTGTTAGTAGTTTTGCTAGCAGGATCAAAGATTTAGCAACATCAGTTTCTGCTTATCACTCATTTTATTAGTTGGAATTTTGATTTGTGTGTGTGTGTGTTTTTTTTTTTTGTATTCTGCTATTTTGTGAGCTAAAGGAACCTGATTATGTAATAATTTTACACCAGTCTTGCGGGCCATAAAAAATTGCTGAGCGGGCCACTTTTGGCCTGCAGGTCATAGTTTTCATAATTTCTAGAATGAACAGATAGGCTGTTGTTGTATCCCTGCATAAGATTTAATATTTTATATTTATACGTACTTCCACAGCTTGCCTTTGAGTCGCTGGCTCTCGTCTCTAATGCTTTGACGCTGCTGGAGTCTGGAGAGCTGTCAGTTTGCAGGTGAGCAGCTTATCTTCTTTGAATGTGTGTAAATTGCCAGCTATTTCATGTGACAGTTGTAAGATATCAGTTCACATTCACCAGCTGTAAACTGGGGGGGGGGGGGGGGGGGGAGGAGGGGGTCGTTCCTTGTGAGACAAGGAACCCACACATGAAGAAGAGTTTAACATAACAAGAGAATAGCGTAAGACAGAAAGAGTAAAGAAATGTCTCTTGTATAAACATTACCAGTTAGCATATTTTGAGTTCCATGGTAATGAAAGAGTTAAGTAAGTACCAGTTCTCTCCTCACCATATTGCCATACATTTCAGTATTTCAGGATCCTCACTGGTGCAATGGAGTTCGTGCACTGCACTGAGATTCTTCAGACTAAGGCTTGAGTTCGAAGTAGAACAGAGCACTTATGGGTTACACCCATGATGTTAAATCGTTGAATAAACATAAATATTACCATAATATAACTGCCTCTTTGTGGTTTCCCTTTCTCATGTTTGTTATAAGTTATCTTCATATCATAGCTTCTTTCTAAACTTTACATTTACAGACTTACACGCACGTACACACACACACTCTTAATACACGCACATTTCTACGACATGGTGGTATCTGAAACAAAAGTTACCAACTATTTTGTTTTTCAGTTTTGGAGAAGATGTGAGACTTCTTCACCCGTTTGCTGAACCATTTAGCAATCAGTCGGGGGCCAAGATTCTGCAGCAACTGTCTTGTGAGCAGACGCAGACCAAGTATGCAATGGTAAGTATTCAAATATCTATCCCTTTTGTTTGACTAGGGGCATATGTCAGTATATGATGTGTCCATATATCCGTCACCATTGTTTGACTAGGGGCATATGTTAGTATATGATGTGTCCGTATATCCGTCACAATTGTTAGACTAGGGGCAAATGTCAGTATATGATGTGTCCATATATCCGTCACCATTGTTTGACTAGGGGTATATGATGTGTCCGTATATCCGTCACAATTGTTAGACTAGGGGTATATATTAGTGGATGATATGCTGTTCAAATTTACATCACCATAGTTGGACTAGGGGTATATGTCAGCTACCTTTTTAAAGGGGAGTACAGAAGAAGAAGAGAAGTTCTTTTATGTCACCGTGGTATGTATGAATATCATATGTCTTGGGTAAAGTCTGTCTAAGTATTTCTGTCTTTCTGACAACCTGTACATCTGAACAGTTATTGCAGATGTGATTGTTGTTACAATATCTGTTCTGTCTGTTTGCATGCAGCTTCTAGACAAGGCTCTGGCCATGTTCATGGACGCCAGAAGCCGCCTGTCAGCTCTGGCTGGCGATGCAGAAACTGCACAACTGCTGCTGATTTTGTCCGATGGAAACGGGATGTTCAGGGATGGGATGGATGTGGTACGTCGAGCAGTACGGCGGGCTCGGTCGGCCAAGATCTTTCTCGTCTTCATCATTTTGGACAACCCAGAGAGAAGGGTAATTCTTTTTATTTAAACAATTTTTTTTCTTTAGTTTTAAGCAACATAGATATTCAGAAAATAATGTTCAAATTTTTCCCCCCACTAGATAATTGAGAAAGAAACATGCAGTTTTGAATGCTTCACATTTGAAATCTAGTTTTTGTATGTACAAAATGGTTCGCATATTCCAGCAAAAAAACAGAACTGCCTAAGTTCATTAACTCTGTCAGAACCATGAATGTTAGCAGATCTGGCTTGCATTAATTTCCCTTTACAAAAATGCCAGAGGGGGTGGTGAAAAATAAAGGCATTTGAATTTGACTGGTGTGTCACTGTTTAATGCTGTTTTAGTTAGTGGAGACAACGAAAAATAAGAATTCAGCTGGTGTTCTGTTCACAAAGACAGAATTTTGCAATAAAATAATAATATAATAATAATTCTTCACCTACCATAGTTTTGCAGCAGCCACACAAAAAAAGTGAATATCCAAATTTGAGAATAATACGTTAAAGTGTGTTCAGTTTCCAGATTCATACGTTGTGATAAGTTTCCGGGTTAGTTTATCACTCTGAGGCTCTATGTTCATACAGGACGCTAAACTTTGAAAGAAAAAATGGCAGAAAAATGGTCCTATACACACAATATACACACAATATATTAACTTTGTACGGTTTATACACAGACTGTAGCTGCAATGATTTCAATGCAGCTCAGCCATGGTATGGTACTGTTTGAAACAGTCCTTTGGATGCAAATGTGGGTTACTTTGATATCCTTCTGCATGAAATGGATCCTCCTTGGGTTTTACCCATCATAATTGCTAGATTCTCTTAACTGCTCAACTGCCATTGGTGGAAATTCACCGCCTGAATCACTTTTCCGAATAATTCAAGTTTTCGTTATCAGAATTAGAAGCATCTGACTGAAACAATTTTGGAGCTTCAGCCTTGGAAAGATGCATTTTGTGGCCTGTACTTATGCATTGAAGCGGCGTCCGTGGCTAAGGCGTTGCGAGTCCGACTCGTAAGTCAGCATACCGCGATCGAAACCCACTGTGTGGATTTTTATCGTGGTTTGGGACGTCGCAGGTCGACCCAGCCTAAAATGGGTACCAGGATGGGCTGTCCTGGGAAAGTAAAGACAGCCGGCGTAATGCTGACCACATTACCCACAGAGTGCTGATGGTCTGTAAAAATATGGGGCGCTCTGCCCATATGCCCGATGCGCCAAAAGGCGTGAAAAGGGATCTTTACTTTACTTACTTACTTATGCATTGAGCATTTGTGTCCATGGTCAATCAAAGATGAAATCGGAAAATTGTCTGAAAATGACGCTCGCAATGAATTCAATAATTGTTTATGTAAAGACTACACAAATAAATGGATGGTCTTCATATAGTTTCAAACATTAAAAACTAGTAACGAGCAGTATGCGAGTCAGTATGTGCAGGACCGACAGTTGACGAGACTGTGTTGTGGCCAAATCGGAGTTTCTTCCAAAACAATTTCTTCAGTTTTGGTGAGCCCCAGGTGTAAAAAGGTTGAGGTTCACTGCTTCAGATCAACTGTGTTGATGATATTCCTTTGATGCTGCTATCTTAGACCAGCTGTTTTTTTTCTTGGTCTGAGTCTGTCTTGTGACAGTGAGGTAATTTGTGCAATGATATTACTGATGATGATTAGTCTTTCCTCTTAAGTCTTGGGTGGGGCAGAGGACATAGCTCCCCTTGTCTGGTGGTTCAATGCCATCTGCTTTAGGTTACGGATGTTTGTTAGGCCCATGGTTGAACCTTCCCTGATTATTCTGCGTACTCTCTTGGTCTTCCCCGTTTTTTCCCTTTCAGTGTCCAAATTAGGGCTTAATGGGGACGTCTAATAATGATTATTAATATTCAATTATTTAATCTTCTTTCCTTAAATTAGAGCTCAGTTCTGGATTCTTGTGACAGTGAGATTATTTATGTGATGTTAGTGATGATTATTTAATCTTCTTTCTTTAAAACAGAGCTCAGTTCTGGATTCTTGTGACAGTGAGATTATTTATGTGATGATAATGATGTTAGTGATGATTATTTAATCTTCTTTCTTTAAAACAGAGCTCAGTTCTGGATTCTTGTGACAGTGAGATTATTTATGTGATGATAATGATGTTAGTGATGATTATTTAATCTTCTTTCTTTAAAACAGAGCTCAGTTCTGGATTCTTGTGACAGTGAGATTATTTATGTGATGATAATGATGTTAGTGATGATTATTTAATCTTCTTTCTTTAAAACAGAGCTCAGTTCTGGACTCCAAAATACCACTCATGGATCGTTCAGGCCAGGTATGTTCAGTAAATACCCCACAAACATTTTCACATAAACAATTTTATTATCTGTTCAGTCACTGTAACAATTCCTTTCTTCCTTGTTTTGCTTAAAAACAATCATCATATTCAGGGGGCATTCCCAGAAAGGGAGATTTAGGTTATAATTGTGACAAGATTATATGTGCCACATAAAATGGCTTTGCATTGCTGGCCACCAAGTAGCTCTGGGTTCTTGCAGTGTTGATGCAATCAAGGGAGGTTAGTTGCGTATCCTTTACAGGACGTTGCAGAACTAACGCCAGCAGCCCCTGGCTGTTGTGTGTTTCTCTAGGCAAATTTACGTCCAGTAGTTTACCAATGCTTTCTGGATGGTCGACCCCCTGATACCACTGTTGAAACCAACGCAAGGCACATGGCCCACAGCTGGGATCAAACCCGGCATAACGAAGCGTTCGCATCGACTTAGCCACAGAGCTGACAAAGTTAAAGTTAGTTGGGTATCCTTTACAGGACGTTGCAGAACCAACCCCAGCATTTTTTTGGCTGTTGGGGTTTTTCTAGTCAAATTTTACATTCAGTAGTTTAATCAAGGGAGACCGACCCAAATACTGTCCTGACCTGTGAAGAAGTCGTCTAACCCGCCAGCCAATGAATGACCCGATCGCCGATGCTGTAACAATTTTCCAGACACTGTTTATATATACACCTGTATGTTACTTAGGCTGTTAATGGAAGCAATGAATAGTATCACTGCACTCTACCAGGCATGTTGTAAGAGGCGACTAAGGATAGGGTTGGGCTTGAGGTTGACTAATTCATCATGTAAAAACAATTGCCACAAAAACCAACCAACCCATGGAAAATTCAAAAAGAGAAACAAGAAAGGGATCTAGAGAGTGAAGTTAAAAAAATGGGGAAGACATTATGGTGAGCTACCTGCAGTGGCAAAGGATAGAATGACTAGATGTGAGTTTGTTGAGAGCCTGTGCTCCTTTGGGGGATAGAATGTACAGGAAAAATAATTTATGTATATATCATATATCAAAAACAAAAAAAAAAAAAAAAAAAGCAGTTATCGGATGGCATGTTTTCATTAGTTGACATGAAAGCCTGTATGCCTAAAAACTATCAATGACCCAGATGCACAAGAAATGTCAGTTAATTTGGTTAAACCTTATGGTATTTTTCTGGGCAGTTTGAACAGTTTCATTTATTAAATTACAAAGAATGGCCAAATTGTGACAAAATTAAGGTTGCTTTCAGTAGCAGTGTGTTTTTTTTTTTTTTTTTCTTTCTTTCTTTTTTTTTGTTGCAAGTAGTAAAGTGCCATCAGGTAACTACACTTTTGGGGGGAGGGGGTTGGTGGGGTGGATTAGTAAAAATCAAGGCAATTACTTAAAGATTTGCTGAAATTTGATGTGTCAGGTTGAAAAGCACAGATATCACAGCTTAGCTCTAGACCTTAGCTTGCCAATCGCCCTTCTAAGGGTGGACTAAAGAAGGAGGTATACTTGTGTCCTCGTGGATCTGGTGCTTTGCAGAAAACATTTGAACATTGAGTTGTCTGTAGCACAGTGCATGAAAAGCATTCACACAATGTATACAGCACATTCAGATATCAGCTAGATTAGTGCAAACAGTCAACATTGAGTGCCCTTAAAACTGCAGCTGATACACTGACACAGCTTCACACTGTAGCCATACACTAATGTGTTGTGACACAGCTTCACACTGTAGCCATACACTAATGTGTTGTGACACAGCTTCACACTGTAGCCATACACTAATGTGTTGTGACACAGCTTCACACTGTAGCCATACTGTAGCCATGTGTTGTGACACACAGTTTGCAAATGCCTAATGATTGGAGTTTATATGTGTCTAGTTTCTTTAGAAATAAACAGCAAGAGGCACAATACTAATGCGAGTCTGAAATAATCCATGTTGCCCTCTCTCTCTTGTTGGGTACAGATTAAAGAGATCAAGACTTACATGGAGATGTTCCCATTCCCCTTCTATATCCTGCTGCGAGACATCAACTCCATGCCACAGATCCTCAGTGATTCCCTGCGACAGTGGTTTGAGCTGGTGACCAGCTCTGACAGATGAACTTAGTGGAACAGTTACTTGTTTACCCTCATATAGATTTCAGATTTGTTTGAGAGAATGGGGAAGGAGAGAGAAGAGTGGAAGGGTCATTTGTTCACCCTCGTATAGTTTTCAGATGTGGTTTGAGTGAAAGAGACCAAGAAATTTTAGTAACTTATTTTCTGTACTGTCAAGATAATCTTAGGAAGATGAAGAGATGGCTGTAGGGAGACGGTGGCAGGAAGGTTAGAAAGAGAGAGACTGAGAATATTGATACTGAGAATGTTCCAGTTTAAGAATAGAGATAGAGAGATTGAGTTTGTTAAATTGGGGAATAGAGGGAAAGATTGAGTTTGTTAAACTGGGGAATAGAGGGAGAGATAGAGTTTGTCAAACTGAGGAATAGAGGGAAAGATTGAGTTTGTTAAATTGGGGAATAGAGGGAGAGATTGAGTTTGTTAAACTGGGGAATAGAGGGAGAGATTGAGTTTGTTAAACTGGGGAATAGAGGGAGAGATTGAGTTTGTTAAACTGGGGAATAGAGGGAGAGATTGAGTTTGTTAAATTGGGGAATAGAGTGAGAGATTGAGGTTGTTAAACTGGGGAATAGAGGGAGAGATTGAGTTTGTTAAACTGGGGAATAGAGGGAGAGATTGAGTTTGTCAAACTGGGGAATAGAGGGAAAGATTGAGTTTGTTAAATTGGGGAATAGAGGGAGAGATTGAGGTTGTTAAACTGGGGAATAGAGATTTAAGAAATTGACTTGGAAGTAGAGAGAACAAACAAACAAACTTTAATTTCAAATTGTGTATGCAGTCCTGTCTTACATTCGGCCTTTCTAAGCACTCTTATTTCAGACTGTAATTGCATATTATCAGTAAGAGAGAGATTGAGTTTATTATTAAATTGGAGAATAGATTATGTTAATTTGGAGAATAGATTGAGAGTTTTAAATTAGAAAATAAAGATTGAGAATTTTAAATTATAGAGTAGAAAGACTGAGAATGCTAAATTGGAGAATAGAGAGAGATTGAAAATCTATAATAGATTTGTTAATGTAGAGAGAATGAGAAAACTAGTATTTTGTTACAAGGAGAGTTGATTAATGTCTAAAGTTGATTAATGTCTGGAGTTGATTAATGTCTGGAGTTGATTAATGTCTGAAGTTACTGTTTTGAATTTATAATTGATTGGTTCATGTCATCTGTATATTGTCGCAGGATTGGTCCATTTGATATGTAAACTGTTATATGATTGGTTCAGGGATTCTGAGGACTGATTCATTACATAAGTAAACTGTTATATGATTAGTTGAGGGACTCTGTAATTGGTTGAGGGACTCTGTAAATTGTTGAAAGTTCGGTTCATGTAATCTTCTTGTTACTTGATCAATTATGTAATCTGTACATTGGTACGTGAACAACTTGTGGTGTTATAATCTTTACATTTATATAGGACCTGTTCATGTCACTTCTCATTGCATGATTGGCTGATATCATGTACATTATTCCATGATTGGCTCATATTGTGTGTACATTGTTGCATGATTGGCTCATATTGTGAGTGCATTGTTGCATGATTGGCTCATATTGTGAGTGCATTGTTGCATGATTGGCTCATATTGAGAGTGCATTGTTGCATGATTGGCTCATATTGTGAGTGCATTGTTGCATGATTGGCTCATATTGTGAGTACATTGTTGCATGATTGGCTGTATGTTTACATTGTTCCAAGATTGGCTCATATTGTGAGTACATTGTTCCAAGATTGGCTCATATTGTATGTGCATTGCTCCATGATTGGCTGTATGTTTACATTGTTCCATGAGTGGCTCATATTGTGTGTACATTGTTCCATCATTGGCTGTATATTTACATTGTTCCATGAGTGGCTCTATGGTGTGTACATTGTTTCATGGTTGGCTCATACTGTATGTACATTCTTCCATGATTGGCTCATATTGTGTGTACATCGTTCCATCATTGGCTGTATTATGTTTACATTGTTCCATGATTGGTTATATTGTGTGTACATTGTTGCATGGTTGACTCCTACTGTATGTACACTGTTTCTTCATTGGCTCACACTATTCGATTGACTTATAATAATGTGTGTGCATTATTGTTGGCTCATAAAATTTTGACATTGTAATATGACTAGTCAGTGTTTATCTGTACATTGTTACACAATTGGTTCATGCAACTATATATATATAACATGTATATGATCAGTTTATGTAACTTCTACTTTGTTATGTTTAGTTCATGTAACTTCTACTTTGTTATGTTTAGTTCATGTAACTTCTACTTTGTTCATGAAATTGCAGAGTCCCAAGTCTGAAGTATTAACTCGGTGAATGCTTGCATTTGTTGTGAATATTGAAATACTAACTGTTAATGTTGCAGGTTGATCGACCAGTGTTAACTTGACAGTGTTGAGGTGTATAATAATGCTTCTGACTTATTACATTAATGTTAAGTTGCACTTAAAATCATGTTTATTATTTACTAATGTCAGCAGTTATTTTGCTCTTTTGATGGTTCTGACTTAATGATGACATCTGTTAAGTTGCAACTTAGCAGTGGTATTTTCATACCAAAAGTGTATTTAATCACAGAAAACGGACATTAAATACACCTTTGAAGTCCTCTTCTTTGTGTTTACTGGCTGTGAACTCTGGTGGAAAAGTTCTGGCTTTTCGTCCACTTCTGAATTCTAGTCCAGAACTTGAGTGTAGCATGCACATCCATTTTCAGAGATCCAATTCATGACAATGCAGACTGTTGGTTCCTTGTGTCTCAGGCAGATGCACTCTGACTTATAAGGAAGCTTCCAATTAGGTCAACTCATAGGAATTGCCGGAGGCAGTGGGTCTGTTCTTGTTTTTCCTGCAATGGGGCCCTGAAACCCACATGCGGAACCTTTGAAGTGAACGGGTCTCCGTGGCAAAGGGGGTCAAGCTGTCTGACTCTGGTTCTGAAGGCATCTGTGTCGTTCGATTCTCAGGTGCTATTTTTTTTAAAAATCAAGACTCCTGGGTATTGTCATCGAAGCTATGGTGTTCGTGCTTTGTGCAACGCTCTCGGCAGCTAGCTCGTTGATCTGTGGAGAGAGACTAAGTCGTGTGGAGTCAGGCTGGTACAGTGGTTCTTTTAGCTTTAACCTTTTGAAGTGAATATACTATAACTGCTGTATAAAATAAATGACCAGGTACCAACTCAAGGCTGCATCGACCTGAGAGCCAAACCTGGGAAGTAAAGGTGGCTGGTGTGATGGTGACCACATCACCTACGGAGTGCTGACTAGTTTATAAAATATAGGTCTAGCCCTATATGCCTGAAGGCAAAGTCGGATTCAAAGTCTTCAGAATTCTGAGCCCTTGAGGTTCATTGCTGCAGATATCACCTGCCTCTGTTCATAACTCTGGTTGGCCTTCTCTTTCCAGTAACACCAAATCTTTACATATGACTGAAGAGAACACAACAAAAGTCAACATGACTGAAGTTAATACAAAAAGAATGATTTTATTTGTTATTCAAAAGATATTCTAAATACAAATTTATGAAGTTACCCCAGCGAGCATCAAAACAAACACATCCATACGTTTGTGTTACACAAAAATAATGCTCAAACATCTACCAATATTATCATAAGCAAAAGAAAACAAACTAGGAAACGCATTGTGAGACAAATAGTCAAACATGAAAGTTTGCATATGTTGTATGAATACGTGTAAACAAGTGTGACCCCAGCTGCAAGAGGATCAGTTAACATACGTGGTCCGATGCAGCTAACAAACAAAACAAAAACAAGCATAACCCCAGCCGCAGGGGATCAGTTCACTTACATTTAAAAAAAAAATTTACAAAGTAGACTTTTATTTGGCAGCAAAGGAGGGCATTGACAGCAACTGTAACACATTGCCAGATATGGTTACTTAAGTATACAGAATTAGGGGAGCAAATGTCTGGAGTGTAGCCAAGTCATATATAGATTGCATTCTATGTTCATGTACAATAAAAAGTCTTTCGTCCAAGTTACCTGAATAGTCTAGGTTATATAGTCCAAGTTACCTGAATAGTCTAGGGTATATATGATCAAGTTATATGCACAGTCTAGACTTTGCTGCAGGTTAAAAACCTTTTTAATGCAAGTGTTATATATGGTCTAAAACAGGGTTCTTCAACTGGTGGCCCGTGGGCCAAATCTGGCCCGTCCTGGCCTAGCTATATGGTTACCCCACAGGTTGCGAAGTGCTACTTAAAGGTATGATAAATAATGAGCTTTCATCATGACTTTGCTGCGGACCTTATTAAAGGTTGATGAGTATCATGACCGTGGGCCAAATCTGGCCCGTCCTGGCGGCCACAGGTCATTGCTAGTTGTATGATAATAATGGTGACTGCATGATGTCTGAGTATTTTGGGGAGCCAAGGTCATTTTTTTTTTTTTTAGAAAGCCTGCTCCGACCCACGGCAAGTCAAAACAACAACAAAACTGGTAAACATTCTTAAATATGATAAAAGGTTAAAGTGTGACTGTCAGACAGTGGATAACAAAAAGGTGAAAACTGTATTAGTGACCCAACATAGTCTGCTTTATTATATTTGTGTTGAGAAATGGTGGAATGCTGGAAATGAGCACTCAAAATGAGGAAAGTACTTATCTGAAGAAGATCATTGCACGTAGCATAGTCATTGTCTGTCTTCTTGCTGTTATTGATTGTAACCTTGTAGTCAGTGTCTTCTTTTAGCCTTCCTTGTTCTGTCTTGTAGTTGTCGCCTTCTGTTCTGTCTTGTAGTCGTCTAATATAACTCGCGTCTTCAACAGTGACTTCTTGCAGGAGGTAACAATTGCAGAGTTGATACTATGAAAACAGTGACCTCTTGACTGCAGGAGGTAACAATTGCAGAGTTGACACTATGAAAATTCAGTGACCTCTTGCAGGAGGAAACACATTGCAGAGACACCCAATCAAGCCTTCAGCTCTTGGTCCGAGCCAGATTTGTGAAGCTGGGTTCATAGTCCGGCCAGTATTCCGGTCTGATCTTGGAGGAGTCCACACCAAAGACATCCAGAAGTTTGCGGTTCATGAAGGCAAATCTGAGGAGATAGTTTATCATCATTGATTACAGGCAAACCTGAGCAGATCATTGATTACATTCAAACCTGAGGTTTATCAGCACTTATTATAAAACTGCTCTTTTCTTGGCACATGCAGAAAAACAATATATTCGCAACTGAAACTTTCACATCTGCTGTATTCACTTTTCAAAACGAAGCAACTGTTGCATGCAGATATGCATAGAGAATTTGGGCCAAGACAGCCATCAGTATTTATTCATGACATTCGATTGCTCTTTTATGACATGCTGTCTTTTATGAAATTCTTGTTGTTTAGAGGGAGCAGGATGTTGTGAGTCTGCTCCATTCCCAGAAAATGGTGACCCACAACTTCTACAGCAAAACCAGCAACCCTCTGTCAGCTGCCCTCCCAAAAACACTGCCCGTCTACTGGCTGTTACCACTCACTCATTCTGCCCTCCCAAGAACACTCCCGGTCTACAAGCTGTTACAACTCACTCATTCCGCCCTCCCAAGAACACTCCCTGTCTAAAAGCTGTTACTATTCACTCATTCCGCCCTCCCAAGAACACTCCCTGTCTACAAGCTGTTACCACTCACTCATTCCGCCCTCCCAAGAACACTCCCGGTCTACAGGCTGTTACCACTCACTCATTCTGCCCTCCCAAGAACACTCTCCGTCTACAAGCTGTTACCACTCACTCATTCCGCCCTCGCAAGAACACTTCCGGTCTACAGGCTGTTACCACTCACTCATTCCGCCGTCCCAAGAACACTCTCTGTCTACAAGCTGTTACCACTCACTCATTCCACCCTCGCAAGAACACTCCCGGTCTACAGGCTGTTACCACTCACTCATTCTGCCCTCCCAAGAACACTCCCGGTCTACAGGCTGTTACCACTCACTCATTCCGCCGTCCCAAGAACACTCCCCGTCTACAAGCTGTTACCACTCACTCATTCTGCCCTCCCAAGAACACTCCTGGTCTACAGGCTGTTACCACTCACTCATTTCGCCCTCACAAGAACACTCCGTCTACAAGCTGTTACCTCTCACTCATTCCGCCCTCCCAAGAACACTACCGGTCTACAGGCTGTTATCATGAACATTTTTACAAATAATATTTCACACCTGTCAGAAACAGAAGAAACTTTGCAACCACCACAATCCAGTCGGCAGCAAGTGTCACAAATGATATAATCATTAGGCAACTGTCAGGAAAGGCAACCAGAGCCATCAAATCCAGCCGAAAATGGGTCCCAGTCAGTCAATGCAGCCAAAAGTCAGTCACGGCAGCCAAAAATGGGTCCCAGTCAGTCAATGCAGCAAAAATGGGTCCCAGTCAGTCAATGCAGCCAAAAATGGGCCCCAGTCAGTCAATGCAGCCAAAAATGGGCCCCAGTCAGTCAATGCAGCCAAAAATGGGCCCCAGTCAGTCAATGCAGCCGGCATATTTGCCAGATGCTGCTGAACCTATACTTGTATACACTTATCAACCCTTTAAGGGCAATGTAGTCAACATCATGCCGGCCACCTTTACTTCCCAGGAAATTAACAATAACAATTTTAGGCTGGGTTCCCACAGGCAGATTTAAACCCAATATGTTTTGGGAAACATTGCACTACCATAGATGCTTCCTGGGGACTTGGTTGGAGTCTGCCTAATTGTCTTAGTAACTGATTTTCCTTCACAAAATAACTGTTTATAGATCGGAAAGTCCTAATACCAATTTCATCTTCTTTTCAAGGCCCACATGATTTAAATCTGACTTTAAGCAAGTTAACTCATCTTCTAACAAATGAATCAAATCCCAAGAATAAGCTAAAGCTAGTTGAAAGGTGGTTTTTGAGTGGCTACACTTAAATACCATTGAACTCCTGCATGACATGTGCATCTACTGAAACAGGCATTGATTTCTATGCTTTTAGATGTACTCAGAATCTTATATTTATCTTCTTCTCTAGCCTTGTACTGCCTATAAGTATTTGATTTTGAAGAAGCATTGGATGAGAGCTTTGGTATGTGCTACACACAGGCCTCCGATATTTTATCTATCCATCGCTTCCGTGGTCAACCTCTAACTTTGCTTCCACTGTAACAGGGCTGGTGCAATGTTAGTTAGTCGACAGATACTTAGTCCATAAGTGCTCGGATCACCTCCCGCGTGTAGCGGCTGACGACCACAGTCCTGTGTTCTGTGTTGGTTTATTCTTCTTCTTTGGCTACCCGCGTAGTGTTCTTGTTTCGCAATGCCCTGTTTAACTTGCTGTTCTTGCAGTCTCACCATGGTTGCAGATTCACAGTTCTCAATTGGTTTACACAAATGTCTTAACTCTCTTAGAGCATTCAGCCTGGTCCATGGCTTGTCCAGCTTTCATGGTAGTTTTACCTGCAAGTCTATCAGCTTGCTTATTTCCTTGTACCCCCACATATCCTGGCAACCACTGCCTTTGGACCCAGTCCTTTTCTATATATCTGAGCATACTCATCGAGTCACTGAGAAAGCATGCCACAGTGAAAGTTTGTGTCTCTAGCCATGTTACTGCTTTAGTCACAGCCATGACCTCCATAGTCAGACTACTTATAGTTAACGGCAAAAGCTACAGAATCTTCCTTCACAACTCTCCCTCCAACCTGTGTAAATGACAGCATCACCCTCAAGAGCATTCTCGAATATCAAGGCTTGAACTTCTGCTTCCACAGCAGCCGGACTCTGTTGTCTGCATTTTCTGTCTAGTTGGATGCAAACAGAAAAGGATGTACAGCACTCTGAAGGCACTTGCACCCACTCCTCACCGGGTTCCATATCCTCAAGTGAACATACTGTAGGGTAGGTGCAATATCTGGTGGTAGTCTTCATGCATGTCTGAACCATCTGCTATTTGTCCATACCACACAAATCACAATTACTTTGCAAAACATCTTCTGTTACCCTCTAGGCTATGAACAGGCAGTAAAACCACACACAGTGATAAGCGTACACTGTCACAATAGGCTATGAACAGGCAGTAAAACCACACACAGTGATAAGCGTACAATGGTACAATAGGCTATGAACAGACACAAAAACCACATACAGTGATAAGCGTACAATAGGCTATGAACAGACACAAAAACCACATACAGTGATAAGCGTACAATGGTACAATAGGCTATGAACAGACACACAAAAACCACATACAGTGATAAGCGTACAATGGTACAATAGGCTATGAACAGACACACAAAAACCACATACAGTGATAATGGTACAATAGGCTATGAACAGACACACAAAAACCACATACAGTGATTAGCGTACAATGGTACAATAGGCTATGAACAGACACACAAAAACCACATACAGTGATAAGCGTACAATGGTATTACTAATATGCAAATTACCTGTTGTTTGTGATTCTCAGCAAAAACTTCCAATAACCTGGTCTCAGTGTGTGTGGTTCAACAACAGCCTGGAATAGCAACCATCAGGATTACAGTTTGCTTCATGCAGTTAATGTAACCTTGTGGGGCGTTACCCCCCATGACAACTCTAGGTTATACCTCATGACGCCTCTAGGTGTGTTACCTCATGACACCTCTAGGTGTGTTACCTCATGACACCTCTAGGTGTGTTACCTCATGACACCTCTAGGTGTCTTACCTCATGATACCTCTAGGTGTGTTACCTCATGACACCTCTAGGTGTCTTACCTCATGACACCTATAGGTGTGTTACCTCATGATACCTCTAGGTGTGTTAGCCCATGAGCCTCTAGGTGTCTAACCTCATAACACCTCTATGCGTATTACCTCATGACACCTCTAGGCGTCTTACCTCATGACACTTATAGGTTTGTTAGCCCATGAACCTCTAGGCGTCCTACCTCATGACACCTCTAGGCGTCTTACCTCATGACACCTCTAGGTGTGTTACCTCATGACACCTCTAGGCGTATTACCTCATGACACCTCTAGGTGTGTTACCTCATGACACCTCTAGGCGTCTTACCTCATGACACCTCTAGGTGTGTTACCTCATGACACCTCTAAGTGTGTTACCTCATGACACCTCTAGGTGTGTTAGCCCATGAACCTTTAGGCGTGTTACCTCATGACACCTCTAGGTGTGTTAGCCCATGAACCTCTAGGCGTCTTACCTCATGGCACCTCTAGGTGTGTTACCTCATGACACCTCTAGGCGTCTTACCTCATGACACTTATAGGTGTGTTAGCCCATGAACCTCTAGGCGTCTTACCTCATGACACTTATAGGTGTGTTAGCCCATGAACCTCTAGGCATCTTACCTCATGACACTTGTAGGTGTGTTAGCCCATGAACCTTTAGGCGTGTTACGTCATGACACCTCTAGGTGTGTTACCTCATGACACCTCTAGGTGTGTTAGCCCATGAACCTCTAGGCGTCTTACCTCATGACACTTATAGGTGTGTTACCTCATGACACCTCTAGGCGTCTTACCTCATGACACCTCTAGGTGTGTTACCTCATGACACCTCTAGGTGTCTAACCTCATGACACCTCTAGGTGTCTTACCTCATGACACCTCTAGGTGTGCTACCTCATGACACCTCTAGGCGTTTTACCTCATGACACCTCTAGGCGTCTTACCTCATGACACTTATAGGTGTGTTAGCCCATGACACCTCTAGGTGTGTTACCTCATGACACCTCTAGGTGTCTTACCTCATGACACCTCTAGGCGTATTACCTCATGACACCTCTAGGTGTCTTACCTCATGACACCTCTAGGTGTCTTACCTCATGACACATAGGTGTGTTAGCCCATGACACCTCTAGGTGTCTTACCTCATGACACCTCTAGGCGTATTACCTCATGACACCTCTAGGTGTGTTAGCCCATGAACCTTTAGGCGTCTTACCTCATGACACATAGGTGTGTTAGCCCATGACACCTCTAGGTGTGTTACCTCATGACACTTATAGGTGTGTTAGCCCATGACACTTATAGGTGTGTTACCTCATGACACCTCTAGGTGTGTTACCTCATGACACCTCTAGGTGTGTTAGCCCATGACACTTATAGGTGTGTTAGCCCATGACACTTATAGGTGTGTTAGCCCATGACACTTATAGGTGTGTTACCTCATGACACTTATAGGTGTGTTAGCCCATGACACCTCTAGGCGTCTTACCTCATGACACCTATAGGTGTGTTAGCCCATGAACCTCTAGGTGTGTTACACTCTTGGACACCTTTGTTTCCTCTATGCATTTGTGTTCCATTTCAGTGCCTGTCTGATGATTCTCTGCAGGTCTCCTCCCAGGATGTGCTGAAAATAGCGCCACCTTTTTCTTCTACTTTAACAGAGTAGTAAACCAGCCCCTTTGTGCTAGTATAAATGTGCTATAATAGCAAATGCTGAAACACCCAACAACAACTCTACTTACTGCATGTAAAATAAAGGCAGTAGAAAATGCATAGATGAAGATGTCTGCCGACTTGATGTAAGGGAACCCGTAGCTCTCGATGCCTTTGAAGTAAAGCACCTGTCAGAGAACATAAACAACATAAGATCAGCACTGACAACTTCAGTCTTCTCACTGTGTTACAGCACTGACAACTTCAGTCTTCTCACTGTTGTACAGCACTGACAACTTCAGTCTTCTCACTGTTGTACAGAAATAACTCTTACACACAAAGGAAAGGCACCATAAACATGCGTACACAATTCATCAACAGGTACATTATCAATAATTTTTAAACACTTCCTGACAATCCTAACATACTTACATCCCCCAGCCCCCTCGCATCCCTGACCCCGTCACATCTTTATCCCACTCGCATCCCTGACCCCGTCACATCTGTATCCCCCTTACATCCTTGACCACTTTAAATCTGTATCCACCATCCATCTTTGTCCCTCAGATCTTAATGAAAGAATGACAGACACAACCCCCCCCCCCCCCCCCTTTTTTTTTTCTCATTTCCCATCCTTGGTAAACTCACACACGGATGGATATGCATGCAAAATATAAGTTCTGGGACAAAAACAAAGGTCCAGAAATGGGTGAACAATCAGAACTTTCCGCGGGATTTAGGACGGTGAAAGCTAAGACACAGAAAAACCTAACCCACGCCCCTCACATTTCCATCTCCAATACACCCTCACATTTCCATCTCCCTCAAACCGACACACATGTCTCATCTCATTCATATCCATCGGGGGCGGGGGGAGCTGCGTGGTCTCTAGGCATGGTGTCAGCCTCGAGTGCTAGAGGTTATGGGTGCAATCTCCGGTAAGGGCTGGGATCCTTTCACGTGTACTTGGACTTAAGTATTTGAGAATCCTCGCCGGTGCTACACAGCCTGTGCACTGCTGAGCGTCTTCGGACTCAGACTTGAGTCAGAAGAAGAACGGAGCACTTATAGGTTACACTTGTGTGCCATGATCTTGATCTGTTGTTCAAAACCTCATATCCCTGACCTTGCCCCTCACCCCCATGCAAGCGCGCGCACACACACATACAAACACACAGCAAGTTTTCCATAAATAATTCTCCTTACCTCCATTAGTTTGGTAGCAGTATATAAGGCAATGGTGAGACTTTTATAAAACCTGAGACACAGGCCGGCCAAGCCCCCGGCCACGCAGCCATGAAGCTCCGAGTCTTTGTTTCTGACCCATCTTAGGACACAGTTGACAGCCTGCGAAAAGGGGGGGGGGGGGGAAGGGGGGTCAAATTCAATTTCTTTCACTAATCAAATTCAAATGTGATGAAACTACATTTGTGTGTGTGAACACATGGAAACACCAAGAGGCAGACCCTGATCTTCAACAGTGTTCTTCAAAGCCGTGAGCGACAGACAAGTCCAGTAGGTCTGCCAAAATGTCTCAGTAAGCATTTAGCCAAACAGGAATATACATATCTGAGTTATACAGATTTCAGATTGTTGGTCGTTTTTCTCACTTCCTATCTGAGTGAAAAGACACCGCGTAGTCTCAGCTATGTCAGTCAAAAGCAGATGTCACATTAGCCGAATACTGTATTTCTACTACATTGGATTACATTACATATAGAGCGAATCGACTGCTACCGACATTTATTTTGTGGTCCAGCGGTTAGACGCTTGCCTGAGGATCGGAATGTCGTCGGTTCAGGTCCTGATGCTTTCTTTAAAAATATCCTTGGCTCCCAGGTCGACCCCTGCCTTGAGTGGGTACCAGGTGTAGTCCTGGGAAGTAAAGTGGTGTTGACCACATCATCCACCAACCGTCTATGAAATATAGGTCTTGCCCAATATGCCCGAAGAGGTGGAAATGGATCCTTTTATTTTACTTACATTATTTTTGTTTCTGTGTTTGGTGGACCACGAAACAACTTTCTTCGACCCGGTGTAAACAGGTTGAGAAACACTGTTCTAGAAGAAAATGGAAGGAAGGAGTCGCTGACAGCCTGAAACTTCACAACATCACAGCTTACCGAGCACGCCCTAGCTCGGCTACTTATAATCTGTTAAAACTGCGACGCACAAGTCATATACTGGCAAAAGAATGTTATGTAAACTGTTTTACAATTAGACTTTGTCGTCTAGGTTGGCTGCGGTAGATATATGCATCCTCTACTGCCTGTGAGGATATTATGTGACGAGACTCCCATGTCTTCCACAGTGCGACTCTCGTATCACTACCTAAAAGGCACTAGAACAGTTATCAAGTCTGGTCGCATCTCGTGTGGCTGGTGTACGTTGCGGTGAATAATATACTTCAGGAAAGCACCTATTTGTGAGTTTCGAAAATGGGATCATCCGTGAGAGGGGGGGGGGGGGGGTGTCCGTGAAGTGGTGGGTCCACACGCAGTAGTCAACGAACCAACGACTTTCAGAGAGTGCGAGGCTTGACCACGAGGACCCCTCGGTTACTGAAATATTATGAGGAAGCGGCGGGGATTTGGTTTTATAGACGAATGATGAGAACACCCTGGACAGATAAAAGAGCAATGAAGATGTCTTGTAAGAAACTAGTTCACGAAGAGAACTGATCACCCATATCAGAAGGAGACAGTTTTACCAAGACCGTCTCCATTTCATGGTCTTGGTTTTACATTCTTTGGTCATGTCATTAGAGAGAGAGAGAAAGAGAGAGAGAGAGAGAGAGAGAGAGATGATGCTGGACAGTTTGACACCATGGCATGGCAGATTATCTGTATCAGAACTGACTGAAACTATAGGAGGCAGAAAGTTGTGGATAGACACGACTACCAACGACGCCACAAGGTACTGAAAATCATCTGTGCTGGAACACTGAACTAAAATAGACAGAAGGTTGTGGATAGACATTACTACCAACGCTACATGCAATTGACTATAAGAAGATGAGCATATGCTGCATAGGCCCTTTACTAGTAACTATAACCCATACACGCCTTTTCTGGTTACTCAGAAAATAAAAATAAATAATGCAGCGGTAAAAACAAGAACAGAGTCACCAATTGGGGGAAAAAAAATAATAAGTATAGTACCGGTGAATGATAACAGTTTAGTCATCTGGTCAGAACAGAACAAAATCAGCCAGCCGTTGATTATGATTCCGTAATAAACTGGACACACAATAGACGACTAAGAAAGAGATCGATGGAGGGAGTAATAGAGGCGATACAGAAAAGCACAATGAGATTAACACAGGCTAGGTAGCTAGCAACAGACAACAAACTACATCTAACTTCTCTCGGCGACACATTGCGGTGTAAACAGTAGGAGTGCAGAAACAGTAATATTAAAGGTTGACCGCTTCTTGTGACCCTTAAACTCTACTCACTAACTTTCGCTGACCTCAAACCCACAAAACCAGTTCTGTTCTCCCCCACCCTAACCCACATATAACAAACAGACCTCGGAACGAAACAAGTAGCCCAAACTGGAGCGATTTCTCGGTCTCACGCGTGGCTCAGTGGTTACACCGTTTGCCTGTAAATCCGAGGTCTTTCCTTCTGTCTTGTTCGGTCCAGTCATTCATTTCAGTCTCCTTCAGTTCCAGGCTGTATTCTTCCAACAAATGATTGATTAGACAATTACAGGCAGGCGGTGTACCACAAGCAGCTCCCCCAGAGGGTGGGCCGGTTCTTCTATTTGTTTGAGGCCACCCTCTGGGGGACACTGCCAACGGGAGCCACAAGTGGGGCGTGTTTTTTTTTTTTTTTTTTTTAAATTTCTTCTTATGACTTTATGTAAAAAAAAAAAAAAATCCCCTCCCAATACAAATAAATCTTTTCAAAAATTTTTTTTGGTCCATCTATAACAAAACATCTTACTGACTCACAAATACACACCATCAAAAGAGGGTGATAAGAGGCCCACTCATCTTACAATTTATCTGTGGTGGTGGCGCTAAACCTTGTTTTTGTTAAGTGCATAATAATGATAATTGTTCTATTATTGTGAAAACAACAAAATATCTGAAATAATACAAAAGACATTCTCTACATAGTTAGGGTTAGGGCCTAGGCTAGGGTTGGTTGGTGTGTGTTTTTCTTGTTGCAAAAGAGGGGCGTTGGCTGTTCAATCAGTTTTGGAGTTTTAGGACTTCTAGGCTCCAGCCTCTTGAGTGGGCGTACCAAAAGCTGATTTCCTTCTTCCTCTTCAGCATTTCGAGCCCTTGAGGTTCATCGCTGCAGATATCACCGGCCTCCATTCATCTCTCTGGTTGGCCTTCTATTTCCAGTTGGTGACACCAAAGTGTTTTGGTAGGTCTGTCTGGACATTATCTCTTCATCGTCTTCTTGGTCTGCCTTTGTAAATTTTTTCGACCATTCATCTCCCTTGTGTATTCAGATTTAACTTCTCTGTCATCTGACATTCTCTCAATATACCCCAAACATTTCAGTCTATTAGTACCAAAGGCAGATGACATTCAGAAAGTAGGCTGTACTACAGGTTACACATATCATATGAATCGTGTGTAGTTCTCTAAGTAAGGTCTGTAGTGTGAACTAGCTCATCATGTCAGTGTGTACTAGTTCATCATGTCAGTGTGTACTCGGCTGCAGGAAGTCTGGTGTATGGCCTGAGCATCGGGACAAATACAGAGCAGAGAATGAACGTCAGGACAAATATAGAGCATAGAATGAACGTCAGGACAAATACAGAGCATAGAATGAACGTCGGGACAAATACAGAGAATGGGCTGAACATCAGGATAAATATAGAGCATGGACTGAACGTCAGGACAAATATAGAGCTTGGACTGAACATCAGGACAAAAATAGAGCATGGACTGAACATCGGGACAAATATAGAGCATGGACTGAACATGAGGACAAATATACAGCATGGACTGAACATCGGGACAAATATAGAGCATGGACTGAACATGAGGACAAATATAGAGCATGGACTGAACATGAGGACAAATATAGAGCATGGACTGAACATGAGGACAAATATAGAGCATGGACTGAACATCGGGACAAATATAGAGCATGGACTGAACATCGGGACAAATATAAAGCATGGACCTAACATCAGGACAAATATAGAGCATGGACTGAACATCGGGACAAATATAGAGCATGGACTGAACATCGGGACAAATATAGAGCATGGACTGAACATGAGGACAAATATAGAGTATGGACTGAACATCGGGACAAATATAGAGCATGGACTGAACATCGGGACAAATATAGAGCATGGACTGAACATCAGGACAAATATAGAGCATGGACTGAACATCAGGACAAATATAGAGCATGGACTGAACATCGGGACAAATATAGAGCATGGACTGAACATCGGGACAAATATAGAGCATGGACTGAACATCAGAACAAATATAGAGCATGGACTGAACATCGGGACAAATATAGAGCATGGACTGAACATCAGGACAAATATAGAGCATGGACTGAACGTCAGGACAAATATAGAGCACGGACTGAACATCAGGACAAATATAGAGCTTGGACTGAACATCAGGACAAATATAGAGCATGGACTGAACGTCAGGACAAATATAAAGTATGGACTGAACGTCAGGACAAATACAGAGCATGGACTGAGCATGAGGACAAATATAGAGCATGGACTGAACATCAGGACAAATATAGAGCATGGACTGAACATGAGGACAAATATAGAGCATGGCCTGAACATCGGGACAAATATACAGTATGCACCTAACATCAGGACAAATACAGAATATGCACTGAACATCAGGACACATATGGGGCATGCACTGAACATCAGGACACATATGGGGCATGCACTGAACATCAGGACAAACATGGGGCATGCACTGAACATCGGGACAAACATGGGGCATGCACTGAACATCGGGACAAACATGGGGCATGCACTGAACATCAGGAAAACATCGGGCATGCACTGAACATTAGGACAAACATGGGACATGCACTGAACATCGGGACAAACATGGGGCATGCACTGAACATCGGGACAAACATAGGGCATGGAATGCACTTCTGACAGGGCTGTACATCAAGAAAAATACAGGACATGATTTTATATGCAAGTTCAACACAGGATTGGTTTGTATATTACACAGAACATATGAGAGGCCCCACTCCCCTTTCCATCTCTATCTTTCTATCTCTCTCTCTACCTACCTGCCTATATGTCTGTCTATTTATGAGTACCCACAACAGCAGCAATCAAACACACATGTAAACCACGCACAGGGCAAGAAACACTCACCCTAAACACGGCACAGTAGCCGCCCAAAAACGCTGCCAGGTTGAGGTTGTGCTTGCTGAACCAGGCCTTCTGTAGGGCCCAGGGTTTCCGGACGATCACGGTGACCGAGGACAGAGAATTGATCACCGCCTGCACCAGGTAGCCAAAGCTGAACATCCTAAGTCCACCCTGAAAACATGCCAGTTTGCACAAGTGTTAATTTGTGTCCGTCTGTAGAACTGTGCCAATTTGTCAAATCTTTGCAGTTTTTAGAATTGTGTCAGTTAGAAGAATTGTCAACTCTGTAGAACTGTCAAGTCTGTAGAACTGTGAAGTCTTTACACTGTGAAGTCTGTAGAACTGTCAAGTCAGTAGAACTGTCAAGTCTGTGGAACTGTTACGTCTGTAGTACTGTCAAGTCTGTAGAGATGTCAAGTCTGTAGAAGTGTCAAATCTGTAGAGCTGTCAAGTCTGTAGAAGTGTCAAGTCTGTAGAACTGTCAAGTCTGTAGAAGTGTCAAGTCTGTAGAACTGTCAAGTCTGTAGAACTGTCAAGTCTGTAGAACTGTCAAGTCTGTAGAACTGTCAAGTCTGTAGAGGTGCCAAATCTGTAGAACTGTCAAGTCTGTAGAGGTGCCAAATCTGTAGAACTGTCAAGTCTGTAGAACTGTCAAGACTGTAGAACTGTCAAGTCAGCGGTCGACTACCACGAAGATGGGCACACGATATAATTGGCTCCTTGAATATAAAAGTACACGAGGCGGGAGAGCTGGCGAGAGACCGGGTGTCTGACCGGGTGTCTTACGGGCAGACCGTGATGAGAAAGAGCGACGTTCCGCAAAGGACCTGATACAAGATGATGATCTGAATGATTAGTTTAATTCCCTACGTAGCAAATACATGGTGTTTAACTATTTTCGGGACCGATGTTTAACACTTCGAAAGAGAACTTGAGAAGTAATTGTCTGTAAAGGATGGTGTTCACCCTCTTCGTCTCATCTATCACACCCAATTCTTACAAGAGACATTATCAACAGAAGTTATTGATAGTTCCCTAGCAATGTATTGGTAATCGCCCTTGCATTAGAAAAGCGATGTTTAGCAGCGAATTAGGCAACACAACTAAATTACATTTGCAAGTGTGTTTCGAAGATCGCAGACGCTTTGAAGTTCGTGCTTTGTGCGATGTTCACACTGGGAGATTAGCCTGTTTATTTCGTTTATGCCTCGAAGGCATTAGTCGTCAATGCAAGATCCGTCCCCATCTCCTTCTTTACGTTCTCTTTTACCACTTCGGTTGTCGAGGAAGATATAAGGTCTTGTTTCGTGATTTTCTGGCTGCTTCGACCACTGACACAGTCGTGGTACTGTAGAGTTTGTTTTCTCTGATATTATCTTCCCATCTTGTTCTTGATCTACCTCTTGCTCTACGTCCCTCTCTTCTTTTGCTATATGCCTTGTATGGTATAGGGTCAGCAGGTATTCTTTCCAAGTGTGATGCAATTTTTTTATATTTTTTTTTTGAAGCTTTAATCGGGCTGTGGTTCGGGAAGGGGTGGGGGGGGGGGGGGGGGGGGGGTGTCTGCTTTACAAATCACACAGATGGGCAAATACGTTAGTGGAGTATCAGTTACAGCAGGCACGTCCAGCTGGCAGGCTGCGGTCTGCATGCGGCCCTTGAAGAACACGTACGGTCCGCAATAACAATACTGTACAATGTTTAGATATATATTTATGACCTGGCCTCAAAGAGCTGCCGTGCGTGGCTCTCACAACACCAATGTCACCCATGACCCTCGGGCGCCCTCAGTTTGACATACCTGCTTTAAAGGAGGTCGCAGGATCAACTCTAGCATTCGCTGGCTTTAACCTTGCATGATTAGCTCTTGATATACCTGTCGACATAAACATAAGGCGGGCTGCTGCCGTATCGCCCGCAGCTGCAATCTATTCGGGTAGCTCAGAATTACGAAGTACACTGACAAGGCCTAATACACAGACGCCCACCTGATTAAATATTACTTAAGTGACCCAGGTGTTTTAAAAGAGTCGAGAACTCAAAGAAAACTTATCACAAACATCAGAAAGAGACAGTCATCACTTGTTGGTTATGTTATCACAAGAAGGAAACTGGAACATGTTGTGATCGCTACAAAGATGTGTGGACAGAGAGACAACGGAGAACAACGTGAGACAATTGAAGAAGAAGAAGAAGAAGAAGAAGAAGAAGAAGAAGAAGAAGAAGAAGAAGAAGAAGAAGAAAGAAGAAAGAAAGAAAGAAAGAAAGAAAGAAAGAAAAGAAGAAAAGAAAGAAAAGAAGAAAGAAAAGAAGAAAGAAAAGAAGAAAGAAAAGAAGAAAGAAAAGAAGAAAAGAAAGAAAGAAAAGAAGAAAAGAAAGAAAAGAAAGAAGAAAGAAAGAAAAAGAAAGAAAGAAAGAAAGAAAGAAAGAAAGAAAGAAAGAAAGAAAGAAAGAAAGAAATAAAGAAAGAAAAGAAGAAAGAAAAGAAGAAAGAAAGAGGAAGAAGATGAGGTGAAGAAGAAGACGATTCCGTAATAAACTAAACTACCCACCTTCAAGACATAGGACACACAACTGTGGCTATGGGGACAGCACTTGTGCCGAGGTAGCTCTTCAACAGATGTCAGTACAGGCCGCAGACCCTCCTTGACCGCACAGATAAGACCATGCAGACACGGAAACTTCTTGTGAAGAAGCAGGCACGCCGAACGCAACAACGAACTCGTGGGACTCAGCTCGCTGCTGTCCTTGACTTGAGCAGACTGTCCCTTCTGTATCTCCGCTGAACGCCTTTCAGTGTCATCATCCCCTTCCTTGATGCTTCCGCTCTCAGGTGACTCCGATACCACTGCAGGACCGTGACCAGACTCTCCATGAGCCCTCGTTGAGCCAGAACCTGTGCTGTCGTCTACACCTCCTCTACCCCCTCGTATACTTGCCCGCTGACTAGCTCCGGTCTTCTCCTTTGGCGAGGCTGGTATAGGAATCTGAGGGCATTCCTCGCGGCCTAGGAAGAACCTAGAATTAAATTGGCAAAAACTGTATTTCTGCTACGATATAGGACAGTAACAAACATACTCTAAACATCAATATGATATCATCATCATCATCATCATCGTCATCGTCACTGTCGTCATCATCATCATCTTAATTATTATTACTATTATTATTATTATTATTATTATTATTAATCCAAGAAGAAAAAGAAATAATGGAAATGTCCCCGTGTGAGATCCATGCACCCCTCTTCCCTCTAACATGCATGCAATAGGAGGCAACTAACCCACTGCGTGCCAACTTGTCGATAAAATTTAGATCTAGCCCTATATGCCCAATACGCAAGTGAATAACGTTCAATCCCATCAGGACTGCAAAACGAGGGACTAACACCTGGTGACTAACTGTGCCACCATTTGGACGAGAATCCTCCAGGGGAAAGTCCCAGAAACCCCGTTCAACCCTTAGGTTGTGTTTGGGCCCCCGACAACAGCCCAGCTAAAGTTTTAAAATAATCAAAAATGCCCAATGTGTGTGTCGTTTAAATCTACTAGTACCGTTCAACGAAAGATCAATACCCAATGACACCATCACGCGAGCACATCACAGAAACCCCGTTTAACCGTTAAGTTATATTAAGGCCCAGAGCACAGCCAGGGTGAAACCCAAAACTCCTAAAGCCGTTGAAAATGGTCCTTTGATTCACTTTCAACATGTCGCCTTTTACGACATACTTGTAAGGAGCAGTGGGTCTATACCCCACTCCTCCCGAACACACAAAAGACATAGACCCACATTTGTAGCTAACGATAATCTGTGCATTGCTATGGCTACCAGAAGTAGCATTTCTCGAAGGGTATCCTAGGAGTTGTTGGGGCGTTGGAATAGCTGCCGGTGGTGTCCCCTTGTTTGTTGAAGTGATGGCCTTCCCTTTGATGCAGGCAGATACTGGGAGTGGAGAAATGTCCAATGTTATGCTTTATTTTTTTTATTTTAGTTAGCTCACAGTTGTTGCTTCAGGGGACTGCCACGTTTGAAAGTTCGCCCTTCTTTTCCCTGCAGTCACCTGAATGAAGTGATGCCTGGGGATAACTTCTAAGTGCTCTTTCTAGAGCCCTGAGTAAGGCACCCCCTCCTTCTCGTTCTAAGATTGTTGATTTGTTAAAGTTTTTTTTTTTAGCGAAGGACCCTGTTGACACCACTGGGGTATTGGGCAGACGAATCTGAACTGAATTTCTACCCCACCAGAACATCACGCAAGCGATAAAACACCCGATGACACAAAGTGCCACCATGTGGATGAGGATCGCCGTGGAGAAGTCCCAGAAACCGCGTTCAGACATTTGGCCATATATATGGCCTGCCTATATTGCGGCCCCTGGCAAAAGCCAGAGTAGGGCTTCAAATGACAAAAAATTTCGTCCTAAAAACGACGAAATTGGATATTAGCGAACGACGTCCGAAAACGTCAACCTTCAGAGCAGAGACGAATCTGGACCAGGACTACCAATGCTGGATTTTTATTCGAAAGACGCTCTGCGTTAAGATTTTGGAATCTGGGTTTAAACAAAAAAACATCGAACGCTCGCCCCCCCCCCCCCCCCCCCCCACCCACCTGAATACTGACTAGACCGTGGACAATGAGAGATCACGAAGAAGAATAAGACTGCTCATCCATGTCTGTTGTCCACTTCGCTAACGGTGAACCAAGGAAACACACTGCTTTAAAACCTCCTTAATACGAATTCCAAGGGATCGTAAATCGAGTTCGTGTAAAAAAAATTCGTGCTAAAAGGGGACTAATAATACAATAAAATTGAATACAGCCCTGCTGGACCACACCTCTGTTTATGTTAACTGAGTGTTCTAAACTTTTTCAGTCAGTCCTACAAGGTCTGAGAAAGTTAAGAACGACAATATTAGACGCATGTGTATACTACTCCCAGAGGGGTCGAATATACAATCCTTGCAGGAAACCAATTATCTTGTCGGAGTTCTTCAGAATCCCTCACTAAATAAAAGAAGTAAAACGATAAACGACATGATGGCTGGTACACGTGAATAATGCCCAGTCACGCATAGTGCGCTGGTTGGGACAGAAAGAATTGAGCGAGTACTTAACGAAGTTTCTTTGTATGACAAGTGACGAACAACGACCACGCGTTAAACACGGACATACCTCCAGTCGTGTCAGACAGTGCAGATTACTTACTTGAAGAGCGACTCCGACGACTGTGACAGCCCATCTTTCTTTCTGTTGAAACATAAAAACAGAATATTTTGTTAGTTTTGAGACAGGCAGGTTCATTTGTTTCATCCAACACCGTTGTTCGGGTGTCTTATTTTTCCCTATTGTTAACATGGTGCACGAACTCCGAAGCACCACAGAGGAACTTCCACGTATAACCATGACCATCTTCTTCAGCATTCTGGGCAGAGGAGGTTCACTGATACAGATATCACTGCCCTGTTAGAATGAGTGTACAGGCCAGGAGCATACAGGCTATTATTATTTTGGGGAGTAGGAGGGGGATGGGGTTCAGAGACAAATATTTAAGCAGCAGACAAGTTGGATACAACTTCTTTTGTCTTTCCAAATTACAATAGGTTCTATCATATCAGGTGGACATTTCGAAGATTTTCCTTAGTGAAAGGAGGTTGGTCAGCGTTCTGAACTCCGCATAGCTTTATTTGCACGATATATACATCCTACAGAAGTGGCGGCGTCTCTATATGGGTTATAAAGTGGGTTAGCTGTTTGTCGCGTGCGGATGTGCACTAAAACACACCAATAATGGCTAGGCAAAAAGGATGTCATAAGTGTTTCGTATTGTTGTTAGGGGATTGGAATCTTAGAGAGATTCGCAGTCGAGAAGTCGAAGGAGACGGACGTTGTTGTCCTGGAGTGGCTCATCCCAAAGGGATCCCACTGAAAAGTTCAGCAAGTGTGCTGGGCGTTACTGCCGTGTCTGAAGGAAGCAGGATCATTTACTACTGTGGGACTGCCGAATAATGTTGTAGAAATGTCTTTAGTATAGGACTGCATGCTGACTTGTTGAAGAAACCGGCAATGTTCAACGTCGAGCTGTTGACCTACTGTGAGTTGATAACGAATCCGATATGGAATATGGATTCTAATGTTTCAATGCGAGTGTGAGCACGCTAGCGATTGATCGGAGTGTCTGGGTCAGTCTTGTGCAAAAATCACGTTATTGCACATTTTCGTTCGGATCATAGTGTTGGTATTACACTAATGTTGATACTGCATGCATGACCTTCATCGTTTGATTTACGTGTGGACGCCTTGGAGTTGACTCTTGCCGTTACGGTTGTCGTGTTGCGTCACCAGTGCTAGACACTGTTGGTCCTCATCCACCGTTTACGGCGGAAACCATCTACGAACATTCCTCTAGGCCTGGCTTGTAGATGCATTCGGTTATATTTGTTATCAGGTTTTTTTGCGCCTATTCTATTGGCTGAAATCGGGGTATCTGTGCCAAGTTTGATGGCTTGTTGTGTCCCTAACCAGATGAACTGTCCGTTCCTGTATGTCTAATCCCACTGTGGTCCTGTTATCCTTGTCGCCCGGGTGGTTTCGCCCTCATTGTAAAGATTGAGGTTAGTGTGCATGTGTTATCTGCACGACTGTAAGTTACAGCAGCCTTTTGTAGCTGTTATGGGTATCCCAATTATAACTTGTTTAAAGACCCAACTGGGTATTCGGGATCCGCCCGGGCTTATCTGCCATCCAGACTGACGTTGTGTAATCTCAGGAAGCAGCTTGGAGGGTGACATCGGATACGGTTACGGAACATGTGTCCCACTCGCCAGTGACGCAAAATGGGTCCTTTACTTTGATTCAGAAATTACAAAGAACCTCGGCAAGATCGCCCGATCCATCATCCAAATAAAAATGCAAAACTGTCGTGGCTGTGACGCTAACTTTTGAAACACAATTAAAACCAAAGAGAAACATTCAACATGCACAGCAGAAGATAATCCCTGTCAAGCATACAGAAACAGAACAGAATCTTAGTAACTATACCTTCTTCTTCTTCTTCTTCTACCGGCTGTGAATTCCGGCACTATGGAAATGAGATGTCCGATCACGGCTCAGGAATGACCATGAGAAATACAATCAGGTATGTGGTCATGCGAGAAACAGTTGGCACAGAACCAAATTACATACATAGACAGCCGATCAAATTGTTTGCGCACTTGAAGACACTGTCTTGTCACGCTACACCAACGAGGCCTACATTAACAGAGGAGAAGAATGCATGTAGATCACGAGGTGAACCAAGAACACGACGGAAAGATAACATCAAAGGAATTCTACAACACCACGATGTGTCTCTGGACGAGGCGGTCAGGAAAGGAGGTATTAAGTAAAGTGAAGGATCCTTCTTCACGCCTCTAGGCCAATTGGGCATATAGGGCTAGGCCTATATTTTCTAGATCACTCGGCACTCAGTGGGTGATGTGGTCAACATCACGCCAGCCGCTTTTACTTCCCAGGACTTTACCTGATACCACTTAAGGCTGGGTGGACACAGCGGCCAAGGTCATTTCTCCATCAGGACCCAAACCCACAGCCTTCGGATCGACAGCCCAGCGTTTACCAGCTACACCACGGCGGATATCTAAAACACCAAGCAAGAGGCAGAATCTTATATCTCCCCCGTAAAGAGAACGGTTAAAAAAATGAGACGATGGAGAACAGAAGAAGAAAACAAAAATATGTCTGGAAAACCAAGAATAACTAGTCTTTTCTTTATGTTGCCTGGAGTGTAGTTTGGTATCTTGGATTCATCTTCTGTTTTGGAGGCAAATATTGCGGGTTTACTAACCGCTTTAACACTGTATGGTGTGGTATAGACAAGTATGTCTCTATGTGGCAAAAATAATCAGAAGGTGCTATGACTGGCTGTGGTAAAGAGAAAATGTCTCCATATGGTCAATATAAACCGGAGTTGCCATGACTGGCTGTGGTAAAGAGAAAAATGCCTCAACGTGGCAAACATAAATCTAAGTTGCAACGGTAAGTTAGTTACGTATCCTTTACATGACGCTGCAGAACCAACCCCGGCATTTATTTGCTGTTGTGGTTTTTGTAGGTAAAATTTAGGTTCAGTAGTTTGCCACTGTTTGCTCAACGGTCAACTCTCGGTACCAGTGTCTGCAGCTGGGATCGAACCCGGCACCCCGGCAATACGAAGCGCGTACGCAACGCTTAAGGAACAGACGAAGCCTATATTGCCGTGGCAGGCTGTGGGACAGACAAGAATGTCTCTGGGCGGCCAAAACAAACCACAGCTGCCACCAATGAGGAGGATGGCGACAAGGGAAGACAGTAGCAGTAAGGAGGAGGAGCAGGATCAACTATGGAAAAATAAAAAGAGAAGGAGGCGAAGTCAGAAGAAAGTTACCAAGACGAGAAGAAGAAAAAAAAAAGTGGGGGGGGAGAGGGGGGGGGGGGGGATTTTTAAAAAAGGCAGGAAATTGGTAAGAAGCAAAAAAGCTCAGAAACTGAAAACAAGGAAAAGTGCTAAGTGTGAAAGGATGAAAAGAGGGGGAAAAAATGAAGAGCACGATTATGAAAGAATATGAAGAGTGGAAGACGACGTAACAATAGTTGTAAGAGGAAAAAAAATGGAATAACACAAAGGATGAGTAAGAAAGGAATGGAAAGGACGAATTAAAGAGAGGGTAGTGAGAAGACAAAGAAGGTGAAAATATACTGGACATACTCTGGGACGAAATTATCAAAGAATTACAAAACAGGCACGGAAATGGGAAGCAAACATTCTGAGAAAAAGACATCAGACGGAAACATTAGGAAAAACAGTATTATGAGACACCCCCCCCCCACCCACCCACACACACACACACACACACACACACATACAAAATGCATATCTGAACGCTATGTCAGAAATCGAGAAAGCTGCATGCAAGAGAGCGAAGTGAAGGTTTCAAATGCGAACCCTATGTGATGTCTAAAGGCACATAAAGGATGATGATGATGATGAGTGATAAGAAGAAAAAGAAGGATAAAGACTGGCAGTGGAGAAAAAAAAAAACAGAAACGGGGCGACAAGTGTTTGAAAACAGAGTTTAAGACATCAAGGAAGCAACATGTCACAGTGAAATCAGTCAGAAATCCTGATTAAACGAACGATAGGGAAGAAAAAGATCCTCTCTCTCTCTCTCTCTCTCTCTCTCTCTCTCTCTCTCTCTGGCACACATACACACGCGCGCGCGCACACACTCAAATACACACCACTTCGACAAACCACTAGACTCCACATAAACACGGCCACATCTCTGAAATTAAAACGTTTTTTTCTTTTTTAACGAAAGAAAAAGATGCGTCCCTTAATCTCAAAGACACTTGGGACTTGCACAAACCTCTCTCATCTCTACAGTTGATGGCTTCAGCTCCAATCAGCTCTGTCTGTGTTCATCTTTTATCCCGTCCCAATCTTGCTTTTCAATTCTCCTTCTAGTCGGCATTCCCCACATACATTCCAATTCCTTCTTTCATCGCAACAACACTTCCCCGTTCCCGCCCCTAGCTTCAATCAAACTGGCAATCAAAGTACGCGATTTCTCCCAGCATTCTCAACTATTCCCGTTTCGTAGGAAAAAACTTAAAGAGACTCAATTAAACTGAACATCGATAATTCTCTTTTAAACTGAGCAATGAATGCACTCAAAGGAAAATGTTTTTTCCCCTCTATTTTTTCTTTCAATAACGGATTTTCGTGCAGCGCGGATAAAATTGAACAGGAAAAAACCCCCCGGTGAGGTGAAATAGAACGAAATGAACCACAGTTGAACAATGCCGGATAAACTTGACCATTAGGGACTGGCTAAACACTGTCGAAATAGGAAGAAAATGGAGCGGGCGATTGAAAGAGGCGGATCAAAGGCTACGACCCGTCAATCACATAATGATTCTGTGTGGAGGGAAGGGAAACGGGGAGAAAAGGGGTTAGAAGTGTGGGGGAGGGGGGGGGGGACACAAACTTTATTGTCAAAGTGTCAGAAACTGGGCACGCGGACCAGTCCTCCTTCCCAAAGAGGTAGGTAGGTAGTTTTGCCCCATCAGGACATCACACAAGCGATAAACACCCGATGACACAAGGTGCCATCATGCGGATGAGGATTGCCCATGGAGAGGTTTCAGAAACCCCTTTCAGCCGTTAGGCCGTATCCTTGGCTAGGCCAATAGGAATAAACTCCAC